AATCTCAGGTCCGAAAATCGTTCCTCCTGACGAAGTCGGTTCGATTTACCGATGAAGCCAAAATAGACAAACCCCTTGGATCCTGCGGCAGAATTCACATGGCATTACACGACACGTCTGGCAACAAGCAGGCCAAGCATATACTACGCGAGAGTATTGGATCGAAAAAGTGCTTCGTATGCATGCAGGTATCCGCATCGGCTCTTTCTCAGCGATGAGCGGATTCGGTCTTGAAGGAAGAAAATAGCATCATGCCAAGTCCATGTTGCTTCTTGTCAGACCTCGGGAACTTCGGTTGTCTGATGTCTCTGAGTTCCGAAGACAATGGGATGATTCAGATTTTGTTTGATCGACGATGTCTTTATGGGACGACGACTCAATGCAGACTTGCCGCGGCTCTTCCAGCGGCTCCAACGTCGACGACAACTGCAATGGAAATGCGGGGTGCAGTGGAACTCGCAGTAGCTTTGGGTGAAGGCCTAGCGCTGGTGTCAACCATCCATCCGCTAATTACGTCCAGAGAGTATCCCAGTTGCACATCATGCCAGATCGATTCCTGCAACTTGAACCGGACACGGCATACGGTTCCAACTTGGGCAACGCTGTCGACAATTCTCTCATCATCAGATCCAGTTCATCCCAACTCTGGCATGATGCCACGTCTCCCAGAGTACTGCTATCTTTGGATGACCGCCGTCAGGGTTTCGTCCAAGTCTTCCGGCTGCGAACTAGACCACCAGCAACTTGGCAAACACCAAAAGTGTATTGAAGGGGCCCAAGCGTGTATCGCGGGGCCATGCAAGAGCGCGAGCCGAGTCCCAATCGTCACATTTGCGGCTTTTCATCACCTGCATTTTCTGCTTGGAAACCAACAACTCGACCGCTTTTCCATCAGGCGGTGTTCTCTCTACCATCAACAGAGTTGGTTTGACAAGCGCCAATGTTGGTTCCCCTACCATCCTACGCAGCCAGGAACGTACTTCTGCAGCGTTGCATGATCGGATGATCTTTGCCTACGCCCTGAGTCGAAGCAAGGAGCAGGTGGTTCAGGCAGTTACCATGCTACTGGAACAGCTCGGCATCCGAGTTGCGGGCCGCTAGCCCTGCAACCGTTGGCTGCAACGAAGCAGACGAAGTTGATGCACGCATGATAGAAAGCGAGATGAAAGGGTTATTCAAAGCACCAGTCGCGGGGCCAAAACATAACCGACAGTCCTCGTTGGCCAAAGAGTCCAGACCTTCGACCTGCCAACGCACTTGACGATTCACCCCTGAGCCAAAAGACTCAACAACGGCGCTTCCATTTTTCTAGGTCATTCAGCAGGCGGGGTGTCACGGACCTGACTTTTGACTCGTTAGGGCGCGAACGTGGTGAGGTTGCAACCCGCCATCGGCAGCCCATCTTTGCTCGACTGGGCAAGGCCTACCCAATTACCGCGGACTTATCGTCAATACTAAGGCACATATAGGTCCAAGACAGAGGGATATGCGCTATCTGAGCCTGTCTAACAACCATAGTCATGACATCTTCGAATAGTCCAGCGTTCGAATAGCAGTGTCATGATCACCACTCGCTCATTGCTCTCGAGAAGCTCAAAAGTCGGCCTTCGTAGTGTCGTCATCACTAGGTCCTTTAACGAGCAACCTTGACGATGTGTTTGAGCATATGTCAATCTGCGCATGCCCGACTCAAGACAACGTTTCTCGTTCTCCGTCACGAGAGGCAGTTTGTGGCGATGGCCGATGTCTATTCCACGCCATGACAATCGAGAGCGGCAGGCACCTTTCATCCCATGTCAGTGCTTGGACACACACATGGCCAGGGGTCCGCAAGAATGGCAGGTTGCAGCAGGGATGAATGCAGACGTGGTTCGGCGCGACCCTCAACAGCCACTCGCCATTGATCAGGATTAGAGAGTTGAGAGAAGACATCACGAGTTGAGGACAGTCCGAGCAGGACAGACTACGACTACGACGGCTGCAGCGCCTGCGAGATGACAGACGACAATTTCCCCCGCTTGTCATCTGGCGCTTGCATACGTCTCATTCAAAACTCGTCTCCACCAATATCGAGCCTGCGGAATTTCCTGCATAGTAGTGAGCGGGTGCTTCTTGTTCCTGATTTTCTGCAGCAAAGTGGCATCTTGCCCTCCGCTGTCATCCGGAGTTGGCCACCCCTCCTACCAACCCTGTATGCCCAGACTTTCCACACCCACCTCTTTCACCCCCGTCGTGATGGGACAGGGGTTCGAGGAAAGGGCCGCTCTCAAGCAAGTTGACGGCGTGTGGCCCCGTGCTTCCTGGCACCCGCGAAGACCTCGCAAGATGAGCATGGGGTGTAAGATGGGGTGAGATGGAATGTGACAATGACCAGCCAATGGTCAACTGGGCTGCCTTAGATGAGACGCTGGGTACCCAGCACCTACTATTCGATATGCTCAGTACGGTTCACCAGCTGGCCTTGGAGGCTCTCCGATGTGCAACACGGACAATGGATCATACAGGGGACCGTCAAGGGAAGAAGAGTCGTAGAACTCTCGCCAGTTCCAACACTTCCGTCATACCTGGCGCTTATCAAGTCAAGTTATTAGCCAGGCAGATCGTCTGGAGCGAGAAGGGCCATCACAGAGGCTTGGGAGAGAAGGCCGCATTCTGTTCCGAACAAGCGCTTTTCAACATGCGGTTTCAGGCTTTTTGCGGGGGACCGGGAAAATCATCTGTCCATTTTTTGCCATTCCTCACTTGCCTCTCTCCTAAGCTCGTTACGATGAGAAGATCTGGGACCTGCAGCAATCTTTTCATTTCTGTCTGATTGCATCTTCACTCTCCCCCACCCACCTTGCTACCTTCCCTTGTCATTTCTTGCATTGCTTCGTCTTGGTTCAACTACTCTGGCTGAGACTTCAGTCGTACTCTTTGCCTCTCACACGGCCGTACACGGGATCGATTTGGGCAACATTCGATTCCAGCCCGGACTGAAGCACCAGAAAGTTTGGTTCTGGTTCTCAGGATCAAGTCCGTTCGCCTTCGACGAGTTTTCATCCCTACCAGCTCGACTTCCCCTCTCGAAAATCTTGCTCCGGCGCCCTCCAATGACTGGAGGAGACTCTCGCCACCGCTGAAATCCAGTGCGACGCTTCCTATAAACGAGACTCGCCCCAACATCCATCCTAGTCCAAGATCGAGCTACCCAGCCCTGTGTATCTCAGCTTCATCTGGTCTGGGTGCCGACTTTTTCCAACTCCATTGCACGTCATATCGGCCTCCTTACTTCGAGTCGCCAACAAACCGACACGTCGAAGAAGAGCGGTAAAAGATTCGGCGAATGGTAAACTTTCCATCTTTCGTCTGAGACACAGCTGCCCAGCCCCCACGCCCAGTTGTCAACAAGCGGCCACCATTCAATCAGTACGCTGGTGCTAGCGTGGACACACGACTAATAAGCTGAGATTGCCATCTGGTGGCGCGCTGGAAGGATACAGCCGTCTGCCGCGGGCCATTCGGCTTCGAACACAATTCCTCGAGCTGCGTGCTAATAGTTGGGCATTCCCTGACTGCAGCTAGACGTCAAGGTATGAGCATCACCTTCAATACTCATACTGCAGTCTCTCTACCTCTTAGCGCCTCATTGAGGCTCACAAAACCCCCCGTCTTCTTTATTTCGCCCTCAACAACACTCGATTCGTTTGTTCATGTCTCGTATCTCGTCTCTTGTCACCTCTAGGTACTAAAAGTCCCAACTAGGCTATCAGGCCTTCAAGCTCCAGGACGAGGTGAGATTTGGGTGGCAGGGGTGACTTCAACCTGAGCCAAGCTCTTGGTCATTGGACTCGGAAGGTATTTGTTGACTTCCACATCAAGAACGTGCAAGATCCCTGACAGCTTTGGCTTTGACGGCCAGCCCGACAGATCAGGTACATCCTGTTGTCACCTCACCGAGCATACACCCAAAAACTTGGGCGCCCGAGGTGGAACAACATCGGTAGACGCCTTGGTAAACAGACTTGTTCTATGGTTGAAAAGGCAAAAACGTCAGTCGTTGGCTAGGATCAGCAGTGCGAGTAAGTACGTGCCTTGCCTTTCTTTTCTTGGTTTTCCTCGCCTCTCCACAGAGCGTTCGTCTCTTTCTCCCGGTTGATTTTCGACCTTCCATCTCATGGCGTCGTGTCGTGCCGGACCGTCCACTTAGGGTTGTATCAGAAATCTCATAGTACCTTACTCACAGCTCGCCTCTCTCCGTACCTTGCTCGATCACCTCCGCCCTACTCCCACCACGATCGCCTCACGTGTAAGGCTTCGAACCCTTACCAGCCCAACAAGCCTCGAGCAATACCGTTGCATCTGCATCTCGCTGCAGCATAGTTTCAGGATACCTCTGATCATCTCGTCTGCTGCTGCCCTTCTTTGGGATTGATTCTCTCGCTCTCCCAGCTTGGGTTGCAATCAGCCCACGGCAAGAGAAATAAGTTGGAGAGCCGACCCAATTTTGATGCTGGTCACCTCAGCAAGCTTTCCAACTTTGGTACACCATCCTGCCAGTGCCGCACTCACGGCCAGCCACGACGCTTTCAGTCATCTCCATTGGCTCGTTGTGGCCTTCGCTTCTCGCCCCTGTCCCGTGTCCGCATTGGTCGCGGTGCCCCGTTATTGCAACAAGCGCCTTGCCGGCAACGAAGCTTGGTGTCCCTTCTTTTCGACGACCTCTTGTTGGAACTCCCATCAACAAATCGTGGGATACGGCATAGACATCCTGTATACCAGTCAGTCTATTTCCTCAGCACCCAAGCATAGCAGACACCGACGCCGTTGGCTCAAAACCGTCGATTCAAGCTGGTGTCGTTGAAGGCGCAGCTTGCGCTTCCCCTCTCCGGTACCGCACTGGACTTGCTGTCTTTACCGCTGCCTGAAGCCATATCGTCGAATGGCATAGTACACCTAGTTCCTGGAAACCTCGAACAACCACTGGCTTTGCGGAACACTCCTTCGAATCTTTGACGCCGATGATCTCGGTCATGTCTTACCAGTATCCTACTACCCTACCTCCAAACGGCCCCGAAGCAGCCATGTCCCAAGCCGGATACGCGCCCAACTACGGCGCGCCAGCCCCCGGACCTCCGCTCATGGTCCCGAGATCCCATGAGCAATCTCTCAAGGAACGAAAAGATTCCTCCTCGCAGGCGAGTTTGACGTTGAAACGTTGCATGTCCACGCCTAACGTCAGACCGCGGCAGGCCAGTGCCTCCGACCCCAATCAGGCAGCCCTGGCTGCTGACAAGAAACGAAACAAGCTGGGTTATCACCGAACCTCAGTAGCATGTGGTAAGTGCATGGGCCTTCAGATGTTCCAATCTCGCCACGCCGAACCCACCTGTGTCTTGAAGACGTGTACTAAGATGATACAAGGGCATTGCCGTCGACGGAAGATTCGGTGCATCCCCTCTCCGGCCGACATTCAGGGCAGATGCATCAACTGCATCAGGTTGAAGAAAGAATGCAGCTTTTACCCAGTAGATCAACCGCCGCCGCCACAATCGGCTGATGCGCGCCCAAAAGCACCTTCCCGGGCATCCACGGGACCCAAGGCTGTTTCTGCGTCTTCGTCTCCGGCGATGGCCGCCGGGCAGTCGCCAGACATGTCCCAGTTCCAACAGTACCAACACGTGGCAATGTCATCTGCCCAGAACATGGCCCCGCCTACCATGCGACCATCGAACATCGAAGCGAGTAAGGCACAGCATGCGTTAAGGACCGGAGAAGTCATTGACAAAGAGAAACTAGTGCCTTCGGGGCCAGCATCGATATCCCGTTCGTTCGACTTCCCGAACCAAGCGATCTCGAACTGGATACCACCAGATGGGAGCTCTAGCTCAGCAAAGCCGTCCAATCTGAACGAGACCTGGAGATCGTACTCTCAAGAGTCTCCAATGACTTCATCTTTTTCACCGTACACGCCTCAGGGGCCTGGATCTGCCGGGTGGGGAACGGCAATCAACGCAGACCCTAATGCCCGAGAAGAAATGGGATGGGCCTCTTTCGTGCCTCCGGGCTCCGTACCGTTCCCTAGCGAAGCTCAGTTGTCATCTCAGTACGTCGCGATGCCGCAGGGCCGCTCCTTTGGCAGGAAATCGTCCACAATGTCGATGGATATGTACCCGGGCCACATAACAACCTCTGTCTCGGGTCTCGAACCACACGGTGCATCTCTGTCTGCAGGAGCAGTTCCTCCGTCAGGCTTCGGGTCTTGGGAGCAGCCGTACACCTACACCAAGATGAACGAAGGATGGGGATACGAAGAGCCCAGGGACAACTAAGGGGCCCCGCAACCTGCACAGGACACAGAAGTCAGCAAGAATCAACAGAAACAGCGATACACGGAGAATCAAGGACAGCATTTGCATTTAACGGACCATTTTGAATTTCGCAAGATACCCGCGCCTGCTTTGAAAGCGGCATCATGCAGCCCGGCGCAGATACAAAAGCGGCATTTAAACGACTTCAATTCTTTCTAGGGGAGGGGGCAAGAAGGGGGTAAAAGGGTTGGAGACCACAGTGAACCCCGAAAAAAGCGGAATGACGGTTGTTTAAGCAAGCTCCGGGGAAAATCGAGAAACGACGACGCAGCCCCTGAAGCCGACGCATTTATTTGGTCGCGAGGTCCAAGCTTGGTGCGTCTGCGACACGGGGGCCACACGAGACGCCAAGTGACGGATCCTCGGAGAAGGGCTGGCACGATCCGAGGATCACAAAATCCTCCTTTCGGCACGGCGCAGGTTTGCAGACAACTTGGCCCCCAACGGCTTACGCGCGACGCCGCCTGGGGTGCAGCTGGCTTCTCAAGGCACGCATCATCGCTGCCTTTAGGTGCCACTCGACAGCCACCAGCACATATATGCCTTCACCAGATCTCTCCGCTTTGTCCTACTACCGATATTGGTCCACTGGGCCAAACGATGGACGTCGAATTTGGGTACACAAACAAGCTGCTGGCGGAGCGGAGTGGGGCCGCAAGGGGGGCGTGTGCCGGACACGACGAGCACGGGGTTCCCGCAACGCCGAACCTCGAATCCCGCGGGCCGAGTAGCTCGTAACTTGGTCGTTCCGTCCGGAGTGATGTGATTGCGGGAAGAGAGAGTCCGGAGGCAGTCCGGAGGGAGGACGTACGAACATAGGGTGGTTCGGACTGCGGAAAGGATTTGGATCGGACGGTACCGGCCGGGGGCAAAAGTCTAAAAAGGGGGGAGGTTGGCGAGACATTTCGGGCATTTTGGGGGTGGGCATACGCATTCCGAAGGGGGCACGGGGGTTCGGGGGTTTTGATGACGGCTTCAATTTCTTTTTTTCAGTTCCCTTCCCTGACCTTCGCAATTCTGTCGTTACTGATATCTTTTTTTCCTGCTTTCTTTTCGATTCTGCTTCTATCCTTAACCACCTTTCCCCCTGCACTCGTTACTACTACTTTAGCTTGCTCTTCTTCACAACTCCCTCTTCACGATTATGTAGATTCCGATTTTTTCTCTTGAGATACGACAGTTTTATATCCCCTCAGCCTCTTTTTCTCTCTCTCATATCACCAGACGTGTTTCACTTGCTTTTTTATCACTTCCGTTGTTCTTTTTGATTCTTCATGGATAGATTTACTCTCTTCAATGACTATGTCGATATATATTCTTCAAAAGTGGCAACCAACTGTCCCTTCTGCAACGTGCTGCATGTCGACGACTCGGTCTCAGTATGGATTGACCCTTCAGCGCCTAAGCGTACGTTGTCTCGCCTTCCTAGATTGGTGATCTCGGCGGTGATTCCTCTTTCTTTCTTTGGAATATGTCCGCATGTCCGGATAGCGCCTGCTACTGCTCGGAAATGGTTATCTTCGGGTCATTTCCCCCAGAGGATCCACGGCGAGCCAACTCATGACGCGGAACTCCCTCGGGATTTGGACGGCGAGTCGATTGTCTGATGACTGAGAACGAGTCCGTCAATGCAGTGATTAGTATTACCCCGCCTGTTTGTTATGCATTTTTTTGCGTCGAATAGTCAGATTCAATGCTCGCTGAGCCGTTTCAAGGACGTTGGCCTCGGCTATCGATGTCCCGGATCGATTCGGTGTACCTGGTCGTCATATTCTCGGGAGATATGATACCGACAGGCGTCCGGGCTGTGCATGGTGTTGTCCTGCAGTTGGACGAAAAAGCGCTGTTGGCCGCTCCCTGAACTTGGTTCCTGCATCCAGAGCACAGAGTTTTCTTCTTTGAATGTTGAATGTTAAATGCGTACTCGTTGGGTATGGCGAGACGTCGAATGGAGCGGGAATAAGGGTTGCTGCATTGTATTGCGCGGCGTATTGCAATTGTTCCCGCATTCAGAATCGCACGTGCAAATTGACAAACGTGTACCGAAGGATCGAGGAATTCAATCATGCTCGAATTCATTTCCCTCTCGGGCGTGCTGGAAACCATCAACGGCCACCCACGCCCACCAAAGAAAGAGACAAACTGCGTCACTGGACCAGCTGCCACGTGAGCACCAGGAGCGTGATATACGCTGACAGGCTCAGCAGAGTGAGCAGGGCGACGCTGTTCCCCGAGGTGCGGAACTTACGGACGACGGAGACGGAGCCGTCGGCCTCGTCCTTGGGAGAGGTGAAGAACTGGCGGTTGCCCTCGTGGCGGCGGTAGATGGCGACGAGCATGACGGCGGCGCCGTAGACGGCGAAGAGGGCGCCGATGGCGTAGAACTCCGAGGTGAAGATCTTGAGGATGATGAGGGCGAAGGAGAACTGCGAGAGGGCGGTGCGCATGTAGGCGCCCTCGAAGGTCCGCTGTGCTGCGCGGATCTCGACGAGTCTGGTCGGACGGTCAGCCCGGTACGCCGAATGGAGTGGAAGGGAAACGGTGATGGAGCTGGATCTTACTCTTCCGCTGTCAAAATGACCGACCGAGCCCGGTGGAGGCGCAGGTGAAGGTGATCTTGTGGGTTTGGCTGCGCGTGGGAATTAGCCGGGTTTTTATGAGGAGGAGCGTGCTTTTTGATGCTCGAATCGCAGGCGGAAGTGACTCTTCTCTCGGACGTACCTGGAACATCGTGAAGAGCCGCAGGCGAAAACCAGTCTCGTCTAAGTGTTTGCTCCTCTGTCACGGAATGATCGGTTAAGTCCTCGGACGCGCTTTCGGTTGGAGTAAGATTTGATTTTTGTGGTGGTCTACTGCAGTCAAGCTTTTGAATATGGCCGTGGCGGAACGTAGGGCTGATGTTGCTCCATCCCAAAGGCCGAGGACAGCGTTCGGGGAGGTTTAGAGTTCCGTGGCAGGTGATGTCGGGCATTTCTTGGCTCGCCGATGGTGTCGTGGATCAGGTGTGCGGCTGATTAGATAAGGAGCCCAAGTGACCGATAGCCAATGACCGACTTTGAGGTGGGGAAGCTGTGACGGAAAGCTCGCGTGTCCATCCTTCCGGTCTGCTCCTGCCATTGCTTGCATTGTATCCGTACCTATTCTAATCACTGTTGGCTGCACCTGAATTGTTTGTCTTCATCCCGCCCCAGTCTCGCAGCTTCCACGCCGCATGCTCGAATCTATCGAATTGTTTGGGGACTTTGGTAAGATTCGTCTTGGCATTGACCGTTGAAGGATCCAATTGGTGCATTCCCGGTTGGCTGACGCCGAAAGCATTCGTCCAGCAGGTGTGAGATGTTCGGGTAGTGCACCGGCCCAATCGAACAGTAATTAGCCAGAATGGCGATGATCTGGATGCTCATTTGCCTTTATTTTCGGCAATGTGACGCAACCATGGCAATCTCATGTCTCTCTTCAGTGGTGCCAACAGACCCCTTGGTTCAGTTCAGCTGATGGCCTCAAGTATGATTTGCACCAGTTCGCCTGTGCTAGAAGGTGCCCCTGTATTTCATGCCCATCTTTGTATGTCAGGGCAGATTTGACGTTGATCATCCGACTCCGCGGGATTAAACAACAAACAATCAAAAACTTGTGCGGCAGTGTATTGGGGGAAATGCCGGCTCATTCAAGACTGCCGTCCCGTGCCGCATCAATAGACGGCATAACGGGGTCGTTGGGGTCGGTGTGGCGCTGCGCAGCCTCGATGTTGGTTGTTTCGCGCCGTGGTCGGCGAGGTGCACCGCCCCTGTCGAATCCACGATAGAAGGCATCGCCTAGGGTTCCCGACATCAATGAAATATCCGAGTCCCATCGTTGCGGCTTGCGGCTTGCGGCTGTGCACAATGGTGCCAGGCCCCGCAAACGACCTGAACTCCACGGTCCCGGTGTCCGATGCGGAGCGACGAGCGGATGGAATTTTCTCTTGGATGCGAGAGCGACGCCGTCATGAGATTTGCGGTTTTCTGGGTTCCTCTCCCAACCTAGGTAGCCCTTGTTGTTGGCATCGACCCGGCGCGTGGGTACTGGGCTGGAGGCGGTAATCACTGTCAACCTCAGCCGCGACACTGCAGCGATAGTCGACAATCCTTCGGAGAGAATGCCTAGCATCCGGTGCGCGTGCTGGCCGATGACATCAATCGTCTGCAGGGTTTTGGCGCATCATTGCTGGGTTGCTGTCAGGTCGGTGTACGTCGAACTGTCTAAATCAGCCGGAAGTGGAAATCTGCCGCTCGGTGAGTACAGAGTACAGCCCAGGGTACTGGGCTGACCGTAGAGTCGGTGGTTAAGCTCAAGGGCGATACGGCAGTGGCTGGAGTCTGTAACCCGAGTAAGATGGACCGATATGGGGTATGGTCGTGATGTTTTGACGAGACACAGAAAGGACGACAGCGGCGGAGGAATGGTGTCTGAGTGGACGATAGAAGATGACTTGGAGGCACGGTGATGCTTAGCTTGCTTGCCCTTGTGCGACACAGGGCAGGGTCAGGGTACGATCGACGATGAATCTGCCATGCGGTTACAGAGAAATTGACCACGGGCCAGTTCCCGGCAAGCGTCCATCGATTCGGCGGCTGAGCGACGGGTGCTTGACGATGAAAAAAAAAACATGAAAAATGGTGGACTGGTTCGCCCTGGGGCTGAGGAAGAAAGCCCAACGAGTGCTTCAGAGAACGCCTCGTGTAAGTGGAAATACCACATGGATTTAGGTTGATACTGGTAGAGAGATACTTGTGATTTCCTGCCGTGTTTAGTCGGTGTTTCGGGTCCTTCCTAATCAAAGCGGTTCAGGTGCGAGCAGGTGTGAGCAGGTGCGCCGGCCCCCATTCCGCCCTACGGGCAGGTGAGCCCCACCACGCCGTGGCCGTGAGGAGACTCCACGAAGTGCCCTCCACTCAGGGCCGAGATTTGGACTCGGTTGCCCCACAAAGCGGGGCGGGCGCCATGCTGCATGAGGTTCGGCGGAGCGAGACGCTGGACGCTGGAACCAGTGACGGCAGGAGTGATGGAAGGGAAAAGGGAAACTTTTTGGGGGTCCAGGGACAGAAACACTGCTGAAAAAACATCCATGCGTGATATGGATGGATGGTTCGCATTTTTTTATGGACATTCCGCGGCCTGGTCGCCTTCCTGCAAAGCGATGCAAGGCGACCAATACCCCTCATTATCGACGTAAGATCGGTATGTCATGTCTAAGTACCTACTCTCTGGGCTTACATGTCAACCTTCTTGTCCGCGGGCACATATCTGGCAACGGTTGGAAGAGGCTTTCTTTGAGGGTTTCGGCCGAAGAAACATGGTCTGAACTAAGATTAATACACAGGCACACATATCCGGTCCTCAACTGCGTCTTACCGTGCAGAATAAGAGGGAGGCGTCGTGGCGGCGCGTTACCGTTTGGGTAGGCTGCGCACGACGACTAGGATGTCACCACCCACATGCTTCGGTTCATCAAGACAGTTGAGGTGAGGTGAAGTGAGGTGGGATGGGATGGAACGAAGAGCTGAACCCAGAATCAGAGACAACCAGATGAGAGCGTACCTTGAGCTTGAGCTTGATGCAAGTTGCTAAGGTAGATAGGCAGACAGCCAGCCCTAGACGGTTTTAGTCTCTGGACCCCATCCCGTCCAGTCTATATCTCGTCTCAGTCTCGCTTGTACCTATCCGTCTCATGTTGACTGGTGAAGGTTCAAAAAGATACATCTTCACCCCAAGGTACTGGAGTAAGAGAAGATGTTGGCTCGACCGCAGTGAAGGTATCCGTACTTATTAGCTGCTGCTCTGCTGTGCTGTGCTGTGCTGTGCTGAGCCGCCGCAGCTGCCTAGGCAAATCGAACCTTGGCTCCCGCTCCCTTAGATTGAATTTCCACGTCCTACCCAGGTATCAGTCCCTGCCACTCTACAAGTCCCACCCCCAACCTTCCAACCATCCATCCCTCCTCTTCGTCATCCTCGGAGCTTCTTACTCTCTCTTCCTCTCCTCTCTTGTGTCCATCTCTCACACTACACTCCCCTCCTTCAACTTACAATCACGCTTGTCGACTCTGCCACAATCAATCGATGCCACGACCTTAGGCTCTCTCTCTCTCGCGCCTCGTTTGCCCTGTTTATTTACCCCATGAGCTCATCGAGTCTCTCTTGCGCCCCTGAATCCAACACCAACAATAAGCCTCTTTTACCAACATCGACATTATTGTGTCGCATATCCCGTCTTGCGCTCCCTGCTACAACCCCCGTCAAACTGACATCCGCCGCTCCACCATTCTCCATCTGGGCCGTCTTACTTCAACACAACCAACATCTAAAGAGCCTGATCGCCCTACGTCGTCGCAACAACAATCTCGTTTCAGTATTGTCCTTTTACAATCGCAATTGCTCGACCCGAAGCCCTTGCTAGTGTTGGTCCATCTCGACCCTGGCCACTTGTCCCCGGTTCTTGGTTGCGCCGCGCGCGAAAGGTAGTACGGATACCCAGAAATAAGCGCTGGTCAAAAGACACCACCAACCCGTCCGTCCACCCAGGCCACCGCACCGCCGCCCCTCCACCACGGAACACACCTCTCGTAGCTTTCCTCCCTCAGCCTGCCGAGGGACAAACCGCTTTCTCTTTCTCTCTTTCAGAAACAACATTTACATCCCGCGATTCCTCACTTCGTCGTTTCGACTCTCCTACCTTGCCTCTAGAGGAGGACCACAGTTTGCTGTGTCATAACTTGCCCGCCACCTGTCGCTTCGGTCTATCGCATGGTGTCGCACCTAATTCAGCTATTCCTTGGCCAGAACATGACATCGCCTGTCTCTGCCTAAGCCTCGGTAGCAACCCGGCCTCGACTTTGGTTCTAATCGCCTGGTCAACTTCAAGAAGGGCAATCGCTTTCGACTACTCTAGATCCAGTTTCATCGCCGGTCTTCGCGCTCACCCGTGCCATCACCATGGCCTCGACCTACGCCGTCCCTCCCGCCTCGTTCCACGACGGGCAGGCAAACGAGCCCCGCAATCCCTCCCCGCCAACGGGCACTCAGCGCCGATTGACTGCCAATTCGTCCTTTGATCCGAACCATCTTTCTCCCGCGTCGCAATTCCAAAGCAGTTCCGTTTCGCCTAGCTTCAACGATACCCCGGCCGAATCCATTTCCACCTTCAGTCAGTACCAGAGCGATTACAGTGACATGGATGACTCGCTCGACCCCTTCTTCGGAGTCGACTTCAACTCGACAGAGCCCGGAACGCCCTCCTTCCTGGGCGCAGGAGACAGAACCGACAGCTTCGGTCAAACCACAGTTGCCCAGACTCTGAAGGCGCGCAATGGAGCCCAAGACCACAGCTCCTATCCTTTCACGCCTGAACAAACAGCCTCGCTGCACACGAACTCTCCCGGAAGCGACCCTAGGACGAATGCCACGTCCGTACCCGACCGGCTTCCAACCTCGATCTCGCCGCAGGAGCTTCAGAAGCCCTTTCAAGCACCTTACCCCATTTCCACCTACGCTGTGCAGCCCGCCCTGACGCTTCAGCCCACGCCTGATCCCAGCGGCAGCGGCCGGTCCAGCGAGGACGGGGCCGTGCCGTCGCCCGGCTTAATGGCCGCCCAGAGTCCCCGTGTTACCGTCTCCATGTGGGGCAAAGATGACTCTGAGCCCATCCAGTCCATCGAGCGCACCTTCACGCCCGAGGACGAGAAGTCCTCAACGGCTCGGGGTGGAGGGGTAAGCTCTGCCGGCGATTTGATGTCATCGCAGGATCAAAGCTCGTTCAAGCCATCTTCACGGCGCTCATCATTCAGCCGTCGCGGTCTAGACCCGGACAACAGGCCTTCCATAGAAATCGCGAGCGTCAACGAGATGGTCACGCGCCGTGAGATCGAGGAGAAGAACCAGGAGGTGGATCAGTGGCTGAAAGGCTCCATCCCGGCGCCGCCTCAGAAACAGGATGACTTCCGAGCTAGTCCTGAAGATCTGACCGAGAATGATCGGCTGAACAGACCTATCCCTTTGGGCAACGACACCGAGAACCGGCATCAACCTGGACAGACCTATTTCAACGCTGGAGGCGGTGAGATGACAGCCACAGACTTGCATATCATGCATGAGAATAGGGTCTGGGGAGATTCTCCAGTGGCTCATCCGATTAACGCACCGGAGCCAGGCAAATACCAGCCCTTGTCATCAAACGATGCAATCGCTAGGTTCAACAGAATGTGCATGGACAACGAATCCATTGTATCCAAAGCGGCTACCTGGGGCACACGTCGAAGGAACTCTCTGCCCAGTCTCAATGATGTGGACGTTGAAAACGTTACCAGCGGTAGCATACTGAAGAAGCTGTCCATCAGCAGAGGCGAAGGCGGCCGAAGACCAAGCATCTTGAAGGAGCTGCGCGGTATAGTTCGCAGGCCAAGCAACACATTCAAGCGTTCCAGAAGCATTCATGAGGACGAGCCTGTCAAGTCCGAGTCTTCTCCCCCTGAGAAACGCGATAGCTTTCCTACTCTCATGGCGGGCCGCACTACCAGTTGGGGAAAACAGAAGACGCCTACTCCGAGCATCAACACCGCCCTTGTCTCGATCGGCGGTGCTGCCGGCTCTATCGGAGCAACGCACGCCCGCACCGGCTCTATCAGTGCCACGCCTATTACTTCACCCAAGAGCCCCTTCGGCGGCTTGCAGGTCAGGAATACCCTTCGAAGGCCGAGAAGCAAGTCCGATCTGCCTAAGGGAGCCAGCAACGAAACGCACTCTAACCTCGTCGGTATGTGGAGGAAGACCGGTGGTCCACCAGTTGCGGCTCTCGCGAAAACTTCCTCCACGAATCTGGATCTGGATGATGAGGACGATGATGACGAGGAATTCGAGGATGGCGAAGTCGACTCGGAGTCCGGCAAATTGATTGACAGCGTGACGCCCAACTTCGCAGGATTCCAACAACATATCCTCCGTCTGAATCCTGACTTGGCCCATCCGAAGAACAACTTCCTGGTGGACCGCATCGCTCACCAACAGGTTGTTCGATACAAGAGCTTGCTCAACGCCCGGGTGAAGCACCTTGGCATTGGAGCAGCCTGCACCAGCGGTGCTCTCTGCCAAGCTCGCGGTGGCCGTCCTACCCTGCTTGACCAAAAGGGCGACCCGCGGGAACTCGATCCGTTGTCCTCCGGATTTGACTCTGGAGATGGCGACTCAACACCTATCGAGGGTGCCATCACAAAAGACAGCTTCCCTCAAGATATACCCATGCCACCTACACAGTCCCTTCCGGCCGAGTTTGAGTGCCAGCTGTGCTTTACGCTGAAGAAGCCCAAGAAGCCCTCCGACTGGACCAAGCACGTCCACGAGGACGTGCAGCCTTTCACCTGTACCTGGGACAAGTGCCGCGATCCCAAGATCTTCAAGCGCAAGGCCGACTGGGTACGCCACGAGAACGAAGGTCATCGCCATCTCGAGTGGTGGACTTGCGACGTGGAGGACTGCCGTCATACCTGCTACCGCCGCGACAACTTCTTGCAGCATCTCGTCCGCGAACACAAGTTCACGGAGCCGAAGAACAAGACCAAGGCCGCCATCAAACGTGCCGGGATTATGGATCCCACATGGCAGAAGGTGGAGCAGTGCCGTCACGAAACGAACAAGAGGCCGTCGGACGAAGAGTGTCGATTCTGCGGAAAGCAATTCCCGTCCTGGAAAAAGCTCACGGTTCATTTGGCCAAGCACATGGAGCACATCAGCTTGCCTATCCTTCGACTCGTCGCAGCCAAGGAGCTGGAGCCGGATACGATCATCAGTCCCGTGCAGGATCCGCCACCGAGAAACATCTTCAACGAACCCATCAGCGCCGTCTCGGGCGTGAAGAGCGAGCCGTCTCAGGGTCCGAACTATGCGCAACCATCGTATCAACCCCACACCATGATGGGCAGCAACAACGGAGCGTTTCAAAGTATGGATCAGTTTGGCTTTACCACGAGCAACACGGTCAACCCCCAATTCCAGGGATACATGTTCGGTCAACAATACCCAAACAACGGTCAACCGATGGGACAGAACGTGATGGGTGCTCAAAGTGGTCGCGGGTTAAACCAGCAGTATCACACGAACAACATGGCCATGTCAGGTGGTCAATATATGGGAACACAATACATGCCGGTGGCATCAGACACTGAGCCGTTCCCGTCCATGGACCAGAATGCTCTTGGGCTACAACATCCTCCGCAATTCGGATCTCAAATGAGCTACGATGGTATGTTGGGACAGAGTAACGTCAACGAGAACCCGTACAGCTCCCAGGGGTCAATCTCGCCGTACTCGCACTCCCCCCTTCAAGGTGGCTCGGGCTTCTATCCTCCTCAGTAAGGACGTTGCAAGCTTGATATCGGGTCGCATTTGGGTCCTTTCTTCTCTTCAGATCGACGCATATTTTGGATACCCTTACACTTGTATAGCACTATGTCCAGCAGAGCTGCGCAAGCACGCTCTAGATGGCCGGTATTTTCTTTCTTTGGTTTGTCTCATGTTTATCACGGCCGATAGTAGGATTGGAGTATACAGGACGTCCCCGAATGAAATACTGAAACGAAAAGATACGTGTGTGAAATCTTTTGAAAGTCTGGTTTTTACAGCAAGATGGTTTTTACAGCAAGACGGATGGTTTTGATAGACTGTGTGTCAGGAACTCCTCTCTGTAGTTGGTTGTATCAAGGTTGTTGTAAAAGCTTGGTTATTTACCTACCTTCCCGTACGGACAACGGCCGATGTTGGATGGGCGATGACGAGATGACGCAAACAGGGAGCAACAGATTACGCACTGATTCTCGGGAAGGTGGTTTTTTTTTTCTATTTTCTTTTCTTGGTTCGCCATTTCACGAGTCCGGATAGACAAACCCAACAAAGTCATATCTAATATCTGATCGCGCTCTCTACCGTCTACGTACCAAGGCAGTGCACGCACGCGATGTGACATGTGGGAAACGGGTTCCTGATTTCTCCACCAGAGAAGCATTTTTAGCATCCGTCGCTCCGTTTTCTGGAAGGCGTCGACGAATGACTGATGAATCCATCCTTTTTTTTCTTTCGAAGCGGTGGGTGATTTGCCGGGGAAGGGAAGCAGACGAGGGCCGGCCGCGAGTCCTGGGCCCTGCCATGCCCTGCCATGCTGGCCCCCCGAGGAGTTATCGAGCCCGGTTGGACGGGTCGCCAGGTTTTTTTTTCTCTTGATGGCGGAGCCCATTTTCTTCCAAGGCAAGACACCGGGAAGCGTTGCAATCGCACGGTAAGATGGAGAAGGGGTGATGGATGGGGTTGAGATGGGGACGGGGGACAGATGAAGGGGGGTGACCCGCTTCATACGAGGCGCAATGCCTCGACCTGTTTGTGTTGATGACGGGAGGGACGGACGGGCGGCGGCGGCGGCGGCGGCGGGAACGATTTGGATGATGGGTCGGTGGCTCCTCCACTTTCAACCTCTATCCCACCACAGAGGTCTGGAGGGTTGAATCTTGTACATGTCATTGAAAGGACTGGACTGGTGCGATGATGCAGTTGCTGAGTCGTCCGTCGGTCGGTCGGCGGGCACGGGGAGGGGCAGGAGACACGCACACGGGGACCGGGGGCGGAGACGGGGGGACGGAGGTTGTTCTGGATCTGGTGCCTGATTGTCGGTTGGCTGCATGGAAGCGTGCGTGAGGTAAGGTAGAGAAGGGGCAGGGGAGCAGGGGGGTGTGGTTGAATCTTGATTGAGTTGGTTGCGGCGGGCGGAGGGGCCGGTGTTCCTGAGAGATATGAGATGATATTGGAGATGGGGACTTTGGGTTCGTTGGGTGTATTGACAACGCTCACGGAACGGAATCACGGGAGTCGTTGGAGGGAGTTGTGTGATACCATTCTTTTGAGTGACGAAGTTGAGACATTTGTGTCTCTGGCTTATGCCGCGATGACGCCGGCCCGTTGGTCTACCGAGGACCGAGACTCGAGGGACCGGAGGAGAAGCAAAAACTGCGCGCGTGTACTCGGGAGTTTTCGTAGATTGGCGAGGAATAAGAAAGGCTTAGGTGAGTGAGTGAATGAATGCATTGATGACTTTGGTCATCGGATTCTGGGTTTTGGAGCAAGGAAGAGGGCAGATCGGTATTTTATCGAGAGCGCGGAAGGAGGTCTATATCTGGGTATCGATAATTCGCTCTTACCGTCGTTTGATGCTCTCCGATGAGTAGCGTGTCCGAGATGTCGGGGAGGGGGCAACGGAGATGGGAGGGAAAGGGCATGATGCATGTTGATGAGGGGTGTGGGTGTGTGTTTGGTCAGTCATGGCATGACGGTGATGAGTGAGTGTTTCTTACGGTGGTGGTTCTGAGGACGTTTATTACAATACGGACGGTAGTGAAGCTGAAAAGAATACGGAAGTTTGGTGTCACGGGCGGCGGCGAGGCAGTGTACCGTCGTGTTGATGAGGCATTGGGCGTTGAACCAAGGTTTCTTCACGTCGTCGTTCCTGTTTGGAGGCCTTGCTGGTGATCGTCCGGCAGGGGCTGTTCTCGGTAGGAGAGCCGTGAAAGTCATGAACTGAGTGACAGGCGATGTCGGTCCCAGCTACTCGGAACGAGGTTTCGCGAGGTTCATTCGACGCATACACACTACGCACGGGGATGGATCCGAAGGGCACACGAGAAACGGGCTTGTTTCGGAGGACGGGTGACGCAGACAGAAAAAGACCGCGGATAAAAATCAAGGTTTTGAGGGGTTTGAGGGGAAGACCCAAGAGCTTCATCGTCAGGTTACCAAGACCAAGGGTGAGTTGGCTCAGCCAGAATCACATATCCGATCTGGAGGGTTGATCATTGATGGGTGAGTAGCGTGAGCACACACGTCCCGGGCTGGGGTCTGAGGCGTAAATCGTTTGTGTGAGGTGCCATCCTTGGGAGGGAGGTGGCGCATGTTCGCTTTGGGCACGTAAAGACCCCAAGGATCGTGCGCTGCTGCTGTCTGTGAGGTAGCCAAAGATGAGATGAGAGATAGTGGACGGACGTGTGGCGCGTCATTTCACCTTTTCAGCGCGAAGTCTGTGAGCGTTCAGGTTCAGTCCATGCTCCCATTGAATGAATGCATGCGCCGCTGACAGATGGCATATGCGTACGAGAGCCAAGGCTCAACCCGGGGCCGCGGGGGCACGGGCGGGAGAGCGAGGGAACGGGAGATGGGATGGGACTGTGATGATCCGATGGACGGATACGTTGACGGCGTTGGGAAGGCGGGATTGCCCTGCCTTATCTCTTGTGGAAATCACGGCAGTCGTATGCTAAGGTACATTGCGTATGTACTATGGTAGGTACCTTTAGGTGCAGATGTCATGACCGGATATGAGGGAAAGTCTGCTGTTAAGACGGGCGGCGATGCGGTATGTATGTAATAACGGATTTTGATGGTGCAATGCTGGTGATCCTTAACGATATCGCAGTGGTAGTAACGACGATGGATAAGGCGGCTTGGGTTGCGACGTGGAGCACATGCGAGGGGCATGGTCATTCGTAAATCACGGTACCGTCGTGGAGGTTTGGTTGTTTTTAGAAGCAGGTAATCTTCCAGGGTATCAATCAATCAATCAATCAATCAGCCAGGCCCGTCTGCCGTACCAACGGACTGAATTTGATTGATTGAATTGAATCAATTTTCAAGTATCGGTTAGCCTGGGTGGGATATAGTGGTCCCCTCCAAAAAGACCGAAGATTCAAGAGAGTCAAGACAGAAAACCCAAGACATTGTAGCGGGTAAAAATTTCCGTAGCCAGAAACAGCCAGACCACTCGCTGGAATTCGATGTCGAACAATTGAGAACCGAGAAAGAAACCTCGACCTCGGTGAAGAATTTCCCAGACCTCCTCCTTCTCCAAGTTCTCCGTGATGGCGCAGTTTCAGACAAGACCGGGGTCCGGGACCGGTCTGGTTCGGGATTCCTTGTGCCTTGTGCCTGGTCATCCATCTGGGCGTGGCGCCGGCCTGCACACGCGCGCTCTTCACGAGTTCTCTTCTTTTCGCGAGCAAGAGATGAGAGGCGGTTCAAACGGCGGGAGCCAATGAGTCCAATCAAAAAAGCCCCGTCGAGAGGGATTCGAGACTCGAGACCTCGAGTCCTGTGCAGGAAAGGCGCGAAAAATCGAAGTCACTCGGTCACTCCCCTGCCGATCTCCCAGCCAAGCCCCTCGGAGACCCCTGAATGATGCAGGGGGCGCTTGCGCTGGCTGCTGGTTGCCCCTGATTATTCACACCCTCATGATTTTGTGAAATTCTGCAAAGCCGCTGGACAGTTGGTGGTCAACAGTGATGGAACGATTTGAAGACATTGGTGGTTGGAAAGAGGTCCATTTATGAATCATCATCGAGAAACCTCTGCGGAATTACCGACATCTGCTCCTCCTCGAGGCATTCAAGACAGTGTTTCAGGTCCACAAGAAAGAATGGGCAGACGCGTACCTTATGTCAAGTTCATCAGCTTGTTCATCCAGTCTTTATGCCTAGGTACTGCTGCGTACTGCTGCGTAAGGTACCTGATTACCGTTGAAAGGTGCCGTGCCGTGGCAAACGGATACAAACGGTGGTAATTTGGTGGCAGGTTGTAGTGAGCAAATGAGACTCCTATGTACTCCCGCACCACCTGCAATGCGTAGAGGTACTTCCGACAGTCCAACGGCTGTCCAAGCAATTTGTTCCCTGACTGAATCCCGGGCCCCTCAATCTCTTGTTTCCTCACCAGCAAACACCTCGGAGCAGTCCAGACTCCAGCAGACTCGCCCAACACACGACAACACCACGAGTCTAGACAGATGCCAGCCAGGGGCTTCAGACGGGGGTATTCCAACTGTCTTGTCTTGTCTTGTGTGGTTGTGTTTTTGACTTTTGAGCCCTCACTTGCGTTTACGAATTTCTGACGAGTCCGTTCGACACGCTACTGTGTTCCTCCCTCTTCCTTGCAGTAGCTTCGTCCCATCTGCGCCTAACACGTAGGAAGCTGGACTAAAAACACGAAGGCTTGCGCGCCGTTCTCCCACGATGAGACGGGACGGCGAACGACAAGCAGCCGCACCATGCCATGGCTCATGCCGGTGCCGTGCCGCGCCAGACCAGACCACGGCAGATACAGAGAGAGAGAGAAAGAGAAAGATGGGAGATGACTGCCCGTTGTACCTGAAGGCCCAACCATGGGAGGGCCCTCGTTCGTCAGCGCCGCGTCGTGGGTCGACCCAATCCTTGGGTTATTACTGGACATAGATGCTGTAGGTACATGAACCCGACCAGGGGTGGGAGACACTTTTGCAGGCCTTCGGCTGGCTGAGAGGACTCCGTGAGCAAGGAACATGTCAGGGACGAGGCTCCAATCGAACTTGCGCCCGGTGGAGGCGCCCGGGGGTATGGACGGGGGTGGTCTTGAACACGACGACCTGGACTGGACTCTCTGAACAGCAGCTGCGGACTGCAGAAAGACAGCAGAAGAGAGAGAGAAAGACTCGATAACCAGGGTCCATGTCCTATTTTCATGGGCCGGTGGATGAGAACAGACGACGCTGAGGTCGCTTCCAGGCTTGGGTCCCCGTCTCCCGCCAACCATCGATCGCCAATCGCTTCCCCTTCTTGCCCAGTTCGTGTTCGTCCTTTTCCCTCTCCGTCTCTCTTGTCCTTCTTGGATCTGAACCTGAACCACCCATTCTCCCTTCTTCCCCTTCCTTTCACACCACACACACACACACATCCTCTCCACCAAACACCTCCTGACCGGCGTAGCTTCTCAGCATCGTCACCTTCCGCTCGTTTCATATACCCGCCCGTGGACTTTAGCCTCTTTTACGCCCAGCCACTGTCTCTCTCTCTCTGGCTGTCTATTCCAGGCTATCTCTCTCTCACACACACACTCACTCACTCGTAACATACCTAAACATCTAAACACCACAACCCGTCACCATAGGTTCTCGACCTTCTCTCGTCGACTCAAGACTCTCGACATCACAGAGGCCTCTCGAAGGCTCACCCCATCGTCACGATTCGGGCTCTGCAAAGGCACCTCGCTGCCCGCCCATACTTCCCTTCTTTCCAGGTTGATCCTCGGCCGCCTTTTCTTCCTCACTCTCTCCGTCCGATTCTGTAGAGCTGTGCTTGCTTCCCGTTTGCCTCTTACAACCTTCTTTCCGATCTACCTTCTCTAGTACTCTACAGTTTGTTTCCTTTGGTCTCACGACTCGCCCATATACCCTCGACGCGACGACGACGACTCGATAGCAATCACTCGCTTCACCAAAGAAACACCTGATTTCGCCACCCGACGAACACGGCATCTCTCTCACACAACTCTGTATCAAAGCGTATCAAATTTTGTTAGCTTGGGAAAGGGACGGCAAAGATTTTTGTTGGGAGTACTTGGAAAGAAAGAAGCTCGTAAAGGCTCAGAAAGCATAGACCTGGATATACCCATCAGCGGCTTGGGAACCATCATCGATTCCCGAACAGAAACGACGACGAACCACGAATTTTTTTACAACCCGAATCACATTTTCAACCTTCACAATGACGCGAACCGCATCGAGTTGGGGCCCGAGGAGGCTGTTGGCTTTGGCCGCTACCTTCGCCACCAGCACCGTCGCCGACTCCATCCTCAAGACCAGCAGCTTCACAACCTGCGGCAACGATTCCGCCATTACCGTACAGAAGATCGATATTCAGTACAACAACGACGACAAGACCGTCACTTTTGACGTAGCAGGAACGAGCGCCAAAAGCCAGAACGTCACCGCTGTATTGGACGTAAGCGCCTACGGAACCGCCATTTACTCCAACAGCTTCAACCCGTGCGACGCCGGCACTTACGTCGAGCAGCTTTGCCCTGGTATGTGACCAGTTGCCAGACTGCCAAGACTTGAACCCGTTATACTGACATCCCACAGTTCCCGCCGGATCCTTCGCCGCCCGCGGCACCCAGAAGATCCCCGATGAGTACGCCAGCATGGTCCCTGCCATCGCCTTCGCCGTTCCCGATATTGCCGCCATGGCCAAGCTTCAACTCAAGACCCTCGACACCTCAACAGAGGTCGCCTGCATTCAGTCACAGGTCACCAACGGCAAGACGGCCAGCGTCGCTGCTGTCTCGTACATCGCCGCCGGTGTTGCTGGCCTCGCTCTCGTCGCCGGTGGTGTTTCCGCTGTCAGCGGTGCCTTCGCCGGAGGCAGCGCGGCTCTCAGCGGCGGCCACGGCGGCGCCGGTACCATGAGCCCCAGTTTCACTGAGGTCGCCGGTTGGTTCCAGGGCATGGCCATGAACGGCATGCTTTCCGTCAACTACCCTCCCGTCTACCGCAGCTTCACCAAGAACTTCGGTTTCTCCACCGGTATCATCCCCTGGACTGACATGCAGGTCGCGATCGACAACTTCCGTGGAATGACTGGCGGTGACCTCACCAAGGACAGCGTCCAGATTCTCAAGAACAGCACCCTTGTTCTCAGCGACGGCTCGACCATCGACGGCAACAGCACTTCTCTCAAGGTCAAGCGTGCCATGGATGCTTTTGCTCTCCTCGCCAGAGAGATCGAGACGAGCGTCAACGGAACCACCAGCGGCGATTCTGGCGGCGACGACCCCGTCAGCACCATCAAGCAGAAGGTTCAGGGTATCACTGCTTTCGTCAACACCCTCAGTGTCCCCAAGTCCAACACCTTCATGACCGTCCTCCTCATCGTCGCCATTGTCATTGCTGCTATCATTGTCGGTATTCTCCTCGTCAAGGTCATCCTCGAGTTCTGGGCTCTCTTCGGCAGCTTCCCCAAGGGTCTGGCTGGTTTCCGTGAGCACTACTGGGGCTCCATCGCTCGTGCCATTACTCAGCTCATTCTCCTGCTCTACGGTATCTGGGTCTTGTACTGCATCTTCCAGTTCACCAACGGAGATTCATGGGCTGCGAAGGCACTTGCCGGTGTCAGTCTGGGTATCTTTACCGCCATTCTCGCCTTCTTCTCTTACAAGATCTGGAGCACCGCTCGCAAGCTGAAGAATGCCGAGGGTGACGTCGCCGGTCTGTACAACGACAAGAGCAACTGGATGAAGTACTCCCTCTTCTACGAATCCTACAAGAAGAGCTACTGGTGGATCTTCGTCCCCGTCATCATCTACATGTTCGCCAAGGGTACCATTCTCGCCGCTGGCGACGGCCACGGCATGGCCCAGACCTCTGCTCAACTCATCGTCGAGGGTCTCATGCTCATTCTCCTCCTGTGGAGCCGTCCCTTCGAGCGCAAGTCCGGAAACGTCATCAACATCGCTATCCAGGTTGTCCGCGTCCTCTCCGTTGCTTGCATTCTCGTCTTCGTCGAGGAGTTCGGCATCGCCCAGACCACCCAGACAGTCACCGGTGTCGTCCTCATCGCCGTCCAGTCAGCTCTGACTGGTGTCCTGGCCATCCTCATCATCTGGAACGCCGTCAACGCCTGCATCAAGGAGAACCCCCACCGCAAGCGCAGAAAGGAGATGGGTAAGTTCAAGCACGTCCACAATCTGAAAGACATGATCACTGACCCCATTACAGAGAAGATGCAGCGTGACATGGACACCCTCACGCCCCTCGACGCCCGCAACTCCCTCCTGATGGACCGTAAGGACCCCGAGCACGGCACCACCTTCTCCATGAGCAGCGTCCCCGAGAAGAAGGGCGTCCGCTCCGAGTCTCCCGAACCGTACCTCGGTGCTGCCGGCAACGGCCCTTACCACCCTTTGGCGCCCAACACGCCGTACATCAACCCCAACGAGAGCAGAGACAACCTCGTCCTCGGCGCGGCGCCCATCGCCGACAGGAAGCCCACGTTGCCCAACGTAGGCGGCTACGACAACGGTGGATACGGCGGCGGTGGTGGTTACCGGGGAGTGTATCACTAAACGTGATGAACTAAGGGAAGGGAAACGCCACCAAGCCAGGCGCGTGGCCTGAATGAACTATGAACATAAAAACCAATAACCCCCAAAAGTGTGGAATATGTATGACCAGATGGGATCCGATACCAAAGGTTCCATAAAGAGCCAAGCTTTATATCTCTATTTTCCTTATTTTTTATTTATATTCAAACTTTCCTTGACTAGTCTCTCATTTCTTCTCCATTCCCAAACACATACCTCTGCACATGGTCCAATGATGTTGACGGCCTTGTTGTGTCTTTTTTTCCTTCTGTCTTTTCAAGGAGGGAGAAAGCAACCGCAGCAAGCAGTCCACGCTCTCTACGTAGAAAAAAGTGTCAGCCTCATCAAATGAACAGACATTTTTTAATTATTCGACCGCAAAGGTTTCTTGTTTTCTTAGGGGTTTTTCTATATCAAAACAGTAAGAATAGGTGCATGGTAGCGAATTCGGTAGATACCTCTTTATTATTTCTTCTCATCCCACGCCGTGGACGTCTTTTGTTCCTTTGGCCATAACATTCAAGAGTACTGTATATACACAATAAACGAAAAATTAATCAATTGATAGCTCTATACGTCAGTGAAGGTATCGTATGTGTACGGATACATGGAGGTACATCGAAACTTTGAAGAGATCGTCGAAGGGGGGGCCTCAAGGGTGCGTGGTCTTGGCTTTTTCTTCGGCGGTGGCTAGTCATGTCTATCATGATGACTTGCCTTTCGCGCGTGGCCTGGCCCACGTTGACGCGTCCTTTGGGGGGTAAAGATCATCGTTTGTATGGAGATGGAGGAAAGGTCTAGACTTTTTGGATTTTGTTTGCTTTTTCTTGGGTGTTCGTTCTGGCCCTGTGAGGCCTTTTGGTCTGAGCGTCCCGGCGGTTTGTTTGTGTGGAATTGAGATGAGAGGTGAGATGAGCTGAGGTGTGCTTCCAGCCCCTTGCTCACATGACTGTTGCTTAGAAGTTTGGGTTGAGCTGATGGGTGCTGCGGGTCTGTGATGAGAGTGAGTTGAGCTTGAGGATTGTGGTTTGGATTAGGTGGTTATTGGGCTTTTGGCTTAGTTCCGTTGCTGGTTTTCTGAGGAGGACTTCGGTTGTAGATTGATGGAATTTGAAATTCGAGTCTGGGCCTGGAGGGAAGTGGTGCTCTATGAGATTTGAGGCGGGCGTTTGGGTTTGAGTTGGGATGTGGTTGTTTGTGTGGGTTGGTGGAGGAGGTAGGTGAGCTGAGCTGACCTGTGGTATTGAGTTGACCCGACCTGTGCTATCAAAGTTGAGCTGACCTGTGCTATGGATACCAAGTTGACCCGACCTGTGCTATCAAGTTGAGCTGACCTGAGGTGTGCCATGGATACTAAATTCACCTATCCCATGCTGTGGACACACAACTGACCTGACCTGTGCTGTCAAGTTGACCTGACCTATGCTCTGGATATGAAGCTGAGCTGACCTGTTCTATGAATACCTGTATGGTCTTCTTTTTATGGCACATGTATATCAATGACAGGTCAAGCGATCAACGAAGTCCAACGAGAGACCAGGTCTAACGTGGCCTGGCCGCCCGACAGCCTTTGAAACCCTCCCTCACCCATGGGAATCCTTCTCGGGTTTGGCGATATCGCTCCCTTTCAGCCCATAGGTACTGACTAAGTTGGAAAGCATGGAGCATAGAAAAGACCGAAACCGAGAAAAAAAAATGTGTGAAGGGTATCTCAGGTTACAGGAAACTGTCGGACTCGGATACCACATTGAAGTCGGGGACGGTGTTCAGGCACGGGATTTCCCCCTTTGATGAGTTTGGCAACGGCTTGACGGCGCATATCCAGCTTCTTGCTGATCACGTCTCAAGGCTTCACGACGTAATGACATCGCCAAGGATAAGGATTCGTAATTCGATATTATAAGGAATGCCTGCGCGATGGCACATATAAAGAGACTGCAGCAGTCCCCCGACGACCATCCGCGGGCCAAGTCCGGTTGCCAACTCATGTGCAGCAAAGCATCACTCACAATGCGGCCTACTCTGTTCTTTTTTACTCTGACTGTAGCTCCGTATGCAATGGCGCAAAGCTGTCGGACCGTCGAAACTTGCAAGAGCGGAGCATGCAACGTTGCGGATGTAAGAAGACCATTTTTATATCGAGAGACGCGAAATCAAGAAGATTTGAGGCTAATCTCAGAAGACACCTCGTGCGTGCGACTTTGGCTTTCAGAGTGCCCCATTCTGCAGCAGTGTAGGGACCCCACGCCGCGCTCAGGTCACTCATTCTCTTGCTGACACAGGTACACTAGGGCCAAGCTTGCCAGCCGGGAAGCTGTTCGAACTGTAACGCCAATGGTGTTTGTACTGTAAGTGAGAGTTCAAAAAACGTTGAATAACATCAACTGACATGAATCGGGCAATAGTCTTGCACAGTCAAATGCGTATGAATCCTGCCGATTTCGATTTTCAGTAGCTGACCCAAGAATTCAGTGTAACCGCGAGGGTAATTAACAAACGACATTCGGTGTAGGGCAATAGGCTTAGGTTTGTGTACGGGCATGGTAGACGGAGAGAAAAACATGTAACAAGCGGCATAGAGGGATCTAGATGAGACTGGCCTATCGAATTGAGCAGTTGACCTCTTGAGCTAACCTGACGTGCCATTTGAGTTGACCTGACCTACCCCAATGTATCTGAGCTGACCTGACCTACCCTCAGTTGACCTGACCTACCTACTCGACCCACATCAATGGTCCGGTTATCTTCTACTCAACAGCACTGAAATGATCGATCGATGGTAGGTAGATGAGCTCAACTGTGTTACCCGACAACTTTCATGTTCCGTCTCGTGCGCACATATCGCCAGGTCATTTGTCTCGCGAGGCAGCGCAGCATCCTTCCAGGAACGAGCGGCGCGTTCTTTCGCATCAGTGTTCATTTGCTGTGCTTGAAGCCTTCAACTCGCTCGCTTGTTCTGATTCTCGCTTGAGCTGACCTGACCTACCTATCCACTCGAGTTGAGCTGAGCTGACCTACCCTCCTGCTAAAGTTGAGCTGACCTGACCTACCTGATCCGTGCTCAATAGACTGAGGTGAGTGTTTGAGTTGACCTGACCTACCTACCCACTTGAGTTGAGCTGACCTGACGTACCCCTTGGAACTCATCTATGAGCTGACCTGACCTACCTTGTCTGTGCTCAGTAGACCGACATGAGTGTTTGAGTTGACCTGACCTACCTATTCACCTGAGTAGCTGACCTGACCTACCCTCCCGCGAAAGTTGACCTGACCTACCACTCTCATAACACGCCTTGTGTCAGATAGGCCAGCTCCAGCAATCGCACACCTTGTTTCGAAGAAGCAACATCCTCGCTTTACTCAGTGACCGTTGGATCATGAGTCGTCAGGGCAGCCTCGCGTCAATTCATCAGCGTGGCCTCACCAAGTCGGTAGGACGCGCACCGGCGCTTTCTCTCGACGATGCGGGCTTCGATTTGTGTAGGGACTCATTTGGAGACGCGACATGCGACACGCGTGAAAACTCCCAAAAGGGTCGTGGTCAATCAGATTACTCGGGATTCTCTTGACGAGCATCTGTTTCTGATTGAAAATTCGGCCAGAGGCGGGTTCTGCATTGCTTCTCTTGGCTGTGGATTATTCCTTGAGTTGACCTGACCTACCCTCCAAGCTGATCTGACCTACCTAAGGTACTGTTTGAGCTGACCTGACCTACCTTCGAGTTGACCTGACCTACCTTTGAACTGACCTGACGTACCCAACTACCTCAGGTCAGCTACGCGCCATCCAATCAGCACTTCGAATCTCAAGTTCAGCCCACAAACCCATCAATTTCCGAGAGTTGACCTGACGTACCCTCCTTCGCTTGAGTTGACCTGACCTACCCTCCGCTTGTCCTCGCCAAACTCATCCGACCTCCTATTCCCTAACCTAGTCGGATGTCTTCTGCGGCATCGTTGCTCAGATTGCGGATTGCGCGCCTCGATGGAGCTCATCTCGTTTGTTGCCCAAGCGAATATTTCCGCGCAAGTTGTTCAAGGGCGGCCCTGTGTTCTGTTTGCCGACTTGACCTGACCTACCCAACTCGCTTAAGCTGACCTGACCTACCCTCTTCGTAACTCGCCAGATTGAAACACTCTTTCAGAAACAGTCGGTGAAGAGAGCGCATTTTGTTAGTTTATCAGTCACTTCATTCTGCGCGCCGTGAATGATGCCACAGTGGCGCCGTTGGCTCAATTCAGATGCCAAGGAACTCACTCGTTCGAAAAGCTGCAACGATGATGGATGACCTACAAAATTCAACATTCACGTCAGCTCATTCACTGCAGTACTTTAGGTGAAGCCTGCTGCTTATTCAGGGGACACGTTCGAACCGACCAGGTTTGGTATCAATATCAATGCATCGGATCGCTGTTCAGTGTGAGTTGGATGAGTTCGCGAGTTCATGGCGAAAATTCAGGATGTCACTGGAGTTCATCTCAAGAGCCGTGATGAATTGTCACTGGCCCAAGAATGGAAGCAGCGGGTTTCCAGCCAGGGGCTTGCTCTTTCCAGGGCCTGAGTGCACAGTATATCATCGCGATCCGCGAAGACAGATCCGCACGGCTACTCGGTATGGTTATCGTGTATAGATGCACAGTGCTAACAGAAGCTCTGCCCCTCATCACCCCACTGAACGTCATCCACACCAAACGGTGCCCCAAACTTGGTCTCACATCGTCAACCCAGCCCATCGTCACCAGCACTCCTGCGGACATCGATCTGGCTCTGCCATTTTGTTCGGCCACTCCCCATCACTGGCTTACTCAGTCCCGGCATTGAACGTCGTCTCCTCGCAGTACCAGCTGCTCCTCTCGCCAGACCTGCAAGCTCCTCCCAATTCGCAAGCCAAGTTACACACAAACGAGCTGCTCATCTGCATCTCTACTGCACCCGCTTCCGCCAACCCGCATGGACTAAGCATTCCTTGGCAGTTCGGAAGAAAATCACCCCCCGAAAATGAGTGAGTTGCAAAAGGCCTGGGCCAAGAGGAAACTCGACCCGATGCACCCACTGCCGGAGCCTCTCAACGATCTCGACGAGGAGCCAGATCTCGACCAGGTCCCCGAACTGCCTGAGCAACCCGACGATGGGGATTCGTCTTCGGCCTCATCGGCCTCGTCCGCTTCCTCGACAGGCACCGTCATCCCGTCGCCCAGCCAGAACCTGTTCGCTCGACCTCAAGGGTAAGGAAATCTCATCATCTTCGCGCGAGTGACCCGAGGAGGGCGTCGAAGTGGACGGGAGATACACAATATTCAGGGCGCTGATTCAGCTTCTAGTGTGCCGCGGGGCCGCACGCTGGAACAGATTCCCTGGACCACCTACTTCGAGCGCGAGCTCTTTCTGAAGCCCGGAGGCGACGGTGACGGTTCCGTCACGTATCACGCGTACCTCAATTCCCCCGTCGACAAAGGTCCCTTGTTTGTCATGCACCACGGCGCCGGTTCCTCGGGACTCTCCTTCGCCGCCCTGTCGTCCGAAATCCGGAAGCGCCTTCCTTCGGCCGGCATCCTATCGCCCGATGCGCGGGGCCACGGCTCCACCTCCATCACGGACGGCACCGAGCTGGACCTCAAACTCGACATCTTGACGGCCGATCTTTTCAGCGTCATCCAGTTGACTAAAGCCCAGATGGGCTGGCGGGAGCTGCCTCCGATCGTGCTCATTGGCCACTCTCTCGGCGGTGCTGTCGTGACTGACCTCGCCAAGTCGGCCAAGTTGGGCAATTCGCTGCTGGGCTATGGGGTGCTTGATGTGGTGGAGGGCTCGGCCATGGATGCGTTGCAGAGCATGCTGACGTACCTTTCAACGCGGCCGAGTGGTTTCGCAAGCCTGCAGGCCGGTATCGATTGGCACATCCGCTCGCGGACCGTCCGCAATTCGGTCTCAGCCCGGACGTCAGTACCGGCTCTGCTGGTGTTTGATGACCAAACGGATCCCACGCGGCCGTGGCGATGGAGGACAGATCTTTCAGCCACACAACCGTTCTGGGAGGGCTGGTTTGTCGGGCTAAGCAAGAAGTTCCTCGAGGCCAGGGGAGGGAAACTGCTTCTCCTAGCGGGGACGGACAGGCTGGACACGGAGCTGACCATTGGTCAGATGCAAGGTGAGCCGGTCTTCATTGCAGCTTTCTGCTGATCGAGGCATCGAGCTGACATTATTTTCCAGGAAAATACGCACTTCAAGTATTCCCCGAGGCAGGCCATTTCATCCACGAAGACCTACCGGAGAAAACAGCGTTGGCGGTTGTGGACTTTTACAGACGGAACGACAGGACCGCGCTGGTGCTGCCGCCCAAAGTTGGCGATTTGCTAAAGCAAGGGAAGAGGGTCTAGAGTCGTGCCCGTTGGTGTTGATGCGTGCATTTAGACTCGTGGTTCTGTGTATTCAGAGTTATACCCCTGAATTCGCTCGTCGCCCGAAAGATTCTGTGCCGAGAGAGCACGGCGCAAGACTAACACAATCAAACAAAAACACAAACACGTCATGTTTTGACACCCGTTCGCATCTTTCTTGTGACACTGATCATGCCCCAGTAGCTATCGTTACACCGCCGAGATACCGAGATGTCTCGTTCGCATCTGATCACGGACACCCACGAAACTCTGCGAGTCACAAACTGCCTCATAGAAGACAGGCGTATCTAAGCGTTTTCCTCGAATCGATTCTTCCTTCGTGCGTCTCGCCATCAATCATTAAACTGGACAACGGGCCTGGGTCAAATTACCCGGCGAGGGGTATCTTTATCATATACATGTTCGCCTGCGTCGCTATTGTACGCTCCAAAATCCAGTTCCTCTCTATGTTCATGGTTTGCTTATGTTGTAGTTAGTAGGAAAAGGAAACACCTTTCTATCTCTCCATTCTGGTGTGCGGTCCCAGCCTCTCAGACGGCATATCCCTCTTCCCAGTCCTCTCATCATCGTCGCTGCTGTTGTCAGACACGCAAATCGTCGGCGGGAGGATGTGATCTATAGAATGCGACGTGATGTCGATGGTCGTGCGGACGTTGATGACAGGCCTCGGCGACGCCTGTCCCTCGCGTACGTGGCTGTGGCTCCTCTGCCCGAGGTCCGACGACGGCCTCGACTCGGGGTAGTCGTGCTCGTCGCTGCCCCTGTCCTCGCGGACGGTCTTGTTCAGCTCGATGTCGGAACCCTCGGACGAGAGCGCCCTCTCGATGTCGTCGTACGTGCGGCCGGTGGAGGTGCTCTTGTCCGAGACGATGCCCCCCTTGGTCGCCCTCGGCGTGGGGGGCTCTTTGGCACCCGGGTTTCCGTTCGAGTCGATCCATGCCGGGCCTGATGGACGGGAGTTTTTGCTGTTGGTGCTCCAGCCGAAGCCCCAGCCCTGGAAGAGGGGCCTCATGCTGGTCACGGAGGCGGCGATGATTCCTAACGCTGGTTCCATGACGCTCCAGATGGCGACGTCTCTGTTGATATGTTGTCAGTATGTCGGTGGCACAGCGGTGATGGTAAGCAGTCTTACATTGTCTCGTACAGAAAGTCCGCCGAGATGGCAAGGCGTCTGACGTAGGGAATGCGAATCATGAGAGCTACGCCGGCGCTGCAGATCCTCGTTAGCAAACAACATCAGCCCCAGGGGACACGGGTTTCCACTTACACCATGCCCATGCTGAGAAGCACGGCGACCAACGCCTTGGTCCGGCGGTTGAGGTTGACGTTCCACAACAAGGCTATCGGTAATAACCCAATGCACCAGTCAGACAGCGCCGAGATGATGCTGTGGGCGATGGTCGCGTCCGGGACGATATTGTAGTTGATGCACCTCCCCTCGTCCCCGTACAGTTGTCTCCAGAAGTACGACGGCGGCATGCACTGGAACATCATGATGAAGAAGAAGGCGACGGAGATGCCAAAGACGACGGCGAGGTTGACGTAGATGACCCATCGGTGGATCTTGTTGAGGGCGAGGCGGAGCAGGAGGAGGCAGATGGACGTCCTGATGGCCAGCGTGATCGGGGAGTAGAGCACCTCGCAGATGTACCAGGCCCTGAGGGAGGTGGCGGCTTGTTCGCGGGTGAGCTCCGAGATGTGTTTGCCGGTGGCGCCTTGGGTGACTCCGTGAAGGGCGACGCCGCCGTAGACGGTGTACATGAGCTGCGAGGGATCGCGTCAGTCTGAAAGCGGAGGAGGACTGAGTTGATGGACACGGCGAACTCACCATCGCGCCAAAGATGAGCCAGTCGTCGGCGGCTACGCTCTTGACTATGCACACTTTGACGTATGCTCTTGCGAGAACGAAGAAGCCGGCCGCGATCAGGAACGCCAGCTGGACTGCGAACAGCTCCATTCCCCGAGAATGGATGTCCTCGTGACTGACCCGTGCAAAGATGTAGTGGTTTTCCATGGCGCTGGATTGCTATCGCGATATCTGAGGAGATCACCCAAGACCGCCCACGTAGGGTGCCCATGTTGGAGGAGCGAGAAGAGCCTTATAGTCCAGACTCCTCCTGTCAGGCGCGAACCCGGATCTGTCAGGAATGAACTCCTCCGGCAGTGGAGTCCCTGGAAAAAAGAAATGGAAAAGAAAGCACGGCGTTTATGGGAGGGCTCCATGGCCGCATGGAGGTCGTTGTTCAGGTACGGGATACTTCTGCGGGTTGGCGGGGAGAGACTGCAACTTGCATCTGCCGCTGCATGACGGGCAGGGTGTGAGCAGGCATTTTGGCATACCGCGATGTGAGTGGCTCGTCGAGAGAATCAGGGTCATCCGAACCAGGGCCGTGTATTGGAACATGTAAGAAGGGCACTGCCAAATGACATACCCGCCACCGAGTCTGGTCTTCCCACGATTCCGACTGGCTTGCCTGCAAGTTGTATGCGTTCCGAAGGAGACGAGAACCCACAGTTGGAGAAAAGAAACCTCCACGGGGCCAGATGGAGTTCGGCTGACGGGTCAATCTAACAACACGAACGAAACTTCAGATGAAAAGATTTCGGTAGGGCAAGTATTGATAACTAGGTGAGAACCGTCTACAGAGGTAGGAACATCAGTACTCTGGACTTCAAGAATTTCCATCGCCTTAGTGCTTGGAAGAGAACGTGAAAGAACACCTGCCAACTTCTGTACAAACGAACCGTCGTGGCGTGCTCGAGAACTCCGCGAGGCTGAGATCCCTCCTTCACATTCAGACTTTTCCAAAGTCACTCCCCCGAATATGACACGTCTGGTAGCTCGGTCCTTGGTAAAATAAGGCGATATATCTCGCATGTTGGCTCTTGTCTTGGGTCTGGGGTCTGAAGCCTGCGACGTAGGAAGCCTGGCCACGACCGTGTTTCTCACCAGCGATTGCCGAGGGATTATGTGTCACCCCCTGCAAACGTAGAATGTTGCGCACTGCCGAGTATGTCTTGGATATCGCACATATCGTAAGCATCATGGTGGCGGGAGGCCCGTGGTCCTCGAACGACATGGTGATTCCTCAGCACGCTTTGGCCATATGGATCTTATTCGAAAAGAAAAGATGGAGTAGCGGCCTGGGATCTTGACTATGGGTGCAGGAAAATGCAAGGTGCGATCACTCAGTTCTCGTTTGTGACATATGCTGTTGCGTGATCCCGATTCCAGCGTCAGCCATATCGATTCTCGTCGTTGCAGCTTGAGCACACTTGGAGGACAGACTCCGCGGTGGCTTGTTGGGAGGGTTTTCCGCGCTCTCGGGCTTTCGAGGAACGACGGCGAGTCTTCTTCCTCAGCTGCATTCGAAATTAGCATGAAATAGATTACGGATGACTCTGATGGAAGACATCATACTACCCTATGCGATCCGCCGAATCCTGCTATCTCCCAGGGTGCTACCTAAGGCAGCACCGGCAGGTTGTCCCAGTCGTACGATTGTAAGGCACGTAAGGTAAAGTGACTTGCATACTGACCCAAGGCAAGATGGACAGGTTCAATGGGTGGGTAGCAGCCGATGGCAACATCGCCTTTGGCATATCGGCCGTAGCGGCTTCGAGTCGCCAGCCAATCACAACGGCCTTTTGCGTCGGAATCAGGGGTTTTCATGAGCCTCTGGAGCATGTCAGAATGATCATCCAACGGCCGTCGTTGTCGTAACTTCGGATATGCAGACTGGAAGTGGGCGTAACGGGGAAAACGGCCCAGGCCAAGCCGGCGAAAGGGCTTGAGTGATCTGTCAAATGCAAAGAAGTGGACTATGGGGAGGTTCGAGGACCCTGAGCGGAAAGGATTGGACTTTGCCCGTCTACTCGTAATATCTGACGGGTGCTTCTCGGGCTGCGAGAGGTCGAGATTGACAAGAAAAAGAAAGTTATTGGAGCCAGGTGGGGAGGAAGTTGCGGTGGAGGTCCAGCAGCGACGCTGCGGGGACCAGGATGACACAGGCCCGGGGGAGCTCCGGAGGCAGGGGCCGGGGGCCATCTCGCCAATCGTCAGGAGTCCACGACGTGAGAGGGCACCAGCCACGACGCGGATGGCATGTAAGGCACAAAGTGCTGGAGCAGATCTTTTGGATCCCGGACGGCTGCCGTGGTGTCATCCGGGGCGGGTTATGTTTGCCTGCCAACTTTGACGGGTTACATTGACAAGAGCTTGGTGCATGAGTACCGGCCGAAATACTGCTGGGCAACGGCTTCGAGGTGAGCCGGCCTACATTGCATCATGCTTTGCTTCAAGATGCAAGACGCCCAGGGCAGTTTCGAGATCGGATCGTGTTGAGGTGACAGCTCATGAAGCGGATCTGGCGCTTCTCACTTTCCCTGTTCCCCGACTGCATTATGCGTTGTGTGTTGTGGGATGAACTGCATTCCTTCCTTACATCTCGCAGACCGCGGATTGAAAGATTTTTCTCAGATACCCGCAGTTCGTTCTTTTCTTTTAGAGGCCTCTTGACGCTCTCGCCGTGATTATGCGTCTGGAGTGAGACACGAGAATCGCTTAAAAATGATCAATCACTTCTGAAAATCAATTGTGGTTTGGAGCCCCTCACCAGTGTCCGCAGCACTGGCAATTCTGCGTCGCTGCTGATTCGATCCTTTTTCTGTTCTTCATCAGCTCGGGTGCTTTGGAAATGTCTCGCGGGAGCGGCTTGCGGCTTGCCAGCCACGTTCGGACTTCGTTGGGCACAGTCTACCTTATGCTTGGAAACACGTGTGGAACAGATCTATGTCGTGCCCAAAAAGCTAGACGGGGTCGAAGAATCAAATGCGTGTCCCAGACAATTCCGAGTGAACGGAGCTCTTGACGCCTAAAGCCTGTCGTCGTCTGCGACTGCACATGTCGCTGCGCTGCGCATTGAAGCATTGGCGTTCGCTTTGTGGGAACCACCGAAATTTGAGACTTTTTTGGTCCCGAGGTCGAGCCGGGGAGGAAAAAGAAAATATCTCAAGCTTGTGGTCAGATTATGACGTTGACGACGTGGGCCTGGGCTCGCTTGAGGGCGCAGGTGGCTGACTGGAAGACATGAGGGGCATAGCAAAGTAAAGGAGAATAAGGCAATGCGGAGCATCATGGGCCTTTGACGGTCGGTGATGGGGTCCTACACGGTCTTCCGGGTCGAAGCGTCGTCCTACGGGTGCCTCACGGCGGCTCCGAAGACGGCACGGTGCAGTCCGCCCGAATTGCGGGGGCGGGGCCGTCCTGCTGATCGGGACGCACAGACCCATCTGGCCGAACCCTCCGGCTTTCCGATCGATCGAAATCATTACGTCGACTTTGCCATAGCGGGACCATTTCATAAGTCTCAAGCAGACGGAAGTTTCTCTCCGCAAATTCTATGCGTGGATGAGAGTCTTCATCTTGGTTACAGAAGCATTTAGAGAGTGCAATTAAGAATGCGATATCTAGGTAGACAGAAGGCACGCTGGTTTTGACCCTGCTGTTAGCAGTTGGGAATGAAAGAGAAATTTTTGTGAAGCCGTGTTGATTGTATTTTACGCTTCACATCCACTCGGTAATTTTGCGTGTTCATGACGGATGAAGTGAGGCTCTCCTGGGCCTAGACTGTGTAATGCTGCTGCAATTGCAGTCACAATGACGTCGTTGATGAGGTATGTGGATAACCCGCCCGCCCATACCTTCCCTGGGTCGGCTCGACGACATGCAGACTGCAGTTTCCCTATCTGAAATTCGCCTTGGGCGACGACATTTCTTTAAATACTTCATCCAGCGCCTGTTCTCTCCTCCGACTCCGATAAATTCTTCCCATCTGCCCTCGATACCACTCTAGAACTCAACAAAAGAAATCTACAAAAATGACGGACAAGTCTCAATTCCAAGAGGGTAAGCCTAAGATGGATCTCACCATTCGAAAACATGCTGATTTTTCAACAGGCCACTCGGTCCCAGTGACGGACCAAAGCTTCCCGGGAAAGGAGGGAAACATGCCCAACCCCACACCTCAGTTTGACCGAATCCCGACCGGCGATGGTGGTTCTAAGCTGTACCAAGCTGCCGGAAAGCTTGAAGGCAAGAAGGCCGTAATTACCGGAGGTGACTCCGGCATTGGCCGTGCTTCTGCCATTCTCTTCGCCATGGAGGGTGCCGACTCGCTCATTGCCTATCTCAAGGAGGAAGAGGATGATGCGCAAGAGACCAAGAAGCGTGTCGAAGCTTACGGCCGGAAATGCTATCTCCTGCCAACTGATCTGACCGACCGTGGCAATTGCCAGAAGGTTGTTGACACTGCCCTTGAGAAGATGGGTGGCATCGACATCCTGTTCAACAACGCGGCGTACCAGATGATGAAGGAGAACATCAAAGACCTCTCTGAGTAGGTTACATCTAACTTGGGTACCTGGTCGTTGCCATAAACTAATTCAACCGTAGGGAGCAATGGATTCACACATTCAACACCAACATCCACCCCTTCTTCTACTTGTCCAAGTACGCTCTTCCTCACATGAAGAAGGGATCGACCATCATCAACAACGCAAGCATCAACGCCTACATCGGCCGCCCAGACCTGCTCGACTACACATCTACAAAGGGTGCCATCATCTCCTTCACCCGCGGTCTGAGCAACCAATTTGTTGACAAGGGTATTCGCGTGAACGCCATTGCCCCTGGTCCTGTCTGGACGCCGCTCATCCCCGCAACGATGAACGAAGAGGCTCAGAAGCAGTTCACCGCCCCAATGGGTCGTCCAGCCCAACCCTCTGAGATTGCGACCTGTGTGGTGTTCCTCGCATCCACCGACAGTTCATGCATCAGCGGCCAGACCATTCACTGCAACGGTGGTACTATCGTCAACGGTTAAGCACTGGATATGCAGAGATCCGGCCAGGTATGGCATGTATTCTAGTTTAGTAATTAGTCAGTGTGACCACACGAATGAGGTATGACGCAATGAGAAAGGTTCTTCGTCAAAGCTCCGATGCTAGTCTTTAAATGTGTTATTATTGAACCCAAATCTTTGCTATGCACCGTTCACTTACCACAGTAAGTTCCTTGCAAACCTCAGCAATGGAACACTGGTCGCCGCCATTGAGAGCTGTCTGTTCAGCAGCAAATTACCTTAATTGATGATCATGTGTGAGAGTTGCACTAACTGGATACCGCTGGGGACACTGGAGACGGCAGGACTAACCGCAAAAGGCAGCGCAGCATGGATGAAACAGGGGACCGGGTTGAAACGTGTCCAACCACAAGCTGTCAAATTGTTAGCGAGATGCTAAAAGGCGGCGGGGAGGACGCGCTTTGCATGACCTGCATTTTGACTGTGGTTCTGGTGCATTTTGTGCATATTGGTCCATATTGACGTGTATTTACTTTGGATCAGCGACTTGTTGTTATTGGCTGAGATCAACGTCTCCGGCATACCACGGCAACCCCTTTATCTTGCTTCGTTTGTTGACGGCGACGCAACAGACACGACCTGTTGATCGAGAGCTGCCATTCGGAGAAGCTTTACGGCATCCCAGCCGACCATGTGCCACTCAGTTGTCAGTCAACGTGTATTGTTGGTCAGACTACCGAGATGCTTTTGCCACCAAAACTCAAGCGGGACAATGCGCCTCACAAGTGTTGGGCACTGGGCGGCGGTTGGGATAAGACGCGCAAGACTCATCAGTGACAGTTCTGTTGGTGGGTATCTTCGCGTATCTGGAGGTTGTTTCACCGCATCACGGATCTCTTCGCCCCCAGGTTCGTCTAGGTCTCCGTAATCACGGGGTATCGATGCTGGACGCAAACCGTTCCATAGCCTCTGTGACGTGACAAGTCGAGCCTTTTTCGGGTCCCGAACACGTTGGAACCTTGACGTCGTTCACGCTGGCTGTACAGAGTCATGTTTGGCGTTCTTAGGCGGCGGGATGCAATGGAAACCGAGATCGCTGGGAAACTCTATTGTAATAGTAGAGGCCTTTGCTAAGGAAAGACATCCAAGAGCATGGTTAGAGAGCATGAAATATTTGTATTATGCTACGCCGGAAATTAAGTCGCCTGGGTCTAGGAAGACCTGCCTGGAGGAACGAACGCCCAATGACAGACCCGCGCTGACTTTGGAGGTGCTCGGCCGCCAGGGCTGGAGGTAAAATGTACTTTTGAAAAGATCGTGAAAGGAGGCAAAATGTCGGCTATCACTCGTACCCGGTACCGCGACTGCCAGATCCATCCATCCACGACCAGAAACGGGCCCCTCCTCCAAAAAGACGTGTAAGGCGTCGCGCTTTCCCCTTCCCTCGTCACCTCCCTTGTCGCAGGCCCATCCCTTCATTTTCCCTCTCCCCCTTCCAGAACAACTCATCTGGTCTGCACTGCTTGTTTTGGCCGAGAGCCACCCACACATTCTCCATCCATCTGTTGTTTTTTCTTCTTTCTCACTTCTACAACACAGAAGAGCCGCCGCCGACTCGTTCATGTGTCTCCTCCCTCTGGACTGCTCTGCTTTCTTCTGTAACTGCTTGGGCCCCTCAAGCTGTGCACATCGGTAGCTGTCAGACTCCACAACCATCAAGTAAACAAACGAACCGCCTCTCTCGAATCGCATCGCATCGCATTCTACAGTTCCAACCCGCCAACGCCGGCAAACATGTCTGCCACGTACAAGCAGTTCCTGGCTGCTCCCAACTCGTCTCTGCTCGCGCCCAACGCCACCCTTCTGTACATCACCACCACCACTTCTTTCAATGGCCCTACCGACATCATCAAGCACTTCAACACCCTGCGCAACCAGGTGAAGAAGAAGAAGGAAGAGATTTTGGACGTCGTCGAGGGCCGCGATGCTATCGCCGCTGAGATCGAGACCTCTCTGGAGTTTGTTACCAGCGGCGGCACCTACCTGCCCGGCCTGGACGACAACTTCTTGGCCGACCGCACCGTTTTCCTCCCAATTGTTCGTTCTGCCCTGCGCTAGCAGCTTTCTTCTTCACTGCGCCATCTAGCTGACCTGTGACTCCTGCAGATGCACGTTGTGAACTTCGACAGCGAGGGCAGGATCGCGCAGATCCGCCAAAGCTGGGACCAGGGCTCCCTCCTCAAGCAGCTCGACATCATCGGAAAGTCTGGTCGCAACTGGCCCATCCGTGACAGCCAGGACCAGATCAAGATGATCACCAAGGGTTTGAAGGCTACCGGCAAGGTCTCAGAAGCTCCCGACACGAACGAACTGATCAACAGATCCCGCGGCAACTCGAGCAACGCGCTGCGCGACCCCCACGCATCCCTCTCCCTGTTTGCCCCCAGAGAGCAACAGGCTGAAGAAAGCCCGGCCCGGTCTGTCGTGTCACCTTATGCGGGTACCCGACCTCAGCAGCGGTCTTTCACCGATATTCTGGGCAACGCGGGTGCAGATGACGAGCCCAGCTCCCCCAGCGCAGGACGCGACCGCGTCGCTCCCAAGATCGGCGCTGGAAAGAACTTCCAGCCCAGTCGCCTGTTCGATGCTGATGAACATGCCGACGTGCCCGACAGCCCCGAGCAGTCGCCCGAGAAGTTCTACCGTCCCAACCCCAAAAAGTACCAGCACTTCGACTTCGCCGACGGCTCGGACCCGCAAGACACACCCAAGCCTGCCGAGGGCCGCCCCAAGGCTAGCAAGCACGACAGCAGCTGGGGTTTCGAAGACTTTGTCACTCCTCAGAAGGTCAAGCCTGGCAAGACGCTGCGCACTCAGGATGTGCGCCACTGGGATACCGACGTGACCAACGACTCTGTGAAGGAGACCCCGATCGCCCGTCCAGTCCAGCAGAAGCCCCGCCGCGACGCCGAGCCGCACTTTGAGTTCCAGGATGACGGCCCGGACGGTCAGCCTCGGCCCGCTGGTCGTCCCAAGGGTTCCGCGCACAACACTGGCCTGCACCTCTACGAGAACAACTTGTACAGCGAGGATGGCAAGCCCCTTCCCCCTGACGCTGACCGCGCTCTGGGGAACATTACAAACCTGAACCATCGCCACAAGGACTTTGACCCTCATTTCGCCATGTCTGACGACTCCCCCAGCCAAACCGGTCAGCAGCAACGACCCACTGTGAGCGACTCTCGCAAGAAGGCAGTGAACATGATGAACTCCAACTGGGAAGCCTACGACAAGTCTCCTGCATCTCAAAAGGAGAACATCCCTGAGCCTCAAGCAGCTACCAAGAAGGGCGGTATTCACATTGCTGGAAACGGCATGGGAGCCAGAAAGGCCCCGGCCGAACAGGAGGGCGATAGCCGTGGTATCAACATTGCTGGAGACGGCATGGGTGGTCGCAAGGGCGCCAACCGCAACTGGCTTTACGGCGGCGACGACGACGAGGAGGACACGCCCAAGGCCATCCCGCCCAAGAAGCCCGGTATGTCGGCGGCTCAGCAGAGCTTCTGGGACTTTTAAAGACATGTCCTTAGATCGACCCGCACAGACGACACGCGCGAGACCTCAGGGCCGCCCCTTTTTGATTGTTTTGTTATGACTCCATGTCTTGCATGCTTCCGATGATTCACGGAAGCGTTTACTGCTGCAATATTACCAGACCTTGTCTTGTTTACTCCAGAGCGGCTCGACTCTTCACCGGCTCTCTGGTGAAAAGTCTGGCTGGGCAATACCTGGATGTGAGAATGCTGTATTACGCCCTACACGGTGGAAGGGGGAGAAAGTTGTGTTGGATCAGGGGGGGCGGTGTGGAGTGAGGGGAGAAGAATAGGCTCCCCTGTTATTGTACTGTGTAAAGTTGTAAAAGCCCATGATATCCAACAGACCACCTATTTCTATTCAAATAACGTATGCGTTTTGCGAGGTTCTGAGTGATTGGTGAGAAAGGGCTTTGCAATATTGGGCTTGAACTCGGCTGCGCTTTAGGCTTGCGTGGGTAGTAGCGTCAAGACGACGGACGAGGTAAGGTACTGATATAAAAATGGAGGCCAGTCGGTTCACTTATTTGGCTCCGGTAAATAGGTCGGGAGACACTCGAGAGTTCCATAAGCCCATCACAGCATGAGTAGCCAAGCTTGAGCATAGCTCAAACTGTCGGATTGAGATGCGGATGGATCTGATGAAACGAGCCGCCTTCACTTCCACTGGTCTTCATCCTCGCCGCTCATTCTCGATCTTCGAGTATTACAGACGCCAGTGCGTCCAGTATCATTTCTGCCGTGGCCTGCAGAGCGCTGCACCAGCTCCGACCTCTCCGCGGTTTATGGGCGGCAAACTCCAACATGGGCGCCGAGCCTTCAAGGGGGCCTTCAAGGGAGACGATGTTCAAGTGAATCTTTGATTAACAGTGCACCAAAGCCAGATTTCCACCAAAGGTGTCTGTCTGTCTGCCCTGAGCTGATTCGTACATGTACCATATATAGCCTTTATATGTCAAGATAGGTATCCCGGAAAATTCCCCGTGGCATCCCAAACGCCTCGCTATCCGTCGCTTACGATTTCATTACATGAAAAGAGGAAATAAAGAAATAGGTATCTACCGGTTCCCGAACGACTAGCACAGAAACTTGTACATGCGCTTCCACCTCGGCCAGGTCCTCTTCTCCTCTTGTTCCTGGGCGACGAGGATGCCAAGGTTGAAGTCGCGGCGGCCGGTAACAAGGTCCATGTCGTCCGTCTGGATGAAGGTGGTGCGGAAGTAGAGCTTGTGGACGAGGTAGAAGACAAGGACGATGGGGAAGGCGGCGTAGCGGAGGAAGAAGTTGCGGGCGACCCAGTTGGCCTGCTGGTTCTCCCAGCCGACAGGGAAGGCGCCGACCCAGAATTGGGCGATGAGGACGAGGACGTTCATGATGAGGCCGCACCAGGAGCCGACGATGCCGACCTGGGAGCGGAAGGCGAGCTCGTGCAGGCCGTGGCCTTTCCGTGCCCAGGCGTGGCGGAAGCGGATGTGGCAGAGGCAGATGGAGGCCCAGGTGAAGACGGAGGAGAGGCCCGAGATGGCGAGGAGCCAGTCGAGGACCTCGTCCTGGGCCTCGAGGTCGGCGAGGTAGGCGAGGAGGCCGACGGCGGAGGCGACGCCGATGGCTGTTAGAGGCCGGCCTTTGCGGTCGACGTAGGAGAGGAAGCGGGGTGCTTGTTGCTGGTCCGCGAGGGCGGCGAGGGTGCGGGAGGAACCGAAGACGGCAGAGTTGCCGACGGAGAGGACGGCGATGAGGATGACTGCGTTCATGACGGAGGGTAGGATGTCAATCTGTGCGTTCTCGATAGCGATGACGAAGGGGGAGGTTTTCGCGTCAGCCGTGGACGTGGCGCCCAGCAAGCGTTTTTCGTCGTACGGCACCAGCAGGCCGATAAGGGCAAGGGCGACGATGTAGAAGAGGGTAATGCGCCAGAAGACCTGCTTGATTGCGGTTGGGAGGGATTTGCGCGGGTTGGCGGTTTCCGCCGCGGCGAGACCGACGAGCTCGGTGCCAGCAAAAGCGAAGGCTGCCGTCACGAAGACGCTGCAGAGGCCTTTGAAGCCGTTGTGGAAGGCCCCCGGTTTGTGCCAGTACCTGCCGCCAATGTAACCCGAATCCGGAGTTCCTCCACAGTTGAGGACGATACCCAGTAGACTTGCGATTTGTTAGACTCGGCAATGCATGTTGGTGGTGGGGACTGCTTACATGAAGCCTATCACGGCTATGACTTTGATGATGGAGAATAAGAACTCAGCTTCACCGTATCCTTTTACACCAAAGAGGTTTATGGCCACGATCCCGACCAGAAAGACGGTGACGAAGATGGCTTTCACATATTTCCCGTCCCAATATGTTATCGTGATGGAGGCAGCTATGATTTCGAGAGGTAGTACAATCAGCCATTGTAAGGCGTAGCTAAGCATTGTCAGTACTTGCCGAGGTTGGAGATTGTAGCATATCAGAAGACTCACTTCCAACCCATGGCGAAACCCCATGACGGATCCAAAAATCGTGTCGAGTAGGCCGAGAAGGAGCCGGCTACGGGGAAAGCAACAGCCAACTCTCCCAGAGCCTGACAGGTGCAATATAACATGGCGCCAACCAGCGAGAACGCAATCAATAATGAGGCCGGACCGCCGACCTCAAGTGCAGTGCCGGATGCCACGAATAGGCCCGTGCCGATGGAACCGCCGATGGCAATCATCTGCAGGTGCCTCCCCTTCAGCCTCCTCACCAGCAACGAATTGGAGGTTTGCAAGTTCGCGCGGCGGATATCGTAGTAGTGGACGCCATTGTGTACACGGTCGCTGGTGCTACCGGATTCCACGTCGTCAACGACTGAGTCCTTGCGCGCACCCTCCGGATCGCGCTTGAAGCTCTCCAGCATGCGGCTGAAGACGCCCGGCGCGGGGCTCGGGTCGTATACCGGCTCGCGGCGCATGCTGTAGCTGCTCCCGAGGGTCAGGGAGTCTTCTTTTATTTTGAGCGTACTGAGTTCGACCTCCTCGTGGTACGGCGCCATCCCGGTGGACGGAGGGTGGGTTTTGTTTTCGGGGGGGAAAGAGTGGAAGGCGGCTTTTGTGGTTCACACCGCTCCCGTCGCGGGGTCTGGGGTGATCGTCGGTCGCTCGAGGGGACGGGTCGGTCGTGTGGACTCGGTTGATCGCGAGATCGTCGTTTGGGATCGATCGGTTTGGGTTTTCTGGCCAACGGACTTCAGGCGTCGGACAGCTCCGTGAAGGACCTCATGCCTATCGCCGAAGGAAGTTTGGGGATTCTGGTCGCGATTCGAGAGGCTCGTAGGTTTCGGGTGTCGCGTGTCAGTTCAGTCGTCTGGTGAATCTTGGCAGGTCGCCGCAGAGTTTCGATGGGTGTTGAAATGATTTTCGATAACTAGGGAACGGAGACGGCGCGGCGGAAAGCTGACCACCTCAACGAAAGGGGTTGGGTGATTCGCCCGTGTAAAAGAGACGGGATGCTTATCATGCTGCGGCACCGAAGCAGCGTAGACCGATGGCCGCATTGGCGTCTCGAGGATGGTCGGGAAGGGTTCTCTATCTGGCGACAAGGATGTTGCCCGACCCCGACGCCAATGCCATCCAACGGTGGCAGCAGCGGCGACAAGACGAACGACTCCTCTCTGTCTTGCTTCTCGAACGGGCAAAGGCCGTACTAGGTTGGGCGAATGAGCGGAAAGGTCGCCACGACCCAGCCCCCGAATCCTTTAGCTCTCTCTCTTCAGGACTCTTCTCGCACTCGGGCTGTCCTCTTTGAATGTCACATCCCACGTTGATGTTGTGTGAGAGAACCCACATTTGCTATCTCTATCTCACTCGATTTCCTCGCTTCCCACATCGTCGCAACGCAATCGGCAAGGGCAAGCATGTGTCCGGGGGTGCCTTATGGGGACGAGATGTGCTCCAGCAGGCCAGACCTGCGACTTCCACTTTCTGTTGGAGAAGATGGGGGGGGGGGGGGGCACCCCTCCACTGACTTGCGGGAGATACACAGCACTGGCCAGGTGCATGAATTGGGGGCGGGAAGCTGCTGTAGGGGAACTGCTACTCGCGATGCCCCTGTCTTTATCTGGTGCTGGCCAAGACGACAACTTCTTCTCTCATCACAGACGATACCAGCCTCAATAAAACGCTCGTTCACGTCTGCAGGATGCCCTGAATTTCATCTGTTCTAAACTCTCGAGTTTGCCTTTCACCGTTGAAGATCGGCTCGTCCCGCCCTGTTTGTGTTTGCTTGACATTTGACATTTGCGCACGGATTAGGCGTCTCGGCCTCTGCCGGCTGTCATCCAAAGTCATCCCATGTCTCGGCGCCGAGGCGCTTCACAGTTGGCAAACTGCAAACATTGCCCCATGGTTCGTCCAGACGACATTGGGCTTATCTCACTGTCATGTTCGGTTGCCTGATGGTCTTTGAAACATCAAGCAGGCTCTCGATACAGACTACCTCAATGTCAGATTCCACATTGGATGCCGGCAATATGTTGTGGCACTGCCACTGGATTCATAGGCTTGTTCTGAGAAATCCCCTAGCCCTTGCCATTTGTCTAAAAGCTCTTTCGGTCAATACCTTTCATTCGTCTATATTTCCATAGCTTCTGTAAAATAGGTAGTTGAAGCCTTCGTCGTGAGCATCACGGCGCTAAGTTCCTGAGGTTATGGGAGAGACAAGTCGATTAGTTTGATGAAGATCTCAAATCTCTACCTGCGAATCAGTAGGCACCGCATATTCCAAAGGGGGTTTCCATGCTACGATTCAGTCGCGAGTTAGCATGCTACTTATCCTCAATCATCTCCGAAGAATGGCTATTAAAGTGAGCGAACGTTGTGAGAATACGTCGGTTCACTAGCGGCTGGCGAGGCCGAAGCAATGAGTTCAACCGAGTAGAACTGGTCCATCGAGCCAGCACCCCGGCATTGGAAGTTTTCCCAATGCATCCTATCCTGAGTGGAACTCGAGAACGTTGATATATGATGGAATTCGAGTATTCGCCGTGACACACAACCAAGAAACACCGGACAACAATAGTAAATAACGGGCGCAGTTGAGAAACTGGGAGAAGTGCTGAGAGACATGCCGTCCCGTCGACAATGGGTTTGTCGAGAATACCGACGATACACATCGCTCGTCGTCCGTCATGCGGCGCCTTTAGTTCTCACGAGTTCAAGGGCATGAGTTGCTCAATACCAGAGTTTATGCCAATGAAAGAGAAGCCCATGCATTCAGACTCACTATTGGACCCGTGCTCTTGAAATCTACCACTATCAACATTTGATGTAAGCTGCCTACAGTTTCCCCAAGTGAATAGGTCGGAAATGTCAATATTCTGCGACAGAAGTGCTCAAAACTAAGAGAAATTCTCTGGATTGGCGGGCGTATGGTACTGACTTAGCTGCAACTTGAGAAAGAAACGGATACTCCATCGCTGCATGAAGAGCCGAACGAAGCTCTGTCACTATCGAGCCCGGGTGAATGACTCATCGACCGTTCATTAGACAGTATTTTCTTGATAGACTGATGAGATTTTAGGGACCCCTTGAGTACCTCTTGTGCTTAGAAGACTCCGTATTCAAGTCCCGATGCTCGGTGAAGAAGTAGGACATGTTTCTGAGGTCAGAAGTGCTACTCCCTTTTTTGTTAAAATGACTTTAGCAACATCATGTCCCCAGATTCTACTGTAATGGTTTCCATTAGTAGATGGAAGACAATAATCGGATCTGCTTCGTCTTCTCAGTAATCCAAAGGTCTGTCGTCGTATACATCACTTCTCGACACAAGATCTTCATTGAGAGGTCTATCCGAGAGGTTTATCCCGTCGAATACACCAGTGATGGATATTGACGGAGACAAACATGGTGCTTGATGAGTTGGATCCTGGAGGTTGAAAGCAGTCTTGAGTAAACGCATCCCTGTAAGATGGTCTTTGACGTTACAGTCTTTATTGACGTCCGCATTTGGTGTGAATTACCATTGCTTTCTGGCGTAAAGTCACAGTTTCTCGCCGGCGTTAGAGGTTTTCATAGCAATACAGAGTAATAAGACGAATATCGTTCGCCGGTGCATCGCCAAAGCCTTCTCCCACAGAAACATTCGACCCGGCTCGCCTTCCGATCCCAGAACCGCTCGAGTACCTTTCTAAATGCTGGGGAGACTCGTCGTGCTACTTCTTTTCCGGGGACCGGCACCGGTGCTATGAGCAAGTATGCGCTAAGTGAGAAGCCTGTGATCTCACCTCAATGCCGGTCCAGCAATGGTATGGCGAACTTGAAATACATTTATCGTCCCCTGTGACCTCGTCTCCGAAGAACACCTCAGCATGTTTTGCCCAATGTTAGCCTTGACTATATATTGACTGCTACGACTGCCTCGGACGTCTAAACGTCTGCTGAGACACCAAACCACAATGAATCTGCGATCTCCCCAAGTGGACTTTTCCCAGCGGTTTGCAGGGTTTCATCCGCTGATCCTCAGTGGGCTCCTCAGCATGTCATGAGTGATCTGAAAATACGAGTATAGGCAATGGCTCTTTTCACTCTGTCCATGAGTTCCGTCGTCCAGAATATATTCAGTGCTGTTACAACGCAGGGCTATCAACGGGCTTGGCAATGTGAACCTACATGCGATCTATCGAGAAGTCCTGTGCAGACTTATAGTACAAATTTAGCTTGCCCGGCTGGAAGTTATTTGAGGCATGCTTGAGATCGTGCTACTAGAACACGTCAATGAAGAGACTGACCTCCCAGGGGCTTCTCAGCGTTCTATTTATGGTTTAGTTAGGCCGCGTCCATTTTGCATACGGACCCTGGCGTTCTTGTTCCAAGTATATAAAAATAGGCGAGAGATACCGTCATTCCAACTTCCAGTGAGTAGGGGCGCTCAAGTGCTGTGCAAGCGAATGGCGAAGCATACAACGCGTGATCCAGCCGCTGAAGGTTTCAGGATTGGGATGGGTGCCCGTGAGGATGCGTTTTCGGCACAATTTTGGTTTGTTCGTCATCCGCCGTCGTCTACCTGTGGTTATTTTTCTGTGTTTATACAGTCCAGATCTGCTCTTGAAGGTCAGTGGCAGTTAGTTGTGATCGAACTCCGCGCCGGCGGCATAATTTCTCGCCATCTTTTCTGGTGGCCAGAGAAGCAGCGTGTCATCGCCGAACCTCCATCTTGGGGTGCTCACTGAAGCTCACCAAAGGGCGTCAATATTTGTAGTAATTTCGGATACGTATACCACAAGCTGGACTTCCAAGTGAGGGAGTTGTGGTACTAGCCGTCGTGGAATGGCCGGTTCCCGGGATGACCAGGAGGCCAAACCATTCAAGTAGCCCACGATCAGTGTAGTCCAAAGGACGAGCAAGAGGTCCACCAGATCAAATCGCCAATCCCGCGAGGCGCTGCACATCTTAGAACATTATCGTAATAATCCAAGGGAACATGGAACACATTTATTCCTGCAAATGCCTTTTATGGCAACCCAAACTACTCCTTGTACAACGCCAGCCATGCCACTTGGATGAGAATGCCCCCAAAGACACAGTCATGCTCTGTAATATAAACATACCATCCTTGTTTGTTCATCACAAGATGGAGCTCCTCATCAGATAATCGTATCAAATCAGGCCTGCTCGACGATCTTTCCATCCTTCCTAGGCTTGCGCTTCCACCCCGTGTTGAACAGCTTGCCCATGTCGAAGCGAGGGAGCGGGTGCGCCTCGGTGTTGAGAACGACCTTGTCAAGAGGCAGCAGATCGTTGGGCGAGAACAAGAGGTAGAAGTACTTGAGTGTCTCGGCCTAAAATCATGTTAGCAAAAGCTCCATTGAGGGGTCACACACTAAGAGACTTACCATCCAGAAGCTCTCCAAGTTGTCGCGAACAACCGGAGGAATCGTGTTGGCGTTGCTCAAGCTAGTGAAGCCGCCACCGTCCTCGACCGCGGTGTAGTTAACGAAAGACTTGAACATCTCCCAGCCCCAGTCGCGGTACTTCTGGTCGCCGGTGATTCTCCACATGTAGAACAAGCTCTCAACGGTCTCGGGGCGCTGCAAGTTGTGGACGTCGTTGGAGTGGACCTCGAAGTCCTTACGCCACTTGGCGTGCGGGTCAGGGTCGAAGGTCTGAGGCGGATGGTGCGAGGCCGAAGCGGGAGCAGGAGGGTTGTCGATGTTGAAGTAGGTAATCTCGGCCGCGAGACCGGTTGCCATCCACTTGTACATGCCCCAGCAGGTTTGCATAAGCTCGCGGGCCAGCTTCATGTCGTCTTCCTTCTTCTTGTTCCACGTAGGCAATCTCCTGGCCTCGGCTTCAGGGATACCTCCGGTGACTCCCAAAGCAATTGTTCCTGGCATGAAGCACACAAGGTGGTCCATCTTCGGGGACAGATCATTGTGCAGGCCGTTAGGCCGCTCTCCGAGCACAGTAAAGCCCGACGGCTTGCTGTAGGTGATCAAGTGCTTACGCACTCCCTCGAGAGCTTCGTCCCACATTTCCAGGTAGATCGGCTCCTGCTTGTTCGTCTGCAGATACTGCTTGATCAGGTACTCATAGTACGAGTCGCCGCGGGAGCCCAGGCGAACGTTGTCGCCCCTGAATTTTCCGTCCGTGGCGTAAACGAAGATGGGAACCAGACCATCCTCGGCAACATTGTCATCGACGATCTGCATGACCCTCTCTACCTTGTCCCAGAAGTCCTTCTCGCCCGTGAGCTTCGCCAGGTACTTGAACTCGAGCTGCAAGGTGGTGGCCTCGGCGGTCGAGGAAGCGCCGCCGTCAGCGTGGGAGACGAGGCCCTTCATTTCGGCGAGATTGACGCTCGCATACGGGACCCCAGACGGGGAGTCGAAGGCAGCCATCAAACGGTCGGCCAGATCCCTCGCCTTCTCCAGGTATAGGTCTTCGCCCGGCTGACCAGGGTCGTCGTCCTTCATGGGAGCCAGTTCGGGGAATTCGGTCGAGAGATAGTGGGCGGAAAGCAGGCCACCGAGCATTCTAATCGTAGTTTCGAAGGTGTTGACGTCTTGATCTTGGTTGTAGGTCAAGGTGTTGGCGAGCCAGTCTCTGGCATGGGCTAGGCGCGAGGTCTGGTTCATCAGAATCATGGTATCTAGCGAGTCGACGATGATCCATCCGACGCCCTTGGGCGCCATCTGTCGGCCGGTCTTCGCAATCGGGTGGTACTCGTCGTAGCCTGCAGAAACACAAACATCAGCTTCGCCGTCTTGCGCCAATTAAGGTATCCTCGGGTTCAACATACCCCAAGCGTAGCGCTCGTACGAATCCCAGCTAAGCTGGAAAGCCTCGACAACTCTTTCGCGCCGGCTGAGCCAGTCGACCTTCTTGCCCGATTGATCGGAGGAGCTCAACCAGCCAGTCCATTGCGACGCCGACTCTCGAGTTTTGGAACCTTCAGAAAAGAAGCCGAACCACCACAGGCCGGTGAAGAAGACCAGCAGGGTGCCGATTATGGATCGTTTCCTGCGCCAGAGAGGGCGAAACCTCCGGGAAGCGTAGTAGGGCTTGTCTTTGTACATGGGAAGCTGGCCCTTTGTGCCGAGTAGGTCCTCGACCCGTCCTTGTACGCCTTGGAAGAGACCCGAGTTGCCGGCGCGACCTCGATTGTTCACGCTGCCGGAGCCCCAATACCGATCCTCCAATGCTCGCTGAGGGTTACTAAAAGAAGGGACATTCTTGGGGACATTGAAAGACATGTCGTCCAGGGCTTTCGTTCCCGCCTCTACTGCCTTCTCCTTGATGTTCTGGGCAGCACGGGAGGCCGTGACTTTGAAGACGTTGAGGGCTGAGTTCTTGTGGAGGTTGAAGGGGTCGCGGACGTTCATATTACGCTCTCAGCATTGTCGCAGTGGAGACCCGGTTTCGAAGAGACGACGAGCTGGGAAGGTGCGATTCGGACGCGGAGCAGCCAAAAGCCAAAGCCAAAACCAGAAATGCCAATAGTGAGATCACCCCCAGCAACGAAGCATGGGAATGCAGTCTTCAATGCAGATGAGAAAGAAAAAAAAGAGCGGCTGAGACACGCGCACGCGAATCTCGATGATGTGGACTTTTCTGATTTAATAACTGGACCACCGAGACCACCAGCAAGCGACGAACGGTGACGCCTCATTGCCCGCCAGGCGGTCGAGCTCACTCCTGGTCGGCGGCCCATACCAATCCTATCCCGGGAACCTTGCCCGCCTAGAGCCTGTTCGGCACGCTTTAGCAGGCTTGGCTTTGGTCGCCCAATCACTCGCGGACCCCCTGTAACTTGAGAAAAGGCCACCTGTAAAAGCCAGTCGCCAATGACGAACCGTAATTCCGGAAGATCAAGAACCAAATGGTAATGTGGGTGGAAAATTGTCCGGGAGAAAAGAAGACCGACCCTTCCGGCGCACCGTGATTGCCCAGGGAGCTGCTGCCAGGTGGATAAGCCAGTTGGGCCGCCCAGAAAACCCCGCCGCTTCCCGTCTTCCGGCACGGTGGGGCCTCGCAGGGCACACAATCGGAGAAGCATCACCGCCAGAGCTGCCTGGATGTCCGACTATGATCAGGTTCTTCAACAGCGAGAAATACGAAATACGAAAAACTGGCTGGACCCGAATTTCTGGATAGAGTACGAACACTACATCGCAAGGCTGCGTAACATCCGCCAGGAAAAGCGTGTGGGCCTGTGATACGTCAACTGAGAGTCGGAGGCCGCTTCAGTCATACAACATCGCACCAAATAACCAATATATCTGACGGCTGATTTGAACCCCAGAGACTCTTCCCTTGCACCAGAGCGGCGTATTGGAGGACGAAATGTCTATCAAGGACTTCCCATTCGTAACGCCGGAAGAGTTCGCTGAAATTTGTCACCACTTTGACAGCCAGTACTGCCGCGCGACGTTGGGACCCCTACGCCAACGCTGGAAGTCGAGAGTATGCACGGCTTTGGACACATCATTCGCTACAGGTGTTGAGTATACGACATACTTGCAAATCATCCGGCCCTTGGAGGCCACGCTGGACTGCGGGGATCTTTCATCCGTCTTGGACAAATTTTCGTTCAACGATGGAGGGGACGAGCTTGGATTGCACGACGAGGCTATGATAGATGCCGAGGAGACTGACGAGGTAATGCCGCCATGACAATCCTCGCACGGCGCAATGCCTAACCTTGCAAACGACAGGCCGCCTTGACAAAGCCTCGTGTACCAGACATTGGACACGTCGTTTATGAAGTGCACTTGCATCCCACGTATCGGATGCCATGTCTGTGGTTCACATTGCATGGACTGCCAGCGGATGAACCAGCATTCAACCTCGATACCGTCTTTCGAAGGCTCGTACCCGATCAATTCAAAGATGCTCTTCGGAAAACGGGTGGACTCGGGGGGATCTCAGGCGACGTGAGTGCGCACCAGCTGTGAACCAGTCAATTATGAGTTCTGAAAGAGACCATTTTTAGGTCCGTACTAACACATCATGTCGTAGCATCATCCCCTCACGGGTCTCCCCTCTTTCTTCATCCACCCATGCCTCCTCGGGGACGCCATGTCGGGGTTTAACTGCACCAAAGAGCAGTATATGATGATCTGGCTGGGGCTGGTCGGCGGATGCGTAGGGCTCTGGGTGCCCAAAGAGATGGCCATGGATTCATCCGGCTGAAACTCGCCGCGCTCGCCCCTCTGCCAGCTTCATTTCCTGAACTGAGTTGGATGCCTCCAAGAAGATCAATCGTCGTCGCTGTCCTCCTCCATGGCGACATCACTGTCGTCATCCTCTTCCTCATCTCGCTGTCGCTTCTGACCCGCCTGAGTATTGCCCATTGGCTGATCACCGCTGGCGGCGGGCTTCGCTGGGGCGGTTCCCGGTGCGCCACCCGGTGCAGGTGCGTTGAAGATGCTTTGCTGAAGCTCGGTAACCTCGATGTTGGAGGCTCCGGCGGTGGAGTTGGGCATCTTGAATGTGCCATCGAGCTTCGCAACGAAGTCGGACTTGGACTTGGCGTACTGAATCGTCTAGTTTGCGGTCAGTAAACAAACGCTAGAGTATATAGAGTACATGGAAGAAACGTACCAGAGAGCGGCCCAAAAAGTCGAACCCTTCTAGTGACCGCATAGCCTGCGTAGCTGCTTGTACGTCACGGAAGGTAATGTGTGCTTGGCCTCGCATCTTCATGGTCTTCATGGCGACGATATCGAGAACGGGCCCGTACGTAGAGAATAGTAAATAGAGCTCCGTTCGCAGGTCATTCTTCTGAATTTTTGCAGAGGGAAGGTTCGTGACGTAGAGTCTACATCAAGTTAGCAAATGCCTGCAGCATCTGGGGACATGGACATACGTCTGGTTAGGAGCAATCTGGGGAACTTTGGCGGGAAGTGATGAGTTGGGCGCAAGGCCGCGAGGAGGAGCGACGGCAGCCATTGTGAGTTCGTACCGGGCGCTTAGCGGCGTTGGAGGAAGGATCGGTCGCGAAAGTGTCTTTGAAGTCGAACAGCTCGAATGTGGAGTGGCTTCGGTCGGCGCGTCGCGTTACTGTCGTGATGCAACTGTCGCGATCTGATTTTTTGCTGTATCCGGCCACCGCAGTTTGGTCGCTTGCTTGAACTCGGGAGCTCCCACGCTAGTGCAGTACTCTAATTGAGGGGAACACCCCAGGGTGGCCTTACGGCCTGAAGCAATGCCTGCTGGATGACCTACGTAACACAGCTGCCCCACCATGACCTCCAGGTGCAGACGGTAAAGGGTACTCCAAATTGTGTGGTCACCGCACGGTTACGTATGTACCTAGAGCATTTCGGCACTGCCAGCGCAACGAAGCACTGCCACCAAGCATTACAGCTTCCTCTCTTCATCAACATCATTTCCCACTCCCTCCATCTCCCCCGCCATTCGACAAAGTAGTGGTAGTAGAGAGCTATACTCCTATCACGAAGGAAATTCCTCATCATGGCGGCTCCTCAGGTTCACCACCTCTTCCACGCTCCCATTGCGGACCACTCGTTCTCGGCCGACCGCCAGACTCTCGCTATCGCCCGCGATTCCACCATTGAGCTGTACGGTCAGTCAGGCAACGCCTTCAAGCTCAAGGATGAGTTGAAGGGACACGACAAGACCGTTACCAGTGTCGATATCGCCCCTAACAGTGGTCGCATCGTCTCATGCTCCCAAGGTAAGTCGATGCCGCGTCTCCTGAAGTGGTAATAAAACGGAAACCTGACTCTTGTTACTAGATCGTAACGCCCTCGTGTGGGAGCCCTCGCCGAACGGATACAAGCCTACTCTCGTCCTCCTCCGAATCAGCCGTGCTGCCACCTTTGTGCGCTGGTCCCCTTCCGAGACCAAGTTCGCTGTCGGCTCTGGCGACCGTGTTATTGCGATTTGCTACTTTGAGGAGGAGAACGACTGGTGGGTTTCGAAGCACCTGAAGAAGCCGATTCGCAGCACCATCACCTCCGTCGCTTGGCACCCTAATTCGGTCCTTCTCGCCGCCGGATCTACCGATGCCCATGCCAGAGTTCTCTCCAGCTTCATCAAGGGCGTCGACCAACGTCCAGAGCCCACCGCCTGGGGTGAGAGACTGCCCTTCAACACCGTCTGCGGAGAATACCTAAACAACTCCGCCGGCTGGGTGCATTCTGTCTCTTTCTCCCCTAGCGGAAACGCCTTGGCTTTCGCTGCCCACGACAGCAGCATCACCGTCGTTTACCCTAGCGCTCCCGAGCAGCCGCCCCGCGCTGTTGTCACCATCACTACCCAACTTCTTCCCTTCATGAGCCTGATCTGGAGTAGCGAGGACGAGATCATTGCTGCTGGCTACGACTGTGAGGCCTTCCGCTTCAAGGGTGGCGAGGGCGGTTGGGCTTTGGCCGGAACGCTCGAGTCTAAGGGTCGCCCAGGCCTGAACGACGCTCGCGAGGAGTCTGCCTTGAACATGTTCAGGCAGATGGATCTCAAGGGCAAGGTCAAGGATGACACCCAACTCAAGACAGTCCACCAGAACACTGTGACCAGAGTTCGCTCGTACGAAGAGTCAGGCGGCAACGTGACAAAGTTTACTTGTAAGTCCCATATCCTCGCTTTGTCTGGTGTCTATCGCGAAACTAACTGGAATAAAGCAAGCGGTGTTGATGGAAGAATCGTCATTTGGAGCACTTAGACTACCTCACATAGCACCTTTCAATGGAATACCATTCTGTCTCAATACATGCGCGCCCAAGACTCTACATATGTCTGACGTACCTGCTTTCAGCAAAGTCAGCTTCCATCGGCTCAACTACTTCCAGAAATTTGATGAACTTACTACACGCTCACACCAGAAATGCATATATCAACGCGCAAGGTACTGACAAGTACCGATCGACCTACAGATTCACGTTGCCCAGCGGACAACATGGATCCTCCAGCGTCGCCCAGCGGTTTCATATACGATGCTAGCCAGCAGCACCCACCGATTCGTCAATCGTCAACATCAACTGCCGCCTCTGAAGTTGCATCCGCAGATTCCTTGCAAGTGAGAGTTCAACGCGAGGTAACGGACGAGACGATGCAGACTCACTCGCCCCCGACATCCGAACAGCTTGTCCGAGTTCGAGCTCCTGGCTCTCGAAGATTTGATGCGTCGTCTGTGCCCTTTCGCAACTTGAGGGAACGTCCGGTGGATGTAGAAGCTCGTATCCAACCATTTCACCGGAGACAAATACCATCAGCGAGATTCAGTTCGATTCACAACATCTGTCTCGAGGCCACCCAGAAATACCTCAGAGACCGCCAAACCAACCGGCAAATGCGAAGCACAGCACCGACAGATCATCATGCCAGCGTCCTGTGCCGCAGACGCCGTCCCTCCTATCATGGAGTTTCATTTCGATACACCCCGTACGCGGCCAGCAATGTTCACGCTCGCCGTGAGAGCTCGACGGGCTTCGGGCTGACGGCTGGCTCAGACATCTCGCCTACCGAATCGCTCTTGACCAACATCAGTCGCATATGTGACGAGCTGTGGGCGCAGGCGCAGAGGGACAGGTTCCATGTTCCCGGAACCGAGCGAGCGGCCGTTGAAAACATGGCGCATCTTCTTGAGTGGGCAGAGACGATTGTATGGAACCTCCCCACCGAAGACGAATATGAAGACGATGGCTTGGTAGAGTTTCACGCGCGAGAGGTTACTGCGGGAAAGAACTTGTGCCTTTGGCTGGGCGATACGGAGAGGTGGGAGATGATTGTGGCATTGGAGCTTGAGGTACCACTCGGCAACGCACATTGAAGCTGTCACATGTGTTGTAAGTTGTGGTCAGAGAATGTCAACAGACAGAGAGAGCTACAAAGATATTCCTTCAACTCGAAATCGGTGCTTTCCACTGTTGAGTTGATTCCTCTTGCGTCAGCACGTTCGACGACAGATGTCAATAGGATGTTACTCTCCATGCATAGCTATTATTGTTCCCACGAGACCTCCTTTCTCCGTAGGTACCTACGTTGACGTCAATACATCTCCACTTGCATTTAGACAACAGAGTCAGATTGACGAAAAAGATGAACTCGCAAACTGTACATCGCACTTCTTGGGTGCTTTTAAACAGTGTTTAGGTATATCAGGAAGAATGAATGGAAGAAGGAAATGATATAATGTCATCATCCACTGCCGGATGGCTGTTGTATGAGGTGTCAGCTGCCGGTCTAAAGGCAGGGCAGTTTAGTGGGCGGGGGCACCTGCAGCCACTTTGTTGGCGTTCACCTTACTGAGCCCGCTGGAGGTGCGTAGAAGAAGCACGGGTATCCATGCCCCTGCAACAACTTAACTGTGGTGCCGCTGATCTAACCAACCCCACCAACACGTCTGCCGCCTGAGCCTGGACCTCCAGCTCCCGTCGTCAACCACCCTTTATCACGGCCTTTTCTAGCCATTTTGAGGGAAGCTCAACTTGACAGAGGATTCCCCGCGACATCTCTTGCCGTAAGTTCCTTCTTGCACTGTTGGTACGTCTCCAAGTTAGGCTCCATTACTCCTCGGCAAGTTCTCCGCTGCGCCTGTGGCCAAGATCACTCACCGCACACATCAAACGACCCGCCGCTAAACATTGCCCGAAGGACCCCGCCAAAAGCTCACTGCGACGCCGAACAAACGGCCAACGACGATTGCCGAAGCCGAGATACCGCTTCGCGACGCCTCGCCGATTCCGATATCCCTCGAGCGATTGCACACATACCTTAGCGACATGACCGCGGAGACATAATGGACCACCATACGCCGTCTCCTCAAGAGCAACAGCTCTTATGGCTGCTGAGAGACCTCCCTTCAAATTTCAACTATCAGTACAACGAGAATGCGCAGCGCGAGCTCCTCAACAGCCTCTTCTATTCTCTGGCGGGTGGCGATCGCTACATGCCTCTCTTCTTCCCGTCCGGCCGGCCATCCCATAACTATAAGCTCCACGATGCCCAGGGCGCAGTCGAAGGTGCCGAGTACACCGAAGCCGCTCGGGGCAAGCGATGCGGCCATATCTTCAAGCCCGGAGAGGCAAGCTACTCCTGCCGCACCTGCAGCACAGATGACACCTGCGTTTTGTGCAGTCGCTGCTTCGATTCGACCGATCATGCCGGCCACATGGTCCGCATAAGCATATCTGTCGGGAATAGCGGCTGCTGCGATTGTGGCGACGACGAGGCTTGGAAGGTGCCCTTGTTCTGCACGATTCATTCCGAGATGGAATCGGACAAGACGGAAGGCAAGGGAAAGCAAACGGCCGGTCTGCCTGAAGATTTGGTTCAATCCATGCAGATGACAATCGGCCGCGTGTTTGACTTCATTTGCGACGTCATATCGTGCTCTCCGGAGCAGCTCCGCCAGGCCAAGACACTGGAATCTATTCATGCCGATGAGGAGCTGTCGCGTCTATCTCCAGAGACGTACGGCGAGGGTCGGACGGGCGACTCCGAGTACGCTCTGGTGCTCTGGAACGACGAGAAGCATACGGTGGAGGATGTCCAGAACCAGATAGCACGAGCCTGCAGAACGACAGAGGCTCAGGCATTGGAGCGCGCCACGGAAACAGATCTTATTGGGCGTAGTATTCTCAAGCAGCTCGGCGATCTCGACACCCTTCTGGAAATGGCCACGAAGCTGGAGCACATCAAGGTCACTGTTACCATTCGGTCATCACGCGACACATTCCGCGAACAGATGTGCGGGACCATGATTGAGTGGCTCTGCGACATTTCGGGGTGCAGCGTCGGAACAGATCACGCCATTCTGCGCCAGACTGTCTGCCAAGAGATGATGAAGCCTTGGAGGAAGGGAAGTCCTGGCACCCACGCTGTGGTAGGCAAGGATGGTATTTATGATGAGGAGAGATTTCTAAGCAACTTGGAGCAGTCTCAGACGTTTACTCAACACGTACTTCTGCAAATGCAGCGCATAGCAGCTCAACAGGCAGCTCGAGCGTTCGACGTCAGTGACGATGAGGACATCGACATGGGCAGAGGCAACGGCACACCGGACAGTGATGGCGATGACGATGAGGACGACGACCTGGATGACGACGACATCATGATGGTCGACGTCCGACCCGAGGGTCCTGGGGATATCGGCCTCGAGTGGCGTGGAAACGATCAAGCTCTGGAAGAGGACGAAGCGACAATGGCCGGCTACCCGCCACCTCCGCCTCCTCCAGCGGCAGCTCGGCGGTCTGCACGAGACCGTGATCTGACACCGTCAGACTCGGACACCGCCGAGCCTCTGATAGCTCCCGCTATCTACGCAAAGGCCAACCTGGAAATCCCCAAAACCCCTGGTCAAGGGGAGAAGACACCATCGCCCAAGCCGGGCAGATACTGGCTCGAGACTCCTCCTGGGTACATGAACCGGGAGAATGTACCGCCAGCGGAGGACGTTTTCCAAAGAGTCCGTCTCGATTGGCTCATTCTCTTCGACCTTCGCATGTGGAAAAAAGTCAGAAACGACCTGAGATCGCTCTACATTTCAACCGTCGTTTCAATACCGGAGTTCAAGCGCATCCTTGGTCTTCGATTCGCCGGCCTCTACACCACGCTGGCCCAGTTGTATTTGATTGGTGACCGAGAACCAGATCACTCCATCATCAATTTGTCGCTACAGATGCTCACCACACCATCAATCACTGCGGAGATTGTGGAACGCGGCAATTTCATGACGAGCTTGCTCGCCATCTTCTACACGTTCCTCACTACTAGGCAAGTCGGGTATCCCTGGGATGTGTCATCCAATGCCGTTCTTGCTTTCGACTCCGGATCGGTGACGAACCGACGCATGTACCACTTTTATTTGGATTTGAAGTACTTGTTCGGCTCGCCCCATGTCCAGGAGAAGCTGCGCAGTGAGGAGCGCTACCTGCTGCAGTTTCTCGATCTCGTCAAACTGCACCAGGGCATCGGACCGAATGTCCGCGCTGTTGGGGAGCACGTCGAGTACGAGACAGACAGCTGGATCACTGCTTCGCTTGTAACAAGAGAGATCAATAGGTTGGCTCGACAACTCGCAGATGCGTTCAGAAATGTCTCCGAAACCGATGCGCAATTTGTTGCGCAAGCGATCAGGATGACGGCCAAGACCGTGATACTGCATTCCCTCGGCGCTGAACGCCACAGATTCAAGCAGGCGGAAATCAAGGAAGAGGTGAAGTTCAAGACGTTGGGCGACTTTGAGTTTGACACTGAATCCGCCCGTTACGACGTTGTTAAGTTCACTGTTGAGGAGGACCCCATCAGCTTCCATCACGCCCTTCACTACACGCTCTCGTGGCTTATCGAATGCGGAAAGTCGTTGCCCGCATCTAGCATGAGAGCTCTTCTGAGCTTTACAAACCAGGACCTGAGAATCCCTCCGCGCACCATGGGTCGCAAGATCATGCCGAGACGAGAAAACTCTACGCCGGAAGACAACCTCATGGCTACCTTTGATTATCCTCTTCGTGTCTGCGCCTGGCTTGCTCAGATCAAGGCGAACATGTGGGTTCGCAACGGTATCAGCCTTCGACACCAAGCGGCAACGTACCGCGGAGTCAGCCAGAGGGACGTCTCTCACCACCGGGATATCTTCCTGCTACAAACCGCCATGGTTGTGGCGGACCCTAGTCGCGTTCTCGCATCCATCATTGACCGCTTCGGCATGGAGAAATGGGTGAAGGGCTTCTTCGAGCAGAAATCGGCAGCCCAGGACGACGCGCAGCATCTTGATGTGGTTGAGGACATGATTCACCTTCTAATTGTGCTTCTGAGCGATCGCACTTCACTAATTGCTACTGAGGATGAGCCGAACTCCAATATCCTTGCCATTCGTCGGGATCTCACTCACATTTTGTGCTTCAAACCCTTGTCTTTCAACGAGATTAGCAACAAGTTGCCGGAGAAGTGGCAGGAACAAGAAGACTTCCACAGTGTTCTGGACGAGATGGCGTCATTCAAGCCTCCTGAGGGCGTCTCAGACGTCGGTACTTTCGAACTCAAGCCTGAGTTTGTCGAGCATATCGACCCCTACATCGCGCACTACAACAAGAACCAGCGGGAGGAGTCCGAGCTAGCCTACCGCAAGAAGATGGCGATCAAGACTGGTAAGCCTTTGGAGGAAATCGTCTACGAACCCAAACTTCGACCCATTCCGTCTGGATTATTCAAGGACTTGGGAGCATTCACCAGCACAGGCATGTTCGCTCAGATCGTCTACTACTCCTTGCTTTACCCACTCGTTGCTGGAAGACTCACGCCCAGTGTTCCCTCCACACGGATTGAGACCTTCCTCCAGGTCGTTCTCCACCTCATTCTCATCGCCATTTCGGAAGATAAAGAGGATGAGAGTGACATGACGGAGGAATCGTTGAAATCGTTCGTGTTCATTGCGTTGACGCGTACCGCACGAAGCAACTTCATGCAAGAGGCCCCCAATGCAAAGACGATCGTGTCATTGCTCGACATGATGTCGACGAAGGAAGAATTCAAGGCGTGCCACCCCAAGATTGGTCTCATCCTCAAGAGGATGAGGCAGAAGCGTCCTCGCAACTTTGAGAGTGCCTACATGCGCCTGGGTGTTTCGGTTGACCGTATCGACACCGCGTCGCCTGCAACAAATTCTGCCGAGGAGGAGCGGGAGCGCAAGAAGAAGGCCGCTCTCAGTCGCCAGGCCAAGGTCATGGCTCAGTTTCAACAGCAGCAGAAGAGTTTCCTGGAAAACCAAGGAAACATTGATTGGGGCTCCGATCTCGAGGACGATGAAGAGGTTGAGCAAAATGCCGACCGCAAGAACAACTGGAAGTATCCTACTGGCACTTGCATTCTGTGCCAGGAAGACACAGACGACCGCCGCCTGTACGGAACCTTTGCGCTCTTCAATGAGAGTCTTATTCTCAGACAAACGGACTTGCAGGATCCCGACTTCGTCCGAGAAGCCTTCCACACACCCTCCAGCCTGGACAGGTCTGCGGAAGACATCCGTCCATTCGGTGTTGCCCATGAGAATCGGGAGGAAGTCGTCAAGGTCAACGCCAAGGGCGAGAAATTCGCCGCGGAACGGCAGACAATAGGCAAAGGATTTCCTTCAAACTTGTCACGCCCAGGTCCCGTCTCTACAGGCTGCGGTCATATGATGCACTTCAGCTGTTTTGAGATGTACTTTGATGCGACCAATCGGCGACACCATCACCAGATTGCAAGACACCATCCCGAGAACCTCAAGCGACAAGAATTTGTCTGCCCGTTGTGCAAGGCCCTCGGTAACGCGTTTCTGCCGATCATATGGAAGGGACAAGAGGAGTCATTCCCGGGGGCCCTGCAATCCCAGCGCGTCTTTGCAGACTTCGTCGATACTCAGATGAAGTCAGGATATTATATACTTGGCGCAAATCGACCCCCAGACCAAGTCCAGAGTTCGTTTGCCAACTACACTGCCAGCCATGTCACCAGCTCTCTGGCAGAGAAGGCTTCCCAGTTGATCGACGATGCATGGTCATCTGATGACTCAGGCCTTGACTCTGTTGTTGTCAATACGCCGCTGACAGCTGCCTTCCCAGCTGCCGCCACGGCCCTTGCCAACCGCAGGTCACAACCTACCAGCAGCAGCAGCTCAACGATTGTAGGGGAACTAGTCAAGGTATACCGCCGTCTTCGTGATACGATGGCCTCCAATGGCTTCGAGAGCCGCCACAAGCATCCCCTTGACCGGCGGGAGAAGAACGAGCTCGCTTCCAGCGATGTCTTGGCCAAGCTGGTTGGTTTCTCCATCTCGGCCGCAGAAATACAGCAAAGAGGCGTCGAGGCACAATACGGCTTGACGTTGCTAGAAAAGATTCCAGAGCAGAGCCTTACGCACCTACGCATCCTGTCGGAGACAGCTACCTCTTACATCGCTACTGGTGGACTTAAGGCTGGCGGCGATAACCTCATCGACGAAGAGTTCCGCAAGGACAGCGAAAGGCAGCATGTCCAACTCTTTGCCTCTCAGTACTTTGGACAGGAGACTGAGAAAGCCAGACGACCCATCGACACCTACGGACCGCTGCTGGGACAAGACCCTTTTATCTTCTTCTCTGAGTGCGTTTTCGGTTTGATTCCTGCACAAGACTTCGATGTCACCCACGTCTTGAGACTCTGCTATCTTGCAGAGATCGTCAAGGTAGTCTTCCATATGGCACGCAACATACCCGTGTCCACGTGGGTGGGCCATCTCCTCAACAAAGACAAGCATGACGACCCAGCACTGAGGAACTTTGGTGCCTTCTGTCTGGCCATCACCCAGGTTGGCATGGAAATCAACGTTGCTCACCATGAGATACCAAAAGACTTGGGCCAGAACCGAGGGTTCAGCCAGCCCGAACTGGACAACTTGGAGGGCTACTACACGTTTGTCAAGAAGTATGCCTTGACGTTCCTGAGGAAGGCCATCATCCTTCTCTACGTCAAGTACGGCATCGACTTCAACAGCCACAACTCTCCCCAGCCCGATGCGGACGAACTAGAGCGTCTCACCGAAGCTCTTCGACTTCCGTCCTTTGACGAAATGTGCGCCTCCGTGACTGACCATGGATCATCCTGCGGTTGGCCAGCTTCAACAATGGGTCTTGTCAGCGGCTGGATCCGACACCAAATTATGTGGCCGGGTGATGTCGAAGGCAAACTCCCCACAACTGCGCTCATCAGTCACCCAGGTATTTTCGAGCTGGTGGGACTGCCAAAGAACTACGATGCCCTCATAGAGGAGGCCACCAAACGTAAATGCCCCACGACCGGCAAGGACGTGTCCGACCCCATGATCTGCCTACTCTGCGGTGAAGTCTTTTGCGGCCAGGCAGTCTGCTGCCTCAAGGAGGAGACCGCGTCCGGAGATCGCGAGCCACAGAGAATCGGTGGCTCGCAGCAACACATGCGAAAGTAAGTTAATGTTCCGTCCACTTCCTCATTAGCCAGAGCTAACCCAGGTGTGCGTCTAGGTGCCAAAAGAACATCGGCTTGTTCCTCAACATCCGCAAGTGCTGCATCTTCTACTTGTTCCGGCTGTCGGGATCCTTCAGCAGCGCCCCCTACATCGACAAGTACGGCGAAACGGACCTCGGCCTGCGCCACGGCCGCCAGCTCTACCTCAACCAGAAGCGCTACGACTCGATGCTGAGAAACACCTTCCTCAGCCACGGCATCCCTAGCTTCATCAGCCGCAAGCTGGAGGCGGAGATCAACAACGGAGGGTGGGAAACGATTTGATGAACGGAGATGGGAACTCGTGCATACGGCACGGAGGTGATGGGTGAGGTTATCTTGATGAACACAATATCCAAATAGCAATCGGTGACGAGGAGCGGGGGAAGAGGAGTACATTGGTGGATAGAATTTTTCATAGTGAGCTCGAGTGGATAGACCTTACGCATCTCACAATTACTTGGTTATCGTTGTGTGAACGGACTCAGGGACGGAGTTCTCACGGGGTTGGTCGGCCAATTTGGTTTACTTATCCATCGTGGTGGATTACATAGCACACACACATACACCCGCAAACATACATTGGCGTTTTTGAAGTCAGAAGAAGCACCGCCTTCTTGATTCTCTTGTTCGTCTCTCACTCTCACTGTGGTATCACGTATTATAAAATCAGATCACCCCTCAAGGTTGACCCAGGGGGACACATCAACGATCCGTTGACCTCTACGTCCCGCCCATCTCCAAATCCTCTTCCACTTTTATCGGCGGCTCTGTCCCCGGTGTCTCCTCGGCCGCCACGTCGGGCGCGTCTTCCACGTGCCCGTTCGTCACCACAGCAGCGGCAGCAGCAGTAACATCGCCATCCCCACCCACCCTGCTGAACATCCGTATAGACCCGTCCTGTCCCGCGCCGACCATGTTGTCCCCGTGCACATCGACCCAGAAACACACGCTCTTCTTCCCGCTGGGATGGTGCGCGGGGATCCTCTGCACGACTTCCTTGGTGACCACGTCCCACAGGACAATCTCACCGTCCTCGCTCGCCGAGGCGATAAAGGCGCCCTCGCCCGGGACGATGCCGAAGCAGCCGCCGATGGCGAACTTGTTGTTGGTGTGACCCTGGTACGTCTTCTTGACGGAGCCGTCGACGTAGTCCCACAGTCGGATGTTGTCGTCGAGGTTGAAGGCGAGCACGAAGCGGCCGTTGGGCGAGAAGCATACCGACGTCACGGCCGGGTTGTCCTCGTGGACCAGGGTGCGGAGGCACTGCCCTGTATATGTGTCCCAGATACGACTGTCCCGAATCATTCATCGTTAGCAATGGTTTCACGCTGCAGGGGAGGGTGTTCTTACATCAGCCCGTCGGTCGAACAACTGACGACCAAAGTCCCGTCGCAACAAAAGTCGATTCCGCTCACAGGGTCACTGTGCGCAGGCAAACTCCTCATCAACCGCCCTGCCCTCACGTCCCATAGGAACACAGCTTCGTCGTACGACCCGCTGGCCAAAACATTGCCCCTTGGCGAGAAGGCGAGGCAGTGTACGTAGTTATGGTGTCCGCGCAGCGGCGGCATCGGCCTCGCGGTGCCCCCGGTGGCGGCGACGCCCTTGGCCGTCGCCTTGGGTCGGCCTGTGACGCGGTCCCACAGCCGGATGGCCTTGTCGTCGCTGCCGGTCGCCAGGGTCCCGCTGTCGGGGCTCCACGCCACGCAGCTCACGCCCGCCATGTGCCCGACGAGGGTGTCCATGTGCCGGCCCGTCTCGGCGTCCCAGACCTTGACGGTGCCGTCGGCCGATGCGCTCGCGATCCAGCGGCCGTCGGGGGATATCCGGACCTGCGAGACCGGTCTGCCGGCATGGCCGCCGAGGACGCGGGTTTGTTCGAAGACTGGCCTCACGGGGCCCTTTCGTGCGGGCGGTGGCGGCGGCGTGGTCGGGGTCGCGGCGCCTGTTGTTACTGCGCCGGGGGTCAGGCGCATGCGGTCGACATTATCTGCTAGGCTGCGCCGAGAGGAGGACGAAGAGCGGTCGCTGCCACCGGATGTCGAGGCGGAACGCGAGCGTGAGCGGGACCGTGGGGATGCCGTCGGGGATCGGGTCCGTGATCGTGAGCGCGAACGGGAGCGCGAGGAGCGTGAGTAGTATGCTCCATTGAGCTCGTCGTCGCTGGGAGACCTGCTAGGCGTCATGCTAGGAGCGGCTCGCTGGGCTGAGAGTCGACGGCGGCGCGTGGGAGGCTTGGTTGGGGCAACGGTCCCGTTGAGGTCTGGTGAGCTAAGTTCGTCTGGGGAGCTGTAGCGATGTAGCGCGGTGTCGAGGACCTTGCGGCGTTTGGGAGGGGGTTCGGGGAGGGGTGTCGCGATTGCCGGGGAATTCGAGCCGGGCATTTTGAGGGAAGGTGGTCTTGGTAGCGACTGTGTCGTGGCGTCAGAAACTTCGGGTTCGGAGGTGAAGGTCGGTGTCTAATAATGTTCAGGAAGGAGGTGAGAACAGGTCGGAGTGGTGGATGGCGAGGGAAGGAGACAAAGACGAGGCTGAACAAAAAGTGACGATGGAGATCAACTTTTGGAAGCAAGGAGCAGGGGGCTTGACGTGTGATGAGAGCAGCCTCGTCCCCACTACACGGGTCGCCTGGCGGTTCCACTGTGGACGCTAAAAAAGAAAAGCGTGGGCGGGATGTTGCAGCGACACAGACGCTGCCGATTGGGCAATTGATTGGCTGGTGGAGCTGGTGCCGGTCGAAGCTGCACCTCATGAAAAAACAGCGGGGCCTTCCGGAGCGACCCCGGCAGGAACGGCCGGAGCAGGAATGCCAGAACGCAACGTCCTGTCCTGTCCTTCTTTCAAGGTCCGAGCGAAAATGACATCTTCATCCCATGTTGTCAGTCTCGTGGTCTTAGACGCGGAAGCGCACGCCGTGAGCTGTCTTGAACACTCTCGAGCTCTTTGAATCCGCATTGCTGATGCCGGAAACTTCAGCGCGTAAGGTCATCACCGCATCCGTCTTCGTCTTTCAGATTCTCGTAAACACTCTCACTCGCTCCGCCAACTTTCAAACTACGGCATCGCGACAACTTGCTTCTTCAATACGTAGACATCCACCATTTTGTTTCCTTTTCCTTCAGAAAGGAAAACAAAGACAACATGGAACCAGCAGACCTCCGCCTCCTGACCCTAAACTGCTGGGGCCTAAAATACATCTCCAAACTCCGCCCAGAACGCCTCTCGGAAATAGGTCACCGCATCCTCTCCCTCCCCAACCCGCCACACATCGTCGCCCTCCAGGAGTGCTGGGTCACCTCCGACTACGACTCCATCCGGACCACCCTCGCCCCGATCCTCCCCCACGCCAAGTTCTACTACTCGGGCCCCTTCGGCGGCGGCCTCGCCATCCTCTCAAAATGGCCCATCCTCGAGTCCTCCATGCACCGCTACCCCCTCAACGGCCGGCCCACCGCCTTCTGGAGGGGCGACTGGTACGTCGGCAAGGGCATCGCGTGCGCGCGGATCCGTATCCGCGTCGGCGACGGCGATGATGTGAGGGAACAGACGCTCAGCATCTTCAACACCCACACTCACTCGCCCTACACCGAGAACCAGCCGGGCGACAGCTACCTCGCGCACCGCCTGGCGCAGTCGTGGGAGATGTCGAAACTGCTCCGCGCCGCCGCTGAACGGGGCCACCTCGTCCTCGCCATGGGCGACTTCAACATGCGGCCCCTGACGCTCCCGCACCGTATCATCACGGCCCACGCGCCCGTCCGCGACGCCTGGCGCGCGCTGCACCCGGACTCTTCTCTCGGAGCGGCCGAAGACGCTCTGGAAAAGGCACGAGGCCGGCCGCCTCCCACGGCCGAGTTCAATCTGCTCGAGAACGGCGCCACGTCAGACGGGTCCTTCAACACCTGGCGGTGGCCCGCGGAGTTGCAGAAGAAGCTCGGCCCCGGGAACGAGCCGATCGTGATCCCGCCGGACACAATCGACCGCAAGGGCAAGCGGCTGGACTACGTCTTCTTCGGTGGTCCTCTGGACGCCGACGGCGCGGGCTGGGTCGTCCGCGAGGCCCAGGTCGGCATGGTCGAGCCGCACCCGACGCTCGGCTGCTCCCTGAGCGATCACTTCTCCGTCGAGGCGACGTTGACGTATTGTTCTCCTACAGCAGCATCTCGCAGGGACTCCAACGTCTCCGCTCAACTCGAGCCCATCCTCCCGCAGGACCTAACCCTCTCGAGCGCCGAGTATGACGAGATCCTGTCAGTGACGCGCGAGTACGTGCAGCGCGAGGAGAAGCAGCGGTATTGGAGGGGCGTGCACTTCTTCGCGTGGTTCGCTGTCCTGATCGGGTGCCTCATGGGCGTCTGGTGGAGTCCGCATAACTTCGTGGCCTTCATTCTCATGCTTCTGAGCAGCTTCGGGCTGGTCGCTGGCGTGATCGACGGTCTCATGTCGCTGTTGTTCTTCAACACCGAGTTGAGGGCGCTCAACGAGTTTGAGTGGGAGATAACTAATGTCAAGGCCAGGGCTCAGCGTAACTCTACGGAGTCTGGGAAGAGGGACAAGCCTTTTTGAACGCTGACTTAGGGCGCCGCTAGATTAATGTAATTCTGCTCAAAAGGTACGGTATACGACAAGCATGCCAATGGTCTCACACACGAGGAGAAAACTGTGGAACAATAATGTTTATTTCTATTCATCACACTCATCGATTTGTCTTCCGCAACTTGTGCCGATCGCCCAAATTTCAACCAGCCCGAGTCACCACCCTTGAGGTGGCACTCTGTTCGACATCCCCTGAAACCTCATATCGTAGCCCACCACCGGCCCTTCCTGCGGCATCGTATACGCATCCGTTTCAAAAACTGCACTGACAGGTTGGCGGTGCATGTGAGAGGCCTTGCGCCACGAGTATCCCAAGAACGCTGTTTGTTTTCTGAGTCTCATGACTTCGTCCTTGGTCTCTGGGTCTCGAAGAAGCTTGTCCCTGGGCCGTTTGCGCTCTTTTTGGCCGTATTTCCTGACAAGCTCCTTCATGCACTGCTTTCCCTCGGAGCTCAACCTCGAGTATTCATCGATGTCGCGATCGATCTGCTTGAGTCGGTTCGAGTCGTAAGGTTGCTTGATAGCATCAAGAACAAACTTGACATGACGATCTCCGAAGCCGACGGATCTGAGTTCCTTGAAGATGACGCTTGTGTCTGGCAACTCCTCCTCTGCACCAGGGTCTACCGATTCCGACCAGTCGCTGATAGGCTCGTCTTCTTCGAAATACTGAGTGTCGAGGAAATCGGTGATTTGTGGCAGCCATTCAGGCTCTCTCCAGCGTAGTTCTGACCAGCGAACTCCACGAAACTATCTGTGTCTCTTGATACCGGCCGCATCATTTGGAAACACATATCGACGAAGGTTGTGTGGCAGATGGAAACGGTCTTGGTGATCATAGTACGGGCACGAAAGGCGTTCGTGCTTCACCTCAAGCAGAGATTTGATCAAATCCCTACAATCGTCCGAAATCGGGGGTGTAGGGGGGAAGATCAACGTATCTTTGTGATTCTTCATCGAGTTAGCGTGACCCAAGTTGGGGGTTTTTTTTTTTAAAGAAAACTTACCACGATGTTCTTCTTGGTGTACTGTCGGCCTTTGTCTGAGAGGAACGGCGTATGCCCATACAGGCATTCGTAAAGGATGATTCCGATACTCCACTAGTCGCATCTGCCGTCGTATCTCTCCCCCATAACGACTTCTGGAGCCATGTACTGACTTGTTCCCACGACAGAACGGGCACACGATCGCCTTGTAGATACTGCCCTCCAATCAAGGAGATCGTCCACCATGGGTGGCGTTTCTGTGATATGAAGCTGTGCGGTGTCATCTATTGTTTTGAGTCTGGGTAGCTCCCTAGATTGAATCTTTTCCGCCGGGGGTTCGTGTCTCGATAAGCTCAGATGAAATGAGTTTCTCCTTGTTTGGGTCCCCTCTTGCGATGGTTTCTGATCTTCGTTATCGCCATTGAGAGTGATATTATTTGAAGAAAGCAGACTCTGGCGGTGCCACTTGTAATAGGAGGTATCATGAGACCAGTGATCATCAAAAGCCAGCCCAAAGTCAGAAATCTTGAGGTGACCGTCGGCGCCAATAAGGAAGTTGTCTGGCTTCACATCTCGATGAATGCAACCGAGATTGTGTGCCTCCTCAACGCAGAGAATCATCTCAGCAATGTAGAACCGGGTCCTCGACTCACTCAGGATATTCTCGCGAATCAACAAGCCGAGGAAGTCTCCACCCGGCATGTAGTTCATGACAAGATAGAGATTGACAGGGTCTTGGAAACTGAACATTAACGGGACGATCCTGTCGAAGGATCAGCATAGCTGTGTGAATCAGAAGCAACACCAACCAGGAGAGTAAACATACCACTCGGAACTCGAAGCAGCAACCAGAAAATCTCTTTCGGCTTGCAGGTGACCCTCCTGACAATTTCGAATCATGTCTGATTTCCGAATCACCTTCATGGCATAGACCTGGGGCCCGTATCGTTCGCGAACGAGTTTGACCACCCCGAAACTCCCCTTACCAAGGATTTGTACTGTGTCGAGGTGATCGAGATATGAGTACCGAGGCACACCGAATCTCTCTATCTGGAGCGGTTTTGTTGACCAGGACGCCCAAGTCGTCCGGCAGCTTTGAGCCTTCACGACTCTCTGCTGGCGGAGATATATTGTCTCTTCCTGGAAGAACCTTCCCATCTCGAGTTCCTTATGATAATCCGTCATTGGAGGCATAGCCTGATCCAAGTCGTGTCGGAACTGCATGAGACGCTGCTCGCGGGGCGTCTTGCCGGTGCCGAAAACCTCCTTGTAATACGTCTCGAGGTATATCTTTGCTGCGGCGGCTCTTTCAATGGTATTCACTCTCCGAACGTCAAGTGGTGGCTGTAGTTCTATGGTATCTCCGTCGGAAGGTATTGGTGGCGCCTCAATCGCCGCGGCATGCGGCGCAGACGCTTTCCAACCCCAGACGTGGGCCACTTTCTGCATCGCGCGCTGGATAGTGCTGCCGCTTGAGCTTTTCTTCTTCCTGAGACCTGTGACTGCGTGAGCATGGTTCACGTAGTGACTACCATTTCGTCGAACCTGTGATGTGCCTCGCAGCCAGAATGTGTCTGGCAACTCGACTGGTGTTGAAATTCGACGGCAACAGCTTCTCAGGTTTGCCCTAGTAACGACGTGGCTGGCCGTCAAACTCGCCGTACTCCTTGGGGAACAAGTTGTTTGGGTCGGCGTCGATAGTCACAACGGCGGGAAGCGGTCCAGGCACTGGAGTGCTGTTGCTACGATTGTGGTTGGGGAGGAACTGATGATGCATGGTGATGATGGGGAAATCGACGTAATGAATAAGTTTGCTAGTAAACGATCTGTAACGTATGACGTGAAGTCCAAAAAAGAGAGACGGACAAATCGACCAGCGATGGCGGCTCTTGATCTGGCGATTTGTCTGTGGTGGTGATGTTCGGGGGGCGTTTCAAGAACATAGGGAGATAATCAGGTGGATGTTTGGCTGCTCTGAGAAACTGAACCGCAGTCGACTGCGTGTATGCATTTCACATGCGGAAGCAGGAACTCGCGGTTGAGCACCGACTTCTGGGCAGGAGCACTCAATGCCATCCTGCTCAAGCAACAGCACAATCTAGGCAGACCGAGCCTGCCGAAACATTTTCAACGTTGACCAAGTAATGAAGCAGAAGGAGCAGGCAGCGTGAAAACAGTAAGGAAAATCTTTTCGTTAAGAAAACAGAGCTAAGTACAGACCGACCGGAAGAAACCATGACCGGTACAGAAATCCCTACAGCATAAATTCTTTTTGTAGTACGCCAACCAATGCAGTGTAAGTCCTCGCCTCGTCATCCCATCAAACAGAATCTGCTTCCCGCGCCTCAGCAATTGCGGATCTTCGCAGACAGCCACAGGTCGGAGACTATCCATTGCGGCACGGCGAGAGGGTGTGCTCGCCATCACTTTGAGCACACATCATTAAAAGGGGTAGTCCCGGAATGTCGTTCCCTAGCGTGTCCAAGCCATCGTCGTGGCGGGACAAGTTGGGTATGTATGTAGAGTACAGTTGGGAGTACCCTTCGTCGGCGTCACTCCGCCGAAGTCGGGCATGTCGATGATATGTTTACTTGATCTCAAGGAGCTTGACGTCGAAGGTCAAGGTGCTGTTGGCGGGGATGCCAGGCAGACCCTTGGAGCCGTAGGCAAGGTGGGCGGGGATGGTCAGACGACGCTCGCCGCCGATGGTCATGCCCAGGATACCGACGTCCCAGCCCTTGATGACCTGGCCCTTACCGGCCTTGAAAGAGAAAGGCTTGCCCTTCTTGTTGGCTGCACATGAGTTAGCAGACTGGGAGCAAACATGAGAATGATCATTACTCACCATCGAAGACCTTGCCGTCGTCGAGCTTGCCAATGTAACGGACACCGACGGTGTCACCGTTCTTGACAGCACGGCCAGAGCCGACCTTGCGGTCGTCAATGGTGACTCCCTGGACCACCTTGACGCCGACCTTGCCAGCCTGCTTGGCCTTCTCAGCAGAGCCGGTGGGGCCCTGCTCGAGATTCTTGGCGAACTGAACCTTCTTGTCGGACTTGGGGGTAGACTTCTCCTCGGAAGCGACAGCCTCGCCCTTGTTGTTCTTGAGCTTCTTCTTGTCCTTCTTGGAGAGCTTAGAGTCGTCCTTGCTCTCGGCGATCAGGTCGTCGAGGCTCTCGGCAGCACGCTTCTTGCCCTTCTTGGCCTCAACGAGCTTAGGGATCTCCTCCTCATCGGAATCGACCTCCATGACGCGGGGGTCAGCGGTGTCGTCGAGGTCATCACTGTCCTCGTCACTCACCTCGCCCATAGCGTACTCAAGCTCATCGGGAGACAAGTCGTACTCGTCATCCTCGTCCTCGTCCTCGTCATCGGAGCCCTCCTCGACGTCGATAACATAGTTACCGGTAAGGTGGACGGTGTGGGTACCAGAGACGACGAAGAAGACCTTCTCGCCCTCGGAGACGGTGATGTCCAAAGGCTGCTGGTAGTGCTGTGACATTGTTAGCGGGGAACGTCAGGCGTCTGTGGGTCGTGGCGCAACTTACGCGCTCGGTGTCGAGAGTGCAGACGACAAAGTTCTCGAGGTCGAGACCCTCCTCGTCATCGCTTTCGTCCTCGTCGTCCTCATCGTCATCCTCATCGGAGGCCTTGCCCTTGCCCTTCTTGCTGGCCTTGCCGTTGGGCTTGGCGTCGTCCATCTCCTCGTCAGAGTCTTCCTCCGCCTCAGCAGCCTCGATCAGCTTCTTGAGGGCATCGGCCTGTCTCTGCTTCTTGGACTTGGAAGGGTCGCTGGGGCCGCCGTTGGGCTCCTCGTCGTCGTCAGAGTCCTCGTCGTCGTCGTTGGCGGCGATAAGAGCCTTCATGTACTCCTCGTCGATCTCGTCATCGTCCTCGTCGGCACCTTCGTCGCCGAGGCGCTGCTTGACCAGGCGAAGAGTAGAGCGGGGGACGGCGGGGATGTTACCCTCGCTGTCGGCCTCGGGCGCCTCGGTGGGATCAATGGCAGCCATGGTGATGCGGAACTGCAAATGCACAGTTAGTACCCGAGAGGTATTGGTTGCGCCGGGCGCAAACTGCGACCGAGTCGCAATTCATCCGCGACGGCACTTCCGAGGTGAAAGGCAGAAGCATCAATGTACATACAGTGGCAGGGAACTCGGCAGCGGCGGGAATGAGGATCTCGCCAGGAGGAACCTCCAGGCCATAGAGGGCGACAGGCTGAAGCGACATTTTGATGATGTGTATAATAAAGCGTGAAAAGTATTAAAGATTGCCGCGCTGGGACTTGTAATGTGTTTCACAAGGAGGTCAGGAATGTCAAAGACCTTCGACTTGGAGAATTTCTGTTTGAGTATGTAGAGAAAGTTGGGAGGAGAGATGCGGGAGGGTGCAATGGAGAGGTTGTGCAGAGAAGGTGAGGTCCAGGTAGAAGAGCTTTTGCCTGAAATTTTTTTTTGCCGTTCGACTTTCCTGCCGGGAACTTTTTTTTTTTTTTTTTTTCCTTTCCATGGCGTCGACCCCACTCCACCGGCCAAGACACTGCTAGCACCGCCTTATCGGTCTTATCCTTCCATGGCAACCGCTGCACAACGACAGGGAAGCTGCGTCCGGGGAAAGAGCTGCATAGGACCCTTGCCAGAAAGAACGGATTCCAGTTGCACAATTGCGGCAACAAGTGAACGGTGAGAGCGCCATGGAGCCACCGAGAACCATCCACGCACACCGCTTTCTGCCTGCTCTGGTCTCCGTCTGCCTCGGTGCGATCGCAGCGCAATTGGCCTGGTTTCTGAGACCCGCTTTGATACGGCTCCCAGATTCCTCAGGTCGACGACTTCGGTGCAGCCCGCTTTCTCGCAGAAGCAGAACATCCCGTATGAGGACGCATGCCATCTCGAACAGATCACGATCTTGCATGATCAAGTTTCTCAAGTCATGTGATCGCTGGGAATGCATATACCGCTTGGAGAAGTGTGCCTAAGCAAGTGACAAGTCAAGAGCAACCCATTTACATGAGATAGTTGCTGTTGAGTCTCTCCCTCTCTCTCTCGGAACCACCCAGCCATCCTCAAGACTATAATATCAAACCACCTTCGCCTTCCCAGGCCTCACAAACAAAGCCTTGACAACCTGCCACATAACCCCCAGAAAGAACACACTCTGCCCCTCCCCGTAAACCTGCCCGCGATCACCCACATCCGCCATCGAGCACGCAATCTCAGCAACCGGTCCCGGGAAATGCCTCCCGTTCCCCCTCGCATATGCCGCGACGAGGTCATTCCCGTTCGTGACACCGCCTACACACATCATCGTCGTCGTATTAGTCCAAGAAGACCGTGAAAGACCAAGTAGCCGGGGACTGGAAACTCACCACACGTCCAAAGATTCCCATCCTGAACCCAACGGTACCTCTCCCCGACGAACTCCGTCCCCGTATACTTCTTCCTCAACACGCCCTGCAAACCCCTCGGCCCGCAGACCCTCCTCCCTTCCAAAACCCCCGCGGCACCGCACAAGAAGATACCCGTACAAACGCACAACACATCCGTCGTCTCCTTCTGCGCCGCATGGCCCCTCAAGAACGCCAGCACGTCCTCCCCCCAGCTCGCAGACGGATCCGGGCCGGGGACGAGGAGGATATCGAGCTTACCCGGCTGGACGTCCGGATGTGTCATATCGTGCATTGCGGCGATCTTGAGGTTCGACGTAAGCGGTACGAGCGCGGAGGGCGAGGAAGACGTCGTCTCGACGGAGGTAATATACGAAATCTCCACAGAGGGCGCGAGTTCCCTCACGTGCCTGGGCAGGAAATCCATCGACTCGAGTCCGAGGTACTCCCTGGACATCATGTGGAAAACGTCGATGCAGGCAAGGTCTAGAAGCTGGACCTCCGTCGGCACGAAGACGCCGATCTTGACCGTCTTCGAGTTGGACATGTTGGGAAACACCGTCTGGGCTGTCTATCTTGTCGATGTAGAACTGATGAGTGATGTGCTCCGCAGGAGTATCGCAAGTTACGAGTTGGTGATAGTAAGTGACGATCGTTGCGTTCAGGAAGCAGCGACATTCCTTATATCATTTCGGCTACCACCCGGCTCGCACCGATGATCCGGCCCTGGGTGGAACATCTGTCTCGACGGCCCCATACTCGGCCGGCTTCTGGGAGCCGCCGGCGCCGTGCAGGAAGCGGCGCAGTCGACTTTGGCTGACACCAGGTGCCTTGATTGGTTGAGAGCATGCAACTTCCGAGGGCACTCGGGACTTGGCGGTGATTCGGCCGCCTGATTGCTAGGTAACAATGCATAGGTACGAGAGCTCCAGTCGTCGAGAAGCTTAGCTACGGGAACGCGACCTACTACGCAGACGACTGAAGCAAGTCGCCTCCGGATCACAAGGTCCTCATACACACGGCAGACCTCACAGCATCACAGAAGGGCACGAGGCACGTCTTGAGTGTTTCTACAATTCACATGATTCGTATTGATTGTGGCAAAGTTCTTCCTATTGACCACTCCCGATCCACGTCTTAGCGTCAGTTGCCATGATCATGAATCGTCTATGTACACACAAGATTAGATATTATAGGACTCGTCCATTAGAGGGTTCCCGGGATTCTGTGTGTCGGCCTCCCTTCTTGCTCTTTGGAACCCACTCTCAGCTGTTCCTGCTGGGCTTGTCCCGTCCCCAGCGGATGCAGTCGTTTCTCACCCTCTCGGCATCTTTCTGCCTCTGGTGGTTGAACATCGTCATGCTGGCGTGGATATGTCCTACTCCTTCCGTTCCACTCCGTCTTCCGTATAAGCGAATGCACTTGGACGGCTCTCTCGCTCGTCAAGTTCCTGCGTAATTGCTCCGAGAACTCCGGTTTGAGGCCCCATGAATCCCCAATATATCTAGAATGCCGATACCATGCCATGCCATGCATATCAAGAATGCCCTCATCTATTTACACGTGAGGCTCTCGAGAGCCTCAACTTCTTCAAACACGTAATCGAGTTAAAACCGCCGCTCGGTGGGTCTTCCTAGAATTGGGCTGTGCGTCGAATCGAAGGAAATAAGGAGGAACCGTCGCGGCCCATGCCAGGGTGCGAGATCCAGTCGAAGGATAGGTAAAAAGATAACATAAGAAGGGAATAAGTCGTTACGCCATTTGGTCTGCCGAGAGCGATTTCGCCCTTTGTCTTGTGACCTTTTTGCTGACCGAGTAGACAAGGTCCAGTGTCCAGAAATGGCACAGTTGCGCCTGGGCGCAAGGAATGGCTCCGTAGATGGGAGCCACCAACGGGACCATGGCGTAGTCGATGAAGTTCTTCTTGACGCTGCGGTAGGAGAAGTTCATGCCGTCGGAAAGGCCGGCTTCGGACATCTCACGCTGGCGAGCCTTGACGCAGATACGGTGGAAGCTCTCGTACAAGAACAGGTACAGGGCGATCTCCATGAACCCAAGAGTGCGCAGAACGTTGCAGACGTTAAAGATCCAGCCGAGGTGAGCGACCTCTTCATTGCCCTCAGTAACCCAGATGTACAAGGTCGAGGCGACGACAAGGATGGTCATCTGCAACGGCAGGAAATGGGCCTCGAACAAGCGGTGGAACAAGTAGACTATGCGCTCCCAGTTGGGGGCCTGCAGGGTATCGTGGGTGACGTCGGAGAAGATACCGCTCTCGCGAGGCTGCTCCGGGTTTTCGTGATCCAACGGAGCCTCAGGGACGTAGACGTCGGAGGCGTCGCCCAGGGAGGTGTGCAGCGGGCGGAAAGCGCGGGAGGTGTGCTTGCGCTCTTGCCAGAGTTCTACGACCTTGCGAAGAGCGTATCCGGTATCGAGAGCACCCCACATGTGTCTCATGGCCTGCTTGTAGCGAGCCTGCATATCAGAGTAAAGACCACGCAGACCCTTGGAGCCATTTCCGCAGACGTTGCTTTGGCTGACGGGGCTGAGAATAGTTCTGACCGTCAGGTTTCCGTTGAGGGCGAAGAAGCACTTCAGGTACATGTGCAGATCCTCTCCGATAGCCTCGTTGTCACAATCCCAGCCGCCGACGCGGTCGACGAGCTCAAGAGGAACAGAGTAGACGGAAGTGGGAGGCGCAATGGTGGAGCCACCGTACAATCCAGACATACCACCAGCACCCCAGAGAATATCGGCGACACGGACGATGGCGGGAACGGCATGAGCATTGCGGTCGAAAATGATTGGGGCCGAGTACAAGGTTGTCTTTGCTGTTTCGGGGTAGGACAGGTGCATGGTAGTAAGCAGGGCGAAATAGTTGGCCGAGAGGTGGCTGTCGGCTGTAGATACCCCACGTTCTTGTCAGCGAATCATCCTACACGCGCAAAAATTGGAAACATTGACTGCGGCAGAATCTCTGATTCTGACATGCGCACGTACCGTCGATACCCGTAATGATCACATCCTTGCGGGCGGTCATTGAGTATTTTTGGCTCAACTTGCGGGCAGCCCATGCCACGTTGCTTCCCTTGCCAGCGGACTCTCCAGGAATGTCGGAAGGATGAATGGTGTAGTCGATGCTGCGGAACTTCTTGACGAATTCTTGGATGAGGGTCATGGCCTTGAGTTCCACATTGGGCTCACGCTGCTCCATGCCGAGGTAGACCTTAGGGGACCAAGTTAGCAATTGAACGCATTAAGTAGGGGAGCGCGTCGTCCAAAGCCGGCGAAAAGTTTGCCGTGGTTCGGGGACGAGACACAATGAAAATTTGAGGGCAAGTAATCGGAAGTCGACTCACATCGTAACAGCTGCGGGCCTGGGGGTGCGAGGCCAGAACCTCGAGGGTCTCTTTCAGGGTGTCCATCTCCTCCTTGTAGTTGGGAATGACGATGGCGTGAATGACGCGATCGGGTTCGCCGTCGCCATCGGTGTAGAGCTCGGGCTCGGTGTCGCCAGCTTCGCTGCTGGAGGCGGAGCAACCGTGGGAGGATGTCAGGGTCTCTGAACTGGACAGAGAGGTGGAGGAGCCCCGACGGCGATGGGAGAACTTGTAGTCCCTCAGAGTCTTGTTCCGTGCAATCTTCTTCAGGTTGCGGGTCATGTCGAAGACAGCGTAGCAGCATCGGATGGGGAAGGCGAAGACGAGGACGTGAATAAACAGGCAGTAGTATACGAAGATGACGGTCCAGTAGCCAGCGCCCTTGGTCGTCGAAGAGATGGGTGAAAGGCTGTCCTTGTCCTGATGAATGTATTTGAATGCCGAGGCAGCTGATTCTGTTGAAATAACGTAGTAACTCAGGGCCAGCAAGGCCAGCATGGCCAGGCCGCCTGCACGGCGCGAGGCCCAGGCGAAGATGGACATGTTGATGACCGACCGAAGATGCGTGAAAAGGCGATACCAGAGAGAGGTTTATCGTCGGCGGGAGAGCGACAGTGACGGTTGTTGGACGACGGAAGGCGACTGTGGTGGCTGTCTGTCTGTCTGTCGAGGCGAGGGAATGTACGAAGCGCGGTTGAGGCTACTCGAGGGAGGGCGAGACCAACAACTGCGAACAGCGGACGGAGGAAGGAGAGAGGAACGGAGGGGGGAAGGAGGGAGTAGGACCAAGAAGCAGGAAGCGAGGACCTGAAATTGCGAAAGCTGTCCGACGTATGGAGCGCTACCCAACAGGACAGGTCGAAGTGGTCTCTCTCTCGCGCTCGCTCGCTCGCTCGCTCACTCTCGTGTCTCGAAGGAGGAGTTGTTTTGAGGAGTAGGAAGGTTAGCAGAGGGGGAGGGGAGGGAAGGAAGAGGGAGGAAGAGGAAAAAAAAGGGAGGGACAGAGGGAAAATTAGAGTGCGTGTTGTCGGATGATATTCACGAGGTGAAGGGCAACTAATGGATACGGGACGGGACTGAGAGAGAGAGAGGAAAAGAAGGGCAAGGTTGAGAGAGAGTGGATGATTTCTTGGTTAGGACAGAGACGACCGGGACGTGGACTGTGACATGGAGCGCGAAGTAGCGCGGTGGGCACTGGACGGTAAGGTGGTAGGTACAATGGGCATCGAAGCAGACTGGACGGGACGGGGACAGGAAAGGAAAGGGGGCGCACCCTTCCCACCTCTGGTGCTGTTTCTGCGGTGCTGGTGCGGTAGGTAAGGTGAGGTAAGGTGAGTTGCTGCTGGTGCTGGTGCTGGTAGACCGTCTGGTACTGCTATCTGTAGACCTGAGAGGTTGGAGCTGGGAGCTTCGTGCTTGTTGTATTGGACCTGGGGTGTTTTAGAAACCCAAGCAAGTACCTCGGCGCAGGCGAGGCTCAGAAAAGATACATGAGGTGCAGATGCGTAACGTCAGAGCCAGAAGCAGGCCTGAAGCAGCCGCACCTGGAGAAGTACTTACCTCAGTCAACCTAAACCACTTGTACCTTTTGCAGCACGTCCAGCGGCAGTCATGACGCCCGTACACACCTGAGGTACCTTCCCTACCGACTTGAATGAAGGTACCCCTGGGCACTCACTATTGAGACCTACAAGAAGCACCAAACCCAACCCAGAGCCAAACCAGCAGATGGCGAGACAGGACGAGCAACACAGCAAAGAAGCGCAAAAGCTGGGCGATTGGGGATGCAGGATGCGGGAACTGTACTGGGCGAAAGGGGGCAAGGAAGCCTCTGGATTGGCGAGACGACGACAGGGGGGTAACCCGGCAGCGGTGATGGCAGCCGTAACAGACAGGGGACTATGTACTTGTAAGTGGAGCTAAGAAAACGGAAGCCAGATGTACCCAATAACCTCGATCTCAGCAAAGAGCACACTCTTGCTTTGATTCTCTGAAGAAGACGGAGAAGACGACGGGATTGCAATTTGGCATTGGCCGGACCGGGCTGGTATCGACGATTAGAACAGCATGCAATTGGTCTGAAATGGATAAGAGAGGTCTAGAAACCGGGCATCTGGGGGTGGCCTTCTTCTTCTTGGGGGTGTGCGTGCCGTCCAGTCCTTGCCCGTGTTACTAGCGCATTTCTCCCGCTCTCATCTAGCGGGCTGCCTCTGCCACACACTCAGGTCGCTAAGGTGCTGCAGCCTGATGATGATGATGCCGCTGCTGCTGCTGCTACTGCTGCTGCTACAACAGAAAAAGATGAGGTGCCTCGATAATTGCGTTAGCGCGAAGTGGGACGTGGGTTCGCGTATGACAAGGTTGGCACGGATTCGACAGGGTTGGGTCGCCTTGGGAATTTTCTGCGCCTGCACTGAATCGCCCCGCGGGAAATGAGCAATGAGAAATTTACCGGCTAAGCGGCCAAGCCCTCGACAACTCGCACCATTCACACTGTATACTTGATCATTCCATTTCCTTCCTGTCCTTCTCCAGCCTCTCTCCTCCAGCTGTCTCTGTCCTCCAGCCTTCATCGTTGTCCGCTGCAGAAAGATTCTCGACACCGCCTCACTCTCCCCGCCGTCTACCTCCACAATTCTCTTGGAAAGGCTGTAAAATGTCGCCGTTCGTCTGCCATGGCGTTTCCATTTCTTCCCGCGTATGATGTACGATTACGCCCAGAGGGGACCCCGCGATATTAGCCTCACTGAACGGCTCGGCTTTATATGCCTGCCTTCCATTCATCTACGAACTGCCCACATGACATGGCGCAGACCAAGCCACAGCAGCAAAGCCGGGCAAGCTTCGACAGCCTCCCCCAATCGAGACACATCGTAACACGCGTCGCGCGGGATTCTCTTCAGGTAGATTGCTGACCGCTATCGTCTGTCACCTCACCTGCCTCTGCGTCGCCATCATCGCTGCGTGCGAGTCACTCTCCGTCGGGCAATGACACAGCCTCACTTGGCAGCTCTTGTCTTTTTTTTTTTTTTTGAAGGCATTCTCGAAGCCTCCGTGTCTCTCGCTCTTACCGTCCTGTGTTAACATCTGAGGTTAATTACTCAAGACCCTTTCCCCTTTTCCCATGCAGTCTCTTGTCGCAAACTGTTCTGGACTGGCCGTCAGTCATCAATGCCTATCCGCATTCAGATGCCAAACCACAGGACAAATGTTCCAAGCTTTGAAGACGGAAATAATTTGACAGTTGCCCGCACAGTGCGGTCATCTCCGTGTGTTAGCCACCACAGATAGCGGGTATCAAAACAACAAGAAAGACAGGGCCCAAAGACCGAAGACCGCTTTCTACCTGTGCAAAAACACGCTAGGAACGCTAAGCTGCCGTAGGTTCGCTCCTCCCGCTCTGACGGGCTGGTTGGCCCAAACGGCATCCCCTTTGGGGTCGTGAGAAAGATGCAAGACAGGAGATGGAGTACTTCCCCCACTAACAATTTGCGATGCTTCGACTGGGGGGAGACCACAATGTCCACCAGAGAGACCCCATCGTGTCCAGGTCCCCCTACTGCTCTCCACTGCTCAGTCTGACCGACATCACGCTTGTTTGTTGAGGCCCGTCTCGTCTGGAGAACAAAGGAAACTGATTGATCAGCTTTGAAATCATATCCATTCTTCAATCCAATACCTGTCATCTTGGCGGACAAAAGCCGACGGGAATACTGAGGTTTTAGCTTCCGCGGAGGATGGAGGATTCGACATCCAATGCAAGATGCAAGAATGCAAGGACTCCTACCAAGCCTACTGGGTTGTCGACTTAGCTACATTTTAAGGCTGTTCCGGGGCGGCGTAGTATCTCGTCGTAGTCAGCCCTCGAAGCTTAGGTTGACCACCTCACAAGCCGAACTCCAACCTCGCTCCTGTCACGCGTCCCGGGGAACCTTCTCTCGTCTTGCCTTCCTTGGACAAGCATCATCTTGTCCTCTGCTAGCTGCTTGACGTGTATGCAGTTGCAGTTGTTCATGCAACAAGAGGTACTTGTAGGTTTGGCTTGTGAAGCAGTCGGTGAGGACGGTACCTGCCTCGTGTAAGTGATGACGGGAGTGCACCTTCCTTCTTCCTTCCTTCCAACCTCAAGCAAGGTTCTGCTATGCCATTCTGGTAGGCATCCACGGTACGTACACCGACTTCGACTTCAACTTCACCAAACACGACGTCCGCCTCGGGTCTTTGAGTCCTTTCATACCACATCTCACCGTGGCCAAGAGGCCAATGCCATTGTCTCCCTCCATTCCTCGACCCCAAGGCCTCCAGAAACAGCAAGCTAAACACCCAATTCCTGCGAAAAAAGCATAGCGTGCTTGTGCGCTTGTCACGACAATCCTACCAACTGTTTGCAGGAGATGTGAGGCTCAGTGGAAGCAACTCAACTCTCCCTTGGAACGCTATATTCGGGCGTCTCGACGAAATTCCGTCGCCGGTTCTGCTCGCCCAGCCAATCAAGTAAAGATGGTCGCTACGAGAGACGTCTGCACCATCCATCTCGGCTACCTTGAATGGGCTGTGCTGGAGATCCTCAGTCTCGGAATATAAGCGATTTGCCCGCGGCGCGCGTAGTGCGTGCGTGTGCCCGTGTGTGCCCGCTTCGACGACACGATTTAAAGACAGCACTTCGCAGCCACGCGCCATGGATCTCGCCATTGGTGCCACACGCCAACTGAACAAAGACGGTTCCCCAGGCCACCCGTCGTGGCTGCACCTTTCGCCATGCGTGCGAACCCGGATCGAGGCACACGGCGGGCAGATACCGCTGCTTGTACCACGCACGCTACCTGAGAACAGCAGGCGAATGGGAGATTGCCTACGAATACAATGGCCCGGGTAGCGCACTATGCAGCACACGCAGCTGTCTCTTCTCTCCGGCTCTGCAAGTCGTACGTACGCCAAGCGGAGCAAATCGTGGCTCGGCCAAGCCTTAGTGTACTTGTCGCTGTTGGCTACATCCTCGCAGATGTGTATTGGTCGCTTGCGAATCTTCCAGCGAGCTTGGTTCCTTCTCAGAAGGAGGCGGGTCTGGGGCTTGGAGAATGGCATGGCAAACTGTGGCTGCCGTCGTCATCATCAAAGCCATACTGCGGCCTCGTCGTCATAGGACCTGGGCGAGGGATGCTGGGGTTCCTGAGCTCTCGACAAGGTGGTCGCGGATAATTAGAGAGACGACGAGCAGAATGCGAAGGCACCCACGCAATCAATCCACGAACATCGATGCAGACATGGACATCGCCATCGGCAGTGCCAGGGACGGGCACGACAGCCCAGGCCAGGCGGGACAAGGCAGTTTGCTTAGGGTGCTTGCCTGGCCGCCCACATCAAATGTCATCCCATGGTATTCGCCCTTTGACGAGACCGTCGCACGTATTCCCAGGGGTCGCAAAGATGATCGCGCTCTGCTAAACTAGCTCGCGGCCGAGGCCCTACGATGTTTTTCTTGGTCGTCCCACCATCGCAAACCTTCAATTTGGTGCCAATCCCTCGCCGAGTCTGACATTCCTCCAATCAACTACAAAGTCCAGTCACAGTGCGTTCCCCTCCTCCAACACTACCTTCATCACCGGCTGGCGAGCCGGCCTGGGATCTCGTGGCGAGCCGGGATACCGTTGCTGCGAAATGATGGGAGGCTACTGCGAGACCCAGGCTCCAGTTTTCGTTCCCCTCGTTCTCTCCTATCCGGAAGAGATGCAACAATCAAACGAGAAAAATTTGAAGCGCATATCAATCAAAAGGAAGAAAAGGTATGGCGCTCTGGCCAGGTCTCCGCCGCTGAAGCCCGAGAGCAATAGCCAATGGCTCTGTTGGGGTCAAGCAGTGACGGCAGTCGGAAACGGAGATTTCGACCTGCACATCGCGTACGTGGTGGTCCTGGTCACACCGCCCGATATAATCATGTGTTCGACAAGCGCATGTCATTACGATCTCTCTCGGCCGTGGAGTCAACCAGCTTCTATTGCCCGTCGTTATCACGAGTCACAATATGTGGTTGAATCAACCGCGCCGCCTCCTAACGTGTTCCAGCAGCACCGTGCTCACCGCATTCAAGCCATCTCGAACATCCGTGCTATCAAGAGCGGCACCATTGAAGTCGGTTCACTTAGCGCCTCACCCTCCCACCTTATTGGGAACAGCACATTGAGGAAGTTGAGATCGGACGCTTTACTATGCTTATAAGAGAAAAGGCAAGCTAAGCAAAAGTATCGGTGTACGAGACAGCTCGCTCGGTGCGCATGCAACAAGCACACCAGAAGAATATCTGCTCCTAGGGCCCTAAGAGACTACCAAGGCAGTTTTGATGGCGACGGCGACCATCCCTGCATCAGACTGTGCTTGTGCCTCCAAAGCACTGGCTACGCAGTAAACCGAGATTCTCAGATATCTTGGTATTTCTCGGCGTATAACGTCTCCGCAACTCTCCGCAATTTCAAAATCAGAAGCGAGAGCTTGCTTTTCGCCGTACTGAAAGATGCAGCCTCGAAAAGAAACGGATACGAGCTTATTCTCATCAGCGACGGGCAGGCGCATCGAGCACTTCCTGGTCCACGCAAGCTGCTTGTATCAGGCCGACGACAAGCTGACGCGACACTCCCATATGAGCTGGTGCTTCATCTCAGAAACGTTGATACGTGGAGCAAAGACACGATCCAACGCCGACTCCGAAGACTTGTTGGTCAGCACCGGCCTTTAGGGGAGATTCCGATGCCGTGGGTTTCCTCCGAGGATTTGGAGGCGGCCAAGAGACTTGAGCAGTGACATAACGGTCGGTCAGCGCCAGCAAAGAGGATGAAAAGCGACGTGGAAAGGGGGGGGGAGGTGCCGGATGGTGGGGTGAACAAACCCTTGGCGGGCCGGCGTTTGAGATTGAACGTTTCTGATGCTCCGAATCTGACTGGCTGGTGTGGGCCAACAAGGCCGGACCTGGAGTTCCAACTTCCAGCCCAACCAACCAACTGGCCGCGTAGAGAATGCGCGGCTGCCAACATGTTTTCCTGTCACATCTGGTGACTTCCTGTGCTCTTCTGGAGGTCACCAATGTCGTCTTGGGGACTGGCCTCGCCGTTGACCCCGGTACGTCAAGGACGGCATCCCTCCAAGCTTGGTATCGCGGCACCCACGTTGACCCGCACCCGCGGATCGCCATTAACGACACCACATGCAGACGCGATGGCGGGTGATTGGGGAAAAAGGGGGCCAAGGAGAAGCGAGTTCAACTGCAGAGATATGGAGCTGGGCCTGCCTTGATCGGAGCCATCACACCACCATCGACGCGGTCCAACGGATAGCGGCCGCGTCTGGGAAGTCCTTCGCTTCGCTTCTCTCATGTGCATTGGTGTCTTGGCCCCATTCAACTGTTGCGATCACAATTTTTTGATTGCACCTCTGCCTTGATGCCTTGGCGGCGTTGGCCCTGCTACTTTGAAGTTCTGGGCTGCAGTCCCTCATTGGCTGGATTCTCTATGCTCACAGTCCGCGTGGAGTTGACGTTAGAGTTAACGGGAACTTGACTTGATTCAGTCGCTACCTCGGTCTACGGCACGCGCTGATTCATCAGCAACATATTTGGTAACATCCGATATCGAGACTTTTTGCCCGCCACGATACGGGATTGAGCCAAAGCCAATATGCGAGCAATCTCAAGAGACTCAGACTGCAAGGCTGCTGCTACTGCGCTTGGAAGCTTATCGCCCTCCATTCGGCGGCCGCAAACCACCTAACCCACGCATAGTCGAGGGTTCGCCTTCGAGACATTTACTTCGTTGGGCTCAAGGAAACCCTCGGACTCATCCGTCCAGTAGTGGAGGGTGGCATGTTAGACCTACTGCGACTCAGACGTTCGCCCCATGATATCGGTCTGCAAAGGCCGTCCACCTCCCCGCCGGGCCCCGTCTCGTCGGCCGATGGTAGCTGCTGCACCGAATGCAGGAAACGACTTTGAAACAGGCCCTGCAAGACCATCAGGATGAGCATACTTTCCCCACGCCGCGCAGGGCGAACTTGGCAAAGTACCACATGTACCGCTCCGTTTTGAGAGACAACGAGGAGGGGGCCAGTTTGGGGAGTAAGGGACTTTCTCACGGTTAATGGTTCGTGAGCGGGGGACAGCACCAACACCTCTTCAACATGCTCGTTCTTCTTCTCTTCTCTTCCGTTCCAAAGAATCCGAGACATCGACGTCTGATCAGTCAATGACAGTTGACGGGGCCCTTTTGGCACCCGCATGCCGCTTCCTCCCTGATTTCGAATGGGGGCTTCTGGGACACGCTCGTCGTCGTGGCCGATGAAACGGTTTGCCCCAGACGCCCAAAAAGCCAAAAAAGAATCCCCCGGCCTTCGCAAGGTCTCACACACACGACATCCCCGACGGCCGGACGAATCGACCAACCAGTCAGCTTACGGGACTGACATGTCGTATCATCGGATCCGAGGTGAGACCTTCGGCTGCCCTGTGCGCACTCGTGTGTCCCAGGCCCAGGACACGTCTCTTGCTGCCCGCTTGATCGTCGCCCGGTGATATGCCGTCTCGGAGAGTAAGTGGCGGCGGGCCGGCGGCGACGGACGACAATGGACATCCGCATGGAGACGGCCTCGGCAAAGCTTCCGGACCTCTATGCCGGGGTATGTCACAGAGTCACAACAATATTCAGGTCCGGACAATGAATGTGTCGAATTGCATTGTATTGATGTTAGGGCATAACGGTGACCCTCATGATGACGTTGGCGCGACGTATGCTCTTCAGCCGCAGCTTTGGTGACGCCGCCTCAACCATTGAGCTCTAACTATTCTCCACGCCCTGGTGGCGGCCACCAAAGTCTGCCAGTGGCGGGAGAGCGGTTCGCGTGAGTGAGCCATTGCTCCTCAACATCCTCCGCCGGGACGCATGCTGTGCTCACTGGTGACAGAAGCCTATACGTCTTCGAACGCCTCACCCAAACTTCAGCTACGACGCGAGGGCGAGTACGGGAGCTCGGTCGTGAGCTCGCGTTCGTCTAACCTGACCTTCCCCCTTTTATCCTCGATCAGCAGCTTCTTCTCAATGTGATAGTTGAGTACGTGAAAATGCCTCTTTCCATGTCGATAGGTGGCGGAGCCGTGGATTTCCAATTCCTTGAAGGTTTGCAGAGTGGCATTTCCAGAGCGGGACCTCAGCTAGGGGTCTTGCCTCAATTCGACCCAGACTGATGTTCGTAACTGACAAGCATCTCAACCGCAAGCTGTGGTCGCAGTAAAGCTTGATCCAGTAGATATGTTGTTGATCAGTGTCATTTCTCATGCCACCTTCTCGAACAGCTCTTGAATGGGTTTTGCAGCCTAGAATGGTGGTCAGCATCAGGACAAACACTCTAGCACCGGTCAAACTGACATCGATGAACTTCTCCAGGTCCTTATCAAGATTGGCAAGATCGTCTTTCCGCTTCTTATTCTCGGCCATTAACTTTTGCTTCTTGCCAACCAGCTCCAATCTTTGCTGCTCGAGAGCCTCTCGTTCCGCCCTCTCGTGGCCAATCCGGGCGATCATCAGGGCGTTTTCGTCATCGTTGGCGTGTTCGGGGTGGATGGCGAGGAAGTCCTCGACGGGAATCAGCGGGAGTTTCTGGTACGTGTGGCTATAAAACATGGTCAGCAGCGCGTCCACGACGATCGGGGAACTCCAGATGGACATACTCGTACGATTCGCACGCCTCGATCTCGCCCTCCAGGTGCCTCTGCTCGTAGTAGAGATTTTGCAGTTGCAGGTGCAGGCGGTCGACCTCCTGGCGGGCCTCGGCCGTCTGGGCCTTGGTCTCCCTGGCGGCAAGATTGGCGGCGCGGTGCAGGCCGCGGAGGTGGGCGATGTTGGTGAGGAGCAGCTTCTGCTCCTTGGAGAGGCCCTGCTGTTGCGCCGTCGACAGGGCGTCCTCGCCGGACCGGGCGGTGTCGGTGAGGACCTGCAACAGCTTCACGGCTTGGTCTTGGGCGTAGCCGGAGGTCTGCAGGACCACGAGCAGCTTCGGGTCGGATACCAACTCGCTGACCGCCATGACTGTCGTGGGGGGGGCCTATGGGGCGGGTGAAGGTTGGTTCGGTCGTAGAGGTTGCGACGAGGCTGAGGATGGTTTCTCCTGGAGGAGACGCTTGTCGTCGCGAACGGGAAAGCTTGTGATGCGGCTGGGCGGATGGCTGAGTCGTCGTTTGGGCCGGAGTCTGGGTCTGGCTCGTGTCGGCTTGGCCTGGGTCGCGCGACCGCGTCGGGCAAGGCTGAAAGATGGGATCGGTATCCGTATCGGACAGACAGGACAGGGCAGGGGAGGCGCGCGGGACGTCGAACGGCTCGGGCGCTTTCGGCGGGGTGGTTGATCGTGGTGGTGGAGGAAAAGGGACCTGGACTGGAGGCACGGGGCGGTCGCCGGTCGGAGAGGATGTTGCAGGGTTTGAGGTGCAGGGCTGCTGCTGCGGCGGCTTCTTGTCGTTAGCCTAGCGCTTCCACAAGATGAAGCGGAAAGCTCGATGGAGCAACGAGGCGGACGTTGGACAACTGACGCAGCCGCGGGGACCGTGCTGGTGACTTTTTTTCTTTCTCTTTTCTTTCCGCAGTGGGTTGGAGGACCTGGAGTGTTACCGCCATGTCCGCTCCTGCAGCTTGCAGACGGACGCCGTGCCGTCCCACCCATGATGAGCAGGTTCCACAATGTTGTGGCCGCCAGAGCCAGTCATATTCATTCATTCGCATTCCAGGTCTTAGTCATCCTGGGGCCGCGGATGATGGATCTTGAAGATCATCAAGACTCAGCCGGAACATTTTCCACAGAGCGAGACATTTTAGGGATCTTCCGCCTCACTAGCAGAGAGCCGTCATCGTTTTGGTGCTTGGGCTAGATATCACGGCCTTCTTAGGAAATCGCCGTCACCAGGCACGCTAGGGGCGGGAGAGAGTCTTGTGAGCGAGATCACATCTTGGATCATGGATGACATCCGAAGGACACTGAGTTGGGTAATATCAAAGGTAATATTTGTAGTTTGGCGGCGATCAGGACCCCGAAACAGACGGGCATATGCTTTGCCAACCAGTCATCACTGCGTAAGGATATGGCCAAGGTCTTGGGGGCTACCTACCTTATGCAGTATGCTCTTCACCGCGGATCGTTTCGACTTTTTTGAGCAGGTAAGGTACGTCAAGATCTCGTTGGCGCTGACGCTGACGTTGGTGCTAGTGCCGGTGCTGGTTCTGGTGCTGGTTCCTCTGCGCTGTCACCTGCTTCTTCAACAAGAGACTTGATTACCCCCATCGGGTAGAGTAGAGTAGAGTAGTATTCGTACCTGCTGGCACCTGCGTGGGGGAGGACTCAGGAACAAGCAGCCCCCTCTCCCCCGTCGGGGGCGGTCACAGGCATTGACAACAGCGGCCCAGCTTTGTTGCGTTGCGACCTGCGGCGTCCTGCGGCAATGCGGTCGGTGTGTTGCAGTGTTGCGGTGTCTGTCTGTCTTCCTTCAAGTCGTCTTTCATCAACCAGTCCCTCAGTCAGTCTGGAGAGTGGATATCCATGCATGGGATCGAAATGACGCTATTGGGCGGCCATTACGCCTGGTCCGCCACGGTGCCCACGCTGGGCCGAACTTTACCGGACGTTCCCAAATTCTCATTGCAGCAATGCGCGCCGCGCGGGAAGAGAGAGGGAGTTCAGGTCCCCCTCAGACCTCTCTGATCCCTGCCAAGCTTCCCATCTCTGCGCTGGAGAATCTCCATTCGGGCTTTCGTAAGTTCGTATCTGTACCTATGCAAATCTCGTTGTTGTCCAATGTCTAATGTGCGCTATCATGTCTTGCGTTAAAAGGTAAAGGTAAAGTTTCAGTTGGGCAATAGGATCAGCAACAACTGCAACAGCAAAGACAAAGCGAGAGCGCTTTTAATTATCTAGCACTCTACCTAGGTATCTAATTCCTCTTAGTGATATGTTGTTATTCCCTCTGTCTCCCACTTCCTTCCGATGCGGACCCTCCTCCTCCCTTCTCCATCTCTCTCTCCTTTGCGCTCATGACCTTTTTTGGACACTGATGCCGAGAAAATGACCACCCCGGTCTCGTCCTTGTATATCCGTCAGGTAATCTCAACCGCATAGTGCTTCCTCGGCAGGCTTGGGGTACGCATACTCCTTCCGAAGGTCACTTGGCTTCGTAATTGTTTTCTTACCTCTTTACCTTTGAGTTCTTTTTGATCCCTCTTCCTTCAATCCTCTCTCCTTCTCAACTCACTTTTTCGGCCCGCCGACTTTCGGGGGACTGAGTTCAAAGACGTGTTGTTCTGTTGCTTATTCGCCGCGCAAGCTTGGCTGCTGATATTACTGTACCCGCCCACGACAACCAAGCAACAGTAATAACAACTCGGTTGATTCTTTTCCAAACCCGCTCAGTAGCTTCTCTGTTTCTTGCCCCTCATCCAGCTCTCTTATCTTCTCCCTCCATACCTTGCCACGCTCGCCAAATCCGAAGCACCAACATACCTCAAAGTCTTGTAGCAAAAAAAGACAGGACGAACGAAGTACACCACGTGCGGACGACCACAGCGCCTCCCTCAGTCGCACAGGGAGCGAACATTCACAAGCCCGAAGTCGCAGTTCGCCTCCTCCGCCGCTCCAGCTCCAGCTCCTCCTGTCAGGGTCCAGGTATCCTGCCGATCTGCACGTCTGCGCTTCTTCTGCACACACGTTTTTGGACATCCGGGCCAATCACTACCGCATTGTTGAGATCCCGCCCGCAAATCGACCCCCTCCCTCAACAGACTAGAAGCATTTTATTTCGTGGAGAAGCCGAACACAAAGCGCGCCGCCCAAACCTCCGCCGTCCCTGACTTCCACTCCCAGTCCCCTCCCTCGGACTTTTTTGGGATTCATTAGGTATAAGCCAATCGATTCCCTCGCCTCCCGCCCGTGGTCTCGTTGGTAAACCATCAAACGGCTCGCCCACCATAATTGCAACCCACACCAGAGGCGTTCGACGACTTCACCACCGCAGAGCCGCCAACTACGTCCTGCATTATCTTGCTTGCCGGTGCCACATACGGCCAATCCCAAGCCCCTGGGACATCTATTCGTTACAAACCATACCACTCGACGGCGAACTTACATCGCACCGTCTTGGTTGCTGACCGACCATCCCGGTCTGCACCCCCTTCCTGCCGAGGCCGAAACCCCTCGAGCTTGGGAAACCTACTTTGCATCCTTTTATAGACGAGTTATGGACCCCCTCGCCAGTATGGCTTCGCTCAAGTCTCCCTGCTCCGGCGCTGCCGTTCAGGACGACGAAGATATCGCCGTGGCCACCAGCTCCGGCCTTCAAACTGAGGGCACCGAACTCGCCCGCAGACGACGACACTCCTCCTTCATTCCCAGACGCAAGTCAATTGTCAGCCACATCATGGACGGAGAGGAGCACTTGTTGCTAAAGGTACGTTTTACACCCAGTGGTGGTTTTTTTTGTTTGGTTACACTTGCCCCCCACCGAGCTCGGACAAAACATGCGGAAACACAAAAAAGAGAGCTGCGGTTGCTGACATGTGCCTGGTCACACCAAACAGGTCGACCTCTTCCTCACCGAACTCGAGCGCCGCCTCGAATTCATCGAGGAATATGGCGAACTCACCTTCGATGCAAGCATTTCCCGTGCCTTCTCCACCCTCCAGACCGTTCGCGCACGATGCTCCCACGCCTCGGAGGAAGTCCTCGGCGCAGGCCGACGCCGCCTGCACATCATGGTCGAGACCCTCGAGGCCCGCTACCAGGAAGCCCTCGACTCCGCCGAGTCCCTCAACGAAAAGGCCCGCGTCGGCATCGAGCTGCTCGACGACATGCTCACCGAATTCGAGAACCGCGCCTACAAGCTGCGCGAGCAGGGCCTGGCCAACGCTGCCAGCACCGCAGGAGCCTTCATGTCGGAGGGCCGTAGGGTCGTTGACGGCGGTATCGGGCTTGCGAGGGAGGTTGTGGACGAGGGTATTGAGCGGGCCATGCGCGCGGCGGAGAGTCTCGAGGAGAAGATCGAGCAAGCGATTGCGCGCGCGAGGAAGACCAAGCTGATCACCTACGACGACCTGCCCAACCCTTGGCGCATCAACCCGCATATTCGCAACGGATATCGCTTTACGGAGTCGAAGCTTGAGTGCATTTGGTCTGCTTTCGGCGTCTCCAACGAGCTTGTCAACATCTGGTCTCACGCCATCGGTCTGGTTATCGTGCTCGCCGTAGCACTCTACTTCTACCCGCGAAACGTCAACTTCTCCCTCAGCACCAAGACGGACATTTTCATCGCTGCTGTTTTCTTCTTCACGGCCTGCTTAACGCTCGTATGCTCCACCATCTGGCACACCATGAACGCCGTAGCGGACGTCGACGCAATTTCCATCTTCGCGTGCGTGGATTACACCGGCATCTCCCTCTTAATCGCGGCATCCATCGTAACGACCGAGTACACCGCCTTCTACTGCGACCCCATCAGCCGCTGGACGTACATGACGACCACCGCCATCCTTGGCATCGGCGGCGTCATCCTCCCCTGGCACCCGACCTTCAACGGAGCCGACATGGCCTGGGCGCGCGTCGCCTTCTTCGTCGGCCTCGGCGCAACTGGCTTCTTGCCGATTCTGCAGTTGTACTTCACCCATGGCCCGGACTTCGTGTGGACCTTCTACACGCCCATCGCCAAGTCCATATCTGTATACCTCATTGGCGCCTTCGTGTACGCCAGCAAGATCCCCGAGAGATGGTGTCCCGGCATGTTCGACTACATCGGCGGAAGCCACAACCTGTGGCACCTGGCTGTCCTTGGCGGTATCCTCTTCCACTACACGGCGATGCAGTCCTTCTTTGAGGATGCTTTCAGGAGAGCCCAGGGAGAATGCTCCGTGTTCTGAGGGTCATTCGCCGAAGTTTTAATATCCGGTAATGCAATGCCACTTATGGTTCGGCGGGCTCCGGTCACTGGTGGCTCCTGCTGCGAGTTCAGTGTCCGGAGGCTGCCTGACAGCCCTCATCCGCAAGAGACTGAGCCTTGCTCTTGTCAAAGGCTCTTCCGGGGGTACTGTTCTCCATGTACCCACGACGCACTACCGACCATAGCGTCATGCTGCCTTCAGCAAGAGCAGTAGACTTCATGCGCTCTTCAACGCGCCATGTAACCCTCATGGCTTATGAAAGCGGCTCGGTCAGATCGAGCCCCCTCAAATCACGAAAGAATGACATCACGCCACGCCTCACGCCAGTTGACGAGAGAAACGAACCTAGGACGTTACTGAGACTAGATGGTGATGAAGTTGATGATAAAACGGGGGGCATTCTGCTACAAACCAGGCGCAGCATTTTTCTTCTTCGCCATTCCCTGCTCTGAGCTCTTGCTACTAGTGATTCTAGCATTGGACACATCATGATATAGAGTAGACTCGTGTGTTCCATTAGCATAGAAGCTTAGATGTACAGGATATTTATATGAATAGTAATAGAAATGGATACCCATCTGTTCGAAACCAAGTTGCAGTATGAATTCGATGTTTTGCGTACTGGCTTCGCCCGTGATGGTACTCTTCCGCTTGAATGTTAGATGTCAAGTCTGTGAGATGTAGTTCGGATGCCTGTCTTTCCTAAGATGGTATATATTCGCAACCGACGTTCGTCATCTCGAACCTTACGGAGCAGGACTGCTTCGTGGGGTTCGTAATCGGCTGGTTGCGTCATTCAGTCATCAACAACAGATCGCGCAAGAAACCGACGTTGACGGCTCGTTGTTGGTCCTTCGGGTAACACAGAGAGATGATGTGACATCTGGCGTATACCCACAAGACGACGACGGGCGTCAGCAGAAGTATCGATCGATCGGGTTTATCGACCTGACGTTCTGGGTTGCGTACGTACCTTACCCGACATATGTTACGTAGGGAGGATCTCCAGCTGGCCAGAGCAATCCGCGAAGGAAGCCTTACAGTCGGTGAGAGTCTATCTCCTTCATCCTGAACCTTTTGAGTGGGAGATGAGTCTCTGCGACAGCTGGGCGGGATAAGAATTTGTCCTGCGTGTTGGTTATGATATAGGCGAGTCGGGTCTCCTGGCATCCGTCTAGGATTCGAAATGCGCATCATGGATGCATGAGAGGATGCGGGCCTTTTGTCCTTGGTTCACATTCTCGGCTGAAGAGGTCCTTTTAAAAGCATGTGTTTTCTTTCTTCGTGAATCGTTCAACACATCGATTGGTTGCTTCTTCGAAGAGTTGACTGGTTTGTGGACGTAACGGTTATCTTGGACTAGTTGGTTGATGAATCGATGATGTTAACGGATTGGTTGCGAGATGATGTTGAGAGGTATGAATGATTTGGGAATAATCTAGAGGCGGCGATGATGAACGACATTTATTGCACGTTGATCTATAACATAAGTCTATTTGATAGCCCCCTGATAGAACGGTCCAGTGCAAAGCGATGGCAGATGTTCCTTGATGACGTGACAAATCGTCAACACAGACTTGCCATTTCATTGCTTCGAGGGTAAAAGTGACATCTGAATGTAATTAATATACTGTCGTTGAGCTACGAAACGTAGTCTAAGACGAAGTTGTCTTGCGTCAGTATAGAAACCTCCATAAAACGCTGTGCTCCATGTTACGCCAGCTCATACTTCGCTATCCGGATAAGTCTTGAGTAACTTCTGCGTCAGTTAATATGTAAGCGAACAGGATTCTTCACCTGTCCGGAAGCCAGGCAGCGGGGAATGGCGGCTGGTCTGACATTGATGCTCAGCTGGATTCGGCTCAGGATGATCAATGTTTCAGGTACTTGCTCTAGTTGACGTCAGTTCGACTGAGTTGAGGGACGCAGGTGTATTATTGGATATGGGTAATACTCAGACGACAGCGATGGAGGATGACGGTGGTACTCGCGCCGGAACATGGAAAAGACGCGGTCGTCGAAATGTCGTTCAGGGACTTGATCATGGAGAGTCTGAAATCCCTTAGGACGTATTCTGCTAGGAAGAAAAGACGGCGGACTGCACCATGTCTGCGCCGAATGCACCGTGTGGGGTTCCTAAGGTACTCAAGTGGTTTGCACTGCGGCTTATATAGGAAGGTTGGTGAATAGCAACTCGGTCTCTTGTGCGAACGCAAAACTCGGAGTCAATCCTGTGCTTTGGTGTCATTTCGTTATCGAATCAAATAAAGCGGACGAGGTCCTGATACCGCTGTATAGCTTGGGATGATTTACAGACGCACATGATTTCTATGTTCATGTCAGGTATGAGCACATGTATCTCACGTGAGCCGTATCCTGCGTTGGGTCAGAAGAATCATTCGCAGTACGCAGTACATAAACAACCAACCATGTTTTTCTTCGTCATCTCTCCAGACGGTTCAACCAAAGCTTCCGGGTATTGAACTGACCTAAATCCCCAACCGGAGAATATATGATCGGGCGGTGACTGAGTGAGGCAAGTACGGACAGGCAATTCAAGACACTCGCAGCGAAGAATACTTGTTGTAATATATGGAAAGTGATGAAGGATAGCAGGGGGATGACAAGTTCAAGTTTGGTCCCGATGTTAGTGAACAGCAAGATGGAGACACCTTCTACCGACGGTGCCTGCCGGAGATTCGTTTGAAGAACCGGCGGCGCGGCGTGGCATGTCAGTGGACGAGATCTCTCACTTGCCCGACAGTCTACTCCCGCCCTGGGAGGACATTTCTTTTAACGACTTCCAAGTTGCGTCGCGAATTTTAAGGATCATTAGAGCTCCCGGATTCCAACCACACGTTACCAACGAATTGAAGAGCTCAGTTCAGGACTACTATGCTGTCCTCACAAAGGCTTTTAAACCAAAATACGCTAAGTATAGTTCGTTCAAGTGGGAAGACGATAGACGTCAGATCGGGTCCGTTGTGGTTTCGGTCAGGGACTAACAAGGAGCATCCCACATACTGCACTCCTCTTCAGGCTGAGAGCAAGTATCTAGTCATCCATGAAACTGCTATACTTATGGAACTGACACGCAGAATAGGGCGCCGTCTTGTGTGGCTTTTGACGCCGGATATACTACTTGCTTGGGAATTGCCTGCTTGACGAGTTTGTTCTTCGTCACGTTGATCCGAAGGTTTCAACCCCAGCTGGGGGCTCTGACAAGAAAATAACAAGAGAAATATGACGGTGATAATCTGGAGACGGAGATGACGGGAGCTGGGTTGAACTCGATGTGTGGGTCAGAAGAGGCCGGGTTCTTTACAGGGCTTCGTCTATGTTCACCACCCAATGCCACTTGTGACGAGGTATGCTTTGGCTACTAGGACAACGGATCGAGAAGACTGCATCAATTGTTTAAGCAACAAAAGTTCAGCGTGTGATTATAGGTAGACGAGCGCATAGCACGTACGAGGAGTCAATCCAGAACATAATGAGAAACTAACTAGATTGATGTTATGGCGAAATGGACTGAGAAGAAAAAGTGCTGCTGGGCCTGCATCGTTTGCTTGAGTTCTTCCTCGACGCCAAGAACACCGTAGTTCCGTCAATGATGTTCGGTATAAGTCATTCAAAAGACGACAACGTGTGAAGCCCAGCGCCTTGCATTCTTACTGCCATCACGCAGCAGTCGGCTCACTGACAACTGTATAGGGGTATCAAGTCTGAGCTGGGATATGAGTAGCATACTAATACTTAGACCGAGTAAGTGTAAGTATATCACATGAGTACTCTGAGTAGTTCATCGCTTCCACACATTGCGCCTCTGGTTTCCATTCTACCATCGCTCCCAACCCCACGAACTCACATCCAAGTCCATCACCTAGGCGGCTCCGGCGCAGGCGGCGGCCGCAACCTGGACCCATCCGACTCCCCATCCGACATGAAATCCTCCTCCTCGCCGTCCTCAAAATATGGTTCTTGGTATCCGTTTGGATGTTGTCTCCTAGGTCCGACTTGGTCAGCCGGAATCCTCCGCACTAATGTGCCAGCTTCGGTTTCTTCCCTCACCTCCTCATACGTCGGGCCCCGTCCGCCGCTCATGAGAGTCCTGCTCCTCGGCGGCTCCGCTCTCGACAGAGGTGCCCCGACGTTGTCCGCTTGAGCTGCAGCCCGCGCCGGCGCATTGCTCCTCTGGGCGGCCGTGTTCATCTCTCGTGCGGCCTCTCGTGCCGCGCGGTGTCTGCGTGGTCTCCCTACCCACTCTGCTTCGGTCTGGGGTGTGTTCGATGCGTGTTGGGGCACACGCCTACGCTGTGTAGGGGATTCTGGAGGATCAAAAGGGGTGCTTTGCGGGACCGCTGTCTCGCTTCTGTAGATTCCATTTTGCCATGCAGATTGCCGTGGACGAGAGGGGTCTCCGGCTCCGTAGTGGGTTGATGATCGTTGTGCTGTGGGTGAAGGGGGGAACGCGTAGCCGTCTAGCTCGCTGAGCGCCACTTGTACCCCGGCTTGGATCGCTCGTTGCATGTGTTCAGGGTCGACCCGGGAGCTCATAGTCGACAATCGATCGAATTCCACCTTGTCGCTGTAGAAGCCCCCTTGTCTTCTCGGGTCCCCGTAACTTTGAGGCTCGAGCCTCCTTCCCTCCAACAGCTGGTCCATTTCTTGTTGATGTAAGTCCGGTTGCCCGCCGTTCAGATCGTCCCAGTAGGGCTGTTGATCCGGTACGGATCGTGCCGGCGCCGAGTACATCCTCATACCGTATTCCGACCGAAGTTCGGGCTCCGAATGTATCTCTTGATGCCGTAGTTCCTGTCGTAGCTCGTTGAAGCCAAGGTTAATCTTCGCCATCTCCTTGCGCAGAGCTTCGTCTCTTAATCTTGCTGCCTCATTTTCAGCAGCCCTTGCCCTGGCGGCATCTCGCCTGTCTCTTACTTGTTGCTGATACAGAAGGTCACTCGTTCTCTGGACTTGTTCAACTTCGTGCTCTAGTCGTGAGGGTGGCCGTGTAGGTTGTGATATCTGGATCGGTCGCGGCTGCGGTCGCGCGTACCTTGATCCATGTTGTGCTACTGACCGTGACCGAGTAGGAACCGGGGCTCCGTAATACTGCCTGGGATCTTCTGCATACGATGCAGGCTGGTCTTGTGGGCGTGCGAAAGGGTTAGGTTGAAGGAAGTTGGTGGAGAGTGGCCTTGGGGGAGGTGCGCTCTGAGGATACGAGTAGGCGGGATAGCCGTTATAAGCAGTAGGCGGTGGATAAGGGCCGGGAGCATACGAATGTCGTTGTTGTGGTGCCAGGTTTGTGGGAGTGAAAGGATTCTCGCCGTAACTATGTGAGGGTGGCAGTTGGGTCTGAATCGGCGGCGGCCTATATTGGCTTGCTGGCGGAATCGGGGCAGCAGCAAATGGGTTCGGCGGTCGTTCGTCAGTTCTGTTTCTCATGCGATGTGTGCGAACCGAGCGTGTGGAAGGCTGTTCTGATGGCAAGTCAAACTGTACGCTCCTTGCCTTGCTATGTCTCCGGGTCGGTTGTTCAGGCTCGGGGTCGCTGTCGTCGACCAGGGAGTCGTCGTATGCAGGCTCACCTGCGACGCTTATCCCATAGTGACTTGGGGAGTCGTAGTACATTCGCTGTCCCCGACCCATCATGATGGAATCGACGGTTCCCGGAATCCGTTGAGATAAGGGTTCGGTACGTCCAACCCCGAATCAGGCGACGAGAGATCTTGAGAGGGATTTAATCGGTTGTCGTGTCACACGCGATATCGAAGCGTTGGGGTTGAAGAACCAAACACCATGATCCTGAAGCCGAGCATTTCAGAGATGAATAGAGAAGATTTTGAACCCCCGATTATCCGAGGTGAGGAGTGCCGCGCGTGGTCTCTGAGCTGGCAATCGTCGCACCCGGTTCTCCTCCAATTGGTAAAATGCGGAGGTATGAGCCGTTCATGCAGCTTCGATCAATCAGCATCCACCACTCCTGGCTCGAACTTGGTCGTACTCAAGCAGGCTGTGAGGCATCCTCTGCACCGTGTTGCCTAACAATGCACCTACTGGAAGGACGTGAAACCCTTCAAGGGCCTCACAATCTGAAACTCGGTGAAGCTATTCTCAACCACGATAGTTCTGACATTTCGCCTATCTGGACGTCATTAGCATCAAATCCGCTTTTTCTCGAATTCGCTTCTTACCTTTCCAACGGAGGCTTACTTTACCCTCAGTACAACACTTCTCAGCTTCACTTTCTGAAGTACTTCTCAACTGGCCAGAGCCTGCTTGATGCGGCCTCAGCATGCGGCCTGCGCTCCACCCAGAGAGACCTGCCGAAGCGACATCACGAGCTGTGGTCTGTTTTCTAAGCGTTGCATTAGCATAGCTGATTGCATAAAGTTGCTGCAGGCGACTCCGTACGGCCTCATTCAGTTACACAAGTGAGGCTGACGGGCCAATGAATGGCGCATTTTGTTATGCATGCCAGTTCATGACCCGGATAGTTCCATGCAGAAGGAAAACGCCATCCAGTGAGCCTGGGGCTTATCGGCAAGACATGTTTGATGCTGCAAGTGATCTGTCTTCTTTATCAATTGCGTCGGGGCAAGCACGCAAGATAGCGTCCCGGCTTCTGGTACAGCCCCAACACGGATCGTCGTAAATGCATGGTACTCTTCTCTGCGGCTCTCTGACGTCAAATGACCTTGTCAATACTGCATAAATTTAGTTTTTGATGCGCCCGAACTGATTACTTCGTTGAATTGGCAAATGATGTCATGTTCCAGTTGATGTCGCTGTACAGCGATGCGAGAAAGTTGGTTCGCAATTGCTGCAAACTCGGTGGGTGAGATCTAGAAGAGATTACCGACTGGAACCGGTCTGGGTAATTAACTCTGACGGAAATTGACCGATCGAATACATTCTGAAGCCGGATGAACCATCTTAATTGGCCCCCAAAATAGTCTTTCGTTGATCATCCCCAGATAGATGTAAGTCTTGATCCGGGCCTACACAGATGGCCGGAAACGAAGCTCGTGTATCAAAATAATCTGATTTAAAGACAAGAAGATAGGATGCCGTGGATCATATAAGCCAGGCTGGGGTCAGGGCGATTGATCCTCTCAATATCCCACTTCCCAAGGCCACAGCTTGGGTCGATATATCGTCAGACCCTCCACGTCAACAGGTAGAGCGAAGTTGCCCGTTATATCAGATGTGGATCCCCCGCATGTGTGCCAGTTCCGTCCGAACCTCCGAATCGTCCGGGACTGCCCCGGCCAGCAGAACTTCCGGCTCACCATGTCAGGCGTAGATACCATTCCTCCCCGGGTAGCCAGTAATACTCTGTAAACGTAACTTTACATGAAGGTTCTAAACACAATTTAATATTACCCGAAATTGTTTGGTTCGCACGCTGCCACTACCTGCTGCATTTCTCCAAAGACGGTGCAATTGTTTCGGGTGTTTTGGCGCTCGGTCAGTATCGGCGTAGACACAGACAGTGCCAGTCATCTGTCTTCGATTGACCGACGATATAATCAATTCATAGACACTCCTCGTCGCCATCAAGCTTCTCTTTTTGACTACTGCATATCCGTCTCGTAAAGCCATTTGTGGCATGTCAGAAACCACTAACTCGTCTCTGCCTTGCGCCCTCGAGTGCTGAAGGCAAGGTTTCCAAGTAACTATCCGATTAAATCTCCCGATATGCCAACTTAAAGAAGGGTGGTCGATCGGCCCCCTACGACTTACGCAACCTACCAAACCCCGCCACTACATATTATCTTTCGTCGATCTCAAAAAGTCATGCTCGTAATATCATTCTCGATCATCGCCGTGGGGCTGTTCACATACATTATCATTAGGGGTTTCTACCTCTTTTGGTTGCATCCCTTGGCTAAGTATCCCGGCCCAAAACTGGCTGCTATATCCAATGTTTGGTACTCGTTTCACTGGTAAGTTGTCAGGCGTTGATCTCTCAATCACTCTTTTACGTCAAAGACATACGGACCAAGGATGCAAGATGCCAAAGAAGCGATAGAGGATGGCTGTTGACCTTTCCCAGGCTGTCCGGTAGATACCCGTGGACGCTCGAACGCCAATTCTATATTTACGGTATGTATCGAACATGCTACTCATAGAATGAATAAGTGCTCACCTACAACAGGCGATGTCGTTAGGATCGCTCCAAACGAGCTTGCGTTTCGCAGCCCGCAGGCGTACCGAGACATTTATGGGAGCACCCACAAAGGACGAGAGACGTTCGTCAAGACCGACATACAGGACTATTCCGAATTCACGGGCTTCCCAAACCTGGGCATCGCCGCAGTGCGCGACCCGGAAAAGCATGCGGAGGTTGCTCGCGATTTGAAAGCGGCATTTAGCTCTCATACACTCCAGAGTTGTCAGGGCGTTATCCATCAGGTCATTGACGAGTTTGTTCTACAACTAGAACAGCGCGTCGAAGTCGATATCACCAAGGTACACGGATCCGAGGACCTACCTGGTGGGCGATTCATATCACAGATCACGCCGTTAACGAGGACAGTGGGCCGAATACCTCGTACAAGACATTTCTGGAGAGATTATATACGGCCGAGAAGCGACACTCGTCAAGGCAGGTGAGCTCAGCTATTTGAAGGTAGTGTGAATTCAGGCCGCCGAACTGACGTCGTCGGACATGAAATCAGGTGTACCATCACCAGACCTGATCGCAACACGCAAGTTGCCTTATTTGGGAGCAACGCTCGTCGTACTCAAGCGCTTTCCGCTCCTCAAATTCCCTCTCTTCGCGTGTCTCGTTCCATGGATCTTGACCTCTGGTATCCCATCTATTGGCGGAACCGTACAAGAACAAGTGCGTGCCAGGCTTGTCCGACGGGATAACTTACAAGCCCTTCGGCACCCAGATCTCTTGCAACCAGTCATGCCTTCTTCCTCGGAAACACCTTCAGAAAAGGGAACCGAGCCGCACAGCCCCGAATGGATTATAGCTCAAGCCAACTCCCTTGTGGCGGGCGCTTTAGCCCCAGTCACCAACGTGATCATCTCTTCGCTCATGTTCTTGTGCGCTGCTCCAGAGAAGATGGAGCGACTGAAACAGGAAGTCCGCAAAACATTCAGCACTTACACCGATATTACCGCCGAGGCCGTCCAATCATCCTGTCCGTACCTCAACGCTGTCATCAATGAGGACTTGCGCCTCATGACCCCGGCCCCTTTTGGACTTCCCAGGTTCAGTCCGGGAGCACTCGTTGATAGTCATTTTGTTCCCGCCGGGGTAGGTCGACTTGGACGGAAAGCAATGACGCTCGTACAAAAACTGATATGAGCAGGTTACGGTCCAGACTTGTAATTTCGCGACAGCTCACTGTCCGGAGTATTTTTTTCTGCCACGCGAATTTCACCCAGAGCGATACTTGGACGCACACCACATTTGGTACGACGCACGATTTAGTAACGATGACAAGCAGTCAATCACACCTTTCTCCGTCGGACCACGCCGTTGTCCTGGGTCAAATATCGCGTATCTGGAAGTGCGTCTGGTGCTTGCCAAGCTGATCTGGACCCTCGACATTGAGTTTTCACCTCGAACCACCACACGCGATTGGGACGCAGACATCAGAATGCTCTTGTCGTATCTCTTTCCAAACGTTTGGATTCAATGCAAGCGGGCCGCATGTGCTTGACCTACGTAGAAAGTGATGAACTTGTGCGGCTCTGGGTATATTCGATGGCTGGGTAGATGGCGCTCTTGTTTGCTGAACCCGGAATGAGGTAGAAGCGCTAACCCCTTTATCGATAGTAAATAATGATGATGAGTAGTGAGGCATCGGGAATACTGGACATTAATAACAACTGCTTTTACTCGATCCAACATTGTGTTCGTAGAATGCATTATTAACACTTCTTGTAATGAGGGTGAAAAGGATCTACCGCGCCGGCGTATTCAGGAGAGCGAGCATATAATGGTCCTATATAACTCAACAGTGGGTGAAAGTTCCTCAAGTCTTCTCCTGACGCGAAGGCTCAGAGCATTGGACTTTATCAATCTGCTAGAGCTTCAGCTGGAGAGACACCCATTTATTTCTATCATTTCTATCCAACATAGCTTCATTTAGGTCGCGAAATGTCTTAAACATGCGATACGTGCGGCTTGTCGGCCGTAGAGATATTCTTGTTATCCATGTCGTTCGATGCCATGATCTTGTCTCCCTCAAGCTGCCCAACGCGACGCGCGGCACCCTCGTAGGCGCCAGACGAGCTGCGAAAGGGGTTGAATGCAACGCTGAACACGTTATCGATCTCCTCCAGAGCCCGACCCTGCACGACGGCGTAGTTGTCAGTAATCTGTTTCCAGGCAAGATTGTTGTCGGAAGAGGCTGCACTCACCTTGGTCTCGGGGAGGACGAGGAATGTGAAGATGAAGGCTGCCAGGGAGATGCTGCCAAACACCCACCCGACCTGGAAGTGAATGCTATCGATCATGTACGGGATGATGAAGTTGGTCACGAAAGCCCAAATGACGTTCCAGGCGGCGCCAAGCGACTGCGTCTTCTCCCGCAGAGAGGCGTTAGGGATCTCGGTGCCGAGGAGGTAGGGGATCGAGGCGCCTCCCATCTATTCAGAATTCAAGTCATTAGTACAAGGTAGGATCATCTGGAAGGGGGATCTCAGTTGCTAGTTGCTGAGGACTTACGTTATAGCTGAAGGCGAAAAGCATGAATGCAGCTACGATGGTGTTGCTCTCCGTTGCCGTTTTGGTGGTTTGCTGGCCGAGGCCGGCGAGGAGGTACATGAAGAAGCATTGGAAGAAGAAGCTGATCAAGAGAGAGTACCGGCGACTGTAGGTGTGCATCGTCAGTGAGCTATCCGCGCAGCAAGTCACCGAAAAGAAGGGACGTGTAGGCGAGGAAAACGCACCCTATTTTATCGACCATGTACATGGACGGGAGCACTGCGATCATTCCCAGGCAGCTGTTGATAATAGGGTAGGTGAAGGCGTGAGCTGCGTATCTGTTTTCTCTATAGAAGACTGTTTGGTACGTAGAGACAAAGGCTTGGCCGGTTGTCTGTAGTCCAGTACGTTAGAAGAGTTCCATTCAACTTCGATCATCAAGAAAGAGTGGCAGGTAGGCGCCTCACCTGCTGGAAAAAGTAGTACACGATAACAATAGTCGTTCGACGGAAATTGGTGCTGCGAAGAAGATCCGTCCATGTGCCCTTGTGCACATGGCTCTGGAGAGCCCCCCTAATAGCCACAATCTCGGCCTCGCAATTGCCGTTTTCAGCATCCTCCTTAGGCCTCAGGCGGCAGAGAGCCGTGACGGCGTCTTCCTCTCGATCTTTGGAGAGAAGCCAACGCGGAGAACTGGGAATGAAAAGGGTGAAGAGGGCGATCACTACGACGGAATGGGTTAACGACCGTTTTGGAGAATTCTTGGAGCGACAGGGGATACTCACAGGCTGGGAACACCAGTTGTACGCCCGTAACCGTCTTCCAGCCGACAGGGCTAGTATCGGTAGAGAAGGCCTTGTTGATGCCCGTGGCGACGAGTGTTCCAGCGTTGAGGAAGAGCTGCAGCGAGATGACGACTAGACCTCGAAACGCGGCCGGGACGATTTCGGACTGGTAGGTGCTAAAGTAGACTTGTTAGTTTACATTCCACGGTTTGCATAACCTCATGGGAAGCTAGCTCACGTCACGTTGACCTCGACCAGTCCGACTGAGATGTAGACAACGATTCTGCCGACGATGAATTGCGGGTAACGCCCGGTGCCGGCAGCGGTATCTGCAGCCGTGATCTCAACTGCCACAGAAGACTCATCAGTCTTTGAAGTCTCGAGCGCGGTAGTAGCACCAACAAAAGCCATAGCGAGAAACACAACCACTACAACAACAGGGCTAATACTTACGAATGACGCCGATTACCGACACGACAGACAATAGGTAGAAGACGTTCCGATGACCGAGCCTCTCTATGGCAGGCGCTGCGACGAAGCATCCGATAAACTTTCCAATAAAGGCCAAAGACGATATAAGAGAGGTACGGAGAGAGTCGAAGGTGTATGCTTCCGTATGCGGGTTGTATGTGCCAAATTGTCTAATGAAACCCTGGCATAGAAGTCAGCCAGCCAGCTATTTGATCCCGTCTGATAGTCTACTGCTCACCTGGTTCGCGAGAACGCCTCCAAAACTGCCCGTGTCGTAGCCATAGAGCATGTCTCCCACGAGCAAGCAGAAACTCGAGTAGAGTAGCATCGGGGTCACCACGGACCAGGGAGAGCGCTGAGTCGTCATCGCGTTCAGAGGTAGTCGGACATAAGTGCAGAGACACAAAGCTTGGAACCAGTCAAAGGAGTGGGAATGATGTTCGGTCGGTTTATGTATAACATCAACAAATGGCCATGGCTCCCCGTGGGTCCGATTCGACCCCAGGAACTGCCACCAGTTCTTTCCAGCTTCCTGGGGCTCAGTGCGGGGAAAGCAAAACCTGGTCCCAAAAACCGTTCTACGGTGTACATTTTCAGTATTCTGGGTAAGGGGATAGCGATCTTGAAGAAACAACCCTCCAATGGCTGACTCGAACCCGTGTAATCTCCGTTCTTCCCCGTGGGGACATCGGAGGCTGTCATGCGACCCACTCGCAACTCCTGCATTATCCCGGCTTGGGAAAGGCTTGGGACGCACATCGTGGGGAGTCATCTTGGCGGTGACGCTTTATCTCCCCGTGCTTCCCCGTCATCATACAAAGGGTCCGAATTTCTACTTCGTTACCCCACAGAGATGCTCATTATGGTAGAGAGGGACATCATCGAAACTGAGCGCGAGGTGTTAGCGGGGTTTTATCATCTTCGCCCGAGTTTCTCTCACCACGCACCCTCAGAGCTTTCTCATCTCTGACTTGTACATATAAGACCCCCGTACATCCTCAGCAGCATTCAGAGACCAGGCTGCGATCTGTAATCTGGGCCCCATCAGTCAACCGTCGCCATGAGCTCGATACCCAAGAAGAAGCCTAACTTCCTCGTCGTTGTGGCCGACGACCTGGGCTACAGCGATATTGGTCCCTTCGGGGGTGAGACCAAGACGCCGAACCTGGACCGCCTCGCCAAAGACGGTGTCAGGCTTACCAACTTTCATACCGCGTCAGCCTGCTCACCCACGCGGTCCATGTTGCTTTCTGGCACGGACAACCATCTGGCAGGCCTCGGGCAGCTGGTGGAACACATGGCTGACCGGGCCAAGTACGACGGGAAGCCGGGCTACGAGGGTTATCTGAATTTCCGTGTCGCGGCACTATCAGAAATCCTCCAGGACGCTGGGTACTTCACCCTCATGTCTGGGAAATGGTGAGTAGCTGAAATCATACCACTCACTTTTCCATTCCCAACGAACCATGAGGCTAACCACGTCTTGTCCAAACACACAGGCATCTCGGCCTGACGAAGGAAACGAGCCCGCACGCGCGCGGTTTCGACAAGAGCTTCGTCTTCCTCTCCGGCTGCGGCAACCACTTCAACTACGAGCCCCAGCTCTCCGACCCCTCCCACGGCATTTTCACACCCATGAACGGCGGCAAGTTCTGGATGCGGGATTCCGAGTTCCTCGACCGTACCGCCGACCTCCCTGAGAACTTCTACTCCACCACCTCGTTCACCGATGACCTGATCACGACGCTCTCGGGTCGCACCGATGCCGAGGCGGAGAAACCCTTCCTCGCCTACCTGGCCTTCACAGCGCCGCACTGGCCGCTGCAGGCGCCGCGGGAGACGATAGAAAAGTACAAGGGCCTCTACGACGACGGGCCCGACGCGCTGAGGACGAAGCGCCTCAAGAGAATGGTCGACCTGGGCATCATCAAGGAAGGGGTGGAGCCGGCGCCTATGATATCGCAGAACTGGGAGAAGATGACTCCAGCTGAGAAGGCGGAGTCGGCCCGCAAGATGGAGGTCTTCGCCGCTATGATGGAACTCATCGACGAGAACATCGGCCGTATCGTGGACTACCTCGAGGCGGCAGGTGAGCTTGACAATACCTTCATCTTGTTTATGTCTGATAACGGCGCCGAGGGCGCTATGCTCGAAGCCCTGCCGATGATGGGAAGCGTGGGCAGTGTCAATGCCATTATTGATAAGTACTATAATAACAGCATAGACAACATCGGCATGGGCGACTCCTTCGTCTGGTACGGCTCTGAGTGGGCGTGCGCATCCATGGCGCCGTCGCGTGGCTTCAAGACGTGGATCACGGAAGGCGGCATCCGTTGCCCGTGCCTAATTCGCTACCCGCCGCTCGGAGCGGCCGCGGCCGGTTCCCACACGGACTCGTTTGCCACAGTCATGGACGTTCTGCCCACCATCCTCGAACTGGCCGGTGTGCCGTCGCCCGGTACGGAGTTCCGCGGGAGAGAGGTCCTGCCCGTGAGGGGCGAGTCGTGGGTGCCGCACCTGACGGCGAAGTCAGCCGGGTTCCACGACGAGGAGCACCACATCACCGGCTGGGAGCTCTTCGGTCTCCGCGCCATCCGTCAGGGACCCTGGAAGGCGCTGTACATGACGGCACCGCGCGGCAAGGATCGGTGGGAGCTGTACAACCTGGACAAGGACCCTGGCGAGATCCACGACCTGGCCGACAGCGAGCCCGAGATACTGCAGAAGTTGGTGGAGCACTGGGAGGTGTACTATGCCGAGACGGGCATGTTCGACCCGGGACACGAGTTTCCCTATGTGAAATACGGTGACGGTTTGCTGCTAGAAAGCTGATAATGGCCCGTGGATGCCTCGTCTTGGATCAGATACGTAGATCTTGGCGTTGATTAATCTCAGGGTACATGCTAAATGAATCATTCGCGTTGAACTTACTTATCGTGTACAAATGTATGTATAGTAATAACATTGTATGTATTACTCATTTCGACAGCTAAAATGCTCTACAACCAGAAACTCCTCATGACCGCTGCCGTACCCGACTCTTCAATCTCCAGTTGACTGTTGTGTAAGATACGAGAGCGCGAGGGTCTTTACAGTTGTGGAGACAGACGTGAACAGTGCTCGAGTGGCACAGATAACATCTCTCATGTTGGCAGTACTTGGACGTTGAGGTCGAATCATCGCAGTGCCTTTCCACGTCAGCTCTTCTAACCGACATTTGCTTTGAGACTCACGGACGTCCACAGCAGGATGTTGACAGTTCGTGCTTGCTTATTATATGCGTGACCCAAAACAGGGTCTCTAACAATTCTTTCGTACATCGGGGGCAGTTCCTTTTCTCAATGGAGCGACGCCTCCCAAGCATCCCTCCGATGATGCTAACCCCACTCTCGATCGAACGCAGTTCCGAGGCCTGCGGTGCAAAGATAATTCCAACATGATGCCGAACGCCAGGAAACCGTAATGTCTTTTGATGCCGTACAAGTGCTCTTCTCCCCCGTGGTTCACTGCAACGCGATCGCTCCTCGTCGATTCTCCCGGATGTGGAGGAGCCCCTGAAGGCCGCAGAAAACGAAGAAACCCTATCAACAGAGCCAAGAGGTTAGCACATGCTCATCCAAGCGTCTGCTTCGTTGTTGTCACGAGATGGCGGAACGCGACGTACAATGTAGACCAGCACGGAGACGAAGAGGGTGCCCGCGACGGCGCCGCCGTTCTGGGGGTCTTCCTTTCCGCCGACAAGCTCCGGGTGGTTCGAGTTGAACAGAATAGCGAGGATACCGAGGATGACGACTGCGAAGACGGAGATGACGGTGCTAAAATCGAGGTCGAACGGTTAGTTGTCTCCAGGGTCCTTTCGAAAGGGCGCGTTGTCTCCCACGTACCATTGCCATGCCAGGCCGGCACCAACGACGGGCTTCATGATTGCAGTTGTGACGGAGGAAAGGTCCTCCCTGACTCGAAGTGGATGAGAAGGTGATGCGAGCTTGATGAGCAAGGCTAGATGCGTTACGTTGGCGATGATGAGGCTAATCGTGATGCGTCGTCGGTGCTGTTGCTGCTCCTGTGTCGCCGGGACCCACATCCATCCGGTGACGTCCAATAAGGTAGTACTGCCTTACTTCCAAGGCAAGCTGCCCAACACCAGCCACTGCGATCAACAGCTTCAGCCACATGTCGGAATGAGGAAGTACTTGGACCCGGGGCGGGCCCGCTTCAGGAAGAACCCGACCGCACTGTTCCGCTCCTAACCGACTGAATCCTGGTTCCTTCCACCACGATATCCCATCCACCATCCCGTCAGTCTGACGAAGGCAAGTCCGGCGACGCTTCAAAAGTAAAGCTTCAGCCGTTACTACTGGCAGACCCGGATGATGTTCCCTGACGGCAATGGACTCGTTCCGTCAGATCGAGACCGGAGACGTCCCAGAGCATCGGGCCTCTGCTCTTGAGTAGTAGTTTTACACTAATGGTTTGACCATCTCGAGAACCTAAGCCCTGAAACGCCATCTTTACGAATCTCAAAGCAATACGAGCTTAAATAAAGATTGAAGATGGTGTCGAAGCAGACTCGCTCCAGAGGAAGCCTGGCGACACGGAGTGCAACGGGACGCACGGCGTATCAAACCCGGCCCCGCAACACCATCCGAGCCAGAGTCTTTGTCCGTCCGCTTTACGCAATTGACGGAGCTCAGCCGAGCGTCCGTTGCGGATGGTCTGGGTCACCGGAAATGACATACTCGAAAGACGGCCCATCGAAAGCACAGAAAAGGGTCGAATGCAAAGACGTGGTTAGGCAGTCCAAGCTTCAGTCTTAGCACTGGCACCTGGTCTTCGCAGCTGGCCAACGTGCCAGCGAAAGACGTTGCTGTGGCGCTCTACAGACGGCTTCGTCGACTCTCCTAGGATGACCTGCCATAGAAAAGGACGGAAGGCCCGCCCGTTCGTCGCTCGAGCCTGATGAAACTGCGATATGGCCCAAAAAGGTCACTGTCATATCAAACGGTGCACGAAAACAGACGTCGCCAGTATACGTTTCTCATGAAACACTGGTATTACGCAGAGCCTCTAAATAGAGTGGCTCTCGAACTTCGCGTACGAACACCTCCACAGCAGGACTCTTATCGTTGACGTTCGTCATGGCGGTAAGACGGTTCTTCGACGATTCGACGAGACTGACGGCGTGATGGCCCTACCTTACGATTTCCCTTCACCACGCATGACGAGCCGCCATGACGGATTTCGACATTGGATGAAGGATCGATTCACACTTCAGAGACTGGAGATTGGACATCTCGAAAGCACATCTGAACGAGACAGCCAAGAGTTGGATTCAATCCCATTTCAGGCAACCGAAATGCCTGGAACTCCTGTCTGCCAAAAGTCCGACGGGAGGAACTTTGCTTGAAACAGAACCAAGACTTGCTCCTCTGCAACTACTTTCCAATACTCTTTTGGGGCTTCCCCTAAATCTCCTGCCTGCATCTGCTCATCCTCTAGGATTTATTGCGAAAAGGGGCACATTCATCTTTCACGTTGGGGCCAGGGTTGAATGCTCGATCAATCGAAGCCAACGGAGTTGGAAGCGATCTGTCAGGCACTGGCGCTGGAGGCTTCCCAGCTTGTCAGCGCTAGTAACGCCGCCCGCCTGTTCGGAATGGCACTTTTAGTTGCCGTCCAACGATTGCAAGCGCGCGTGGCAAGAGGAGAGACAGCTGAGCCAGACGGCAATTTGGATGCGACATGCAATAATGGGAAGGAAACATTGGCAAAGTCACACCGGGAGAAACAAATCAGACCAGTGGGGCGTTTCTTTGTTGGTGACACGGACACAACGTTTGCTAAAAATGACGGGATATTAAAGGCATGTTTGTCGTTGGTGTTGAGCAACCATGCTGCGCAGGGCTTTTCTTTGAACGCTGAATTTGGCGAGATTATGAACGGATCATGATACTGGCCATGTTGTTTGCCGTTTGCTACGAATGTTCGCAGTTGCGCCATGGTGTCTGCGGCGAAGTGCCACTAAGCAGCATCGTCATCTAAGTCGTTCGAGGAACGGGCTGACGGCCGGATATCACGGCGAGGTCTGCCTTTCTTGTTGAACCCCGGAAACACAAACTGCAAGGGCTGTTCTGAAACAAAGGGAAAGGGAATAAGGAATAAGGCTTCTTGGGGAGCAGAGCGGAAAAGCAGCGTAGTCTATGTCCCACGAAACCATTACCTCCATCGATCATCCGTACTACCGTTCAACAGGCATTTTGCAGCAGTTGGCCGGGTTCATGGGTTCCGAGTGTCCCTGTAAGCTGCAAAGAGCCAGATGAATACGGGACCTTGCAGAAAGACGTTGTCATTCGAAACACGCCAACGAGGTTTCTGTGAGGTAAGGCTACCTACTACGTAGTAAGCTAGAAAAGATGACAGACGTATCCGAGCGGGCGAGACAGCGCGCTTGGATGCAGCGAACATTTTGCGAGGGTGCCATGGCTCACTTCAGTCTGCGGTCACTACGTAGTAACTGAAATGGTGATGAAATGGAGGGTTGATGGCTGCTCGTTCTGCTGTTGAATTTTGGGGTCTGGGGGCGGCTGGCCTGGCCGAACTGGAGGGATGATGGAGGTTGTCACCTCAGGGTCACTTTCGGTGGTCCACAGCCCACGACGGCCTGAAGCGAGGCCCCGGGATCCCACGGCGGCTCCACTCGTACTCTAATCTCGACTCCCATTCCACGGGTTCCTCGTTGGGTTGGCGTCCTTCCACCAACAACTCATCACCATCACACACCCTCCAACAAGCACCGCCATCCGTCACGGGCACACGCCAATGCGCCCTCGGCGTTTAAGCGACCTTCTGGATGTTCTAATTACTGACCCCGTGCTGACGTCGACGAAAGGACCTGCAAATCGAAACACCATCAGGTCCAACCAACAAAACTCGTTGTCATGGTGAAAGAAGAGGCTGGATAAACTGGAGGTTGGTGTTGGCGGGGTCGTCACCACTGCAGCTGCAGGCAGTTTGGGCTGTTTCTTTGGTTTGCCTTGCCCTGACACACAGAAACGCAGCACACTGCGGCATGCTGCGGCACCGCTTGGCGTCTTTCTCTTGGTTCTTCTTTGGCGATTGACTCGTCAGCCCTGCTCACCCAGGCGGCTATTCGCATCCTGTGGACAGAGTGACAGAGCGACCAAGCATTTGCTGGCAAAAACCCTCCGAGACCCCATATCGGCACGTTTCTTTGATGGAACTCTGTCTCAATCCGATTGGCAGGGACGGCAACTGGTCTCCAGGTGGCGCCGTGCTGATCGAGGTACGAGAAACAAAGTCAGACACTGCCAACCATCTATTTGTTTTTGTCTAAGGTACCGACATGCAGCCCAGATGCGAATCCCTGACTCTCTTGAGCTGGGGGCCAACGGATTCCCCTGCCGCCGTCGCTTCTGCTCCCGATGGAACCTGCTTCCGCATTTCACTCCAACGAGTAAAGTGCCAATTTTGGCAGAATGCCTAGCAGATTTCGGCGTCCTCTGTGTGTATCCCTTCCATCTTTGCGGCTGTATCGAACATAGTTGCATGGCCCCGAGGTTGGTTCTCCGGTCTTACCGCAGAAGCATGCAGGTAGACAGAAAACCGACGTATCCGTTCCGTCCATTGGGCGTCGAGGCCGTGAGCTTAGCTGCAGCAACGACAACCTCCCCGCCCCCTCTGAACTACCCGTCCACTGCCTGCCTGTCCCTTCTCTCCCATCCATCATCTCTACTTTCGTCACACAGGATCTATTCAAGGGAAACCCCTGCATAGTGGACGTGCGATACGTACCTTGCGAGAGACATGGTTCCTCGCTAAGATGCGCCGACGGCTAGGTGCCGTTCACCCCAGTTGCACACGATGATGGCTCAGAGCATCCGATGTACTGAGTATGCGAAGTTCTCGCTGCTTCTGGCCCCCGTTCCTTTCTTTGATTAACCTGAAATGGGTAGTGCAAGCTGGGGGCATGTTCAGTTTGTCAGTGAAATAATACATATGTGCCAAGGGGCCTTCCATATTGGATCTTCGCTAATCCTATCCTCATCACCTCTCGCATGTGGGCCATATAAGGAAAGCAGCCCAATACCCTCGTCAGCCTACCGCAGATCACTCCATTAGAGTTCCTTCCTCAACCTCCACTCTTTACCGCAATAAGTCTATATTATTCCACTCGCACTTGATCTTTCCGGTGCTCGGCGAGCTAGCGGTCCTTGCTTCATAAGAACCTTTCAGCCCCTTCCACTTCTGATCTGCGTCCTCGCTCACAAGCCCGTCCTTGATCAACACCTCCCAACCTATATTCCTCAAATCATCCTACCCCTCAGCACTCAAAGTCGTCACGAGGCCACTATGCGCGCCCAGTCTATCGTCTCTGCCATCGCAGCTGTGGCTGTTAGCCACGTTGCCGCTCAAACCACAGGCGTATGTCCACGTTCGTCTTGGAAATGACGTCTCGATACTAACACTACTCGAATAGGAACTCGGTGATGCCGCTGTTGTCAGCAACCCCGCGGGCTATGTGTACGAGGCGGTTCTGCCCGAGGAGCCATTCTTCAAGGGTTCTCTGGAAAGCAACGTGAAGGGTTCCATCGTTGCCATGTCGGCTCCGGACGGAAAGGGCGTCGAATTCAAGGTCAAATTCTCCAACCTTCCCACGGAAGGAGGCCCATTCCGTAAGCTATTGATACACTCTCTCGTACAAGTCCATCATCTAATACATAACAGCCTACCACATCCACGTTGACCCCGTTCCCGAGAACGGCAACTGCACCAAGACCCTCGCTCACCAGGACCCCTACATCCGTGGCGAGGCCACCGCTTGCGACTCCTCCAAGCCAGAGACCTGCCAGACCGGTGATCTGAGCGGCAAGCACGGCGCCGTGGGCGTGGATGGCTACGAGAAGACTTACGTCGACCCTTACCTCTCCATCGTTGAGGGTCCCGGCTCCTTCTTCGGCAACCGAAGCTTCGTCTTCCACTACGCCAACAAGACCCGTATCACCTGCGCCAACTTCAAGCTCGTTTCTAAGCCCGACTCTCACGACAACTGCACCACTACCACCTCCGCCGTCGCCGGCACTGGTGTCGTTCCTACTCCCACCTCATCTCCTAGCACCACTGGTTCTAGTGTCCCCTTCCCTGGCGCTGCTTCCGTCAGTGGTGCCTCCGTCTCGTGGGTCATTGCGGCCTTCGCTGCCGTCATGTTCGCGCTTTGAGGACCTTTCTAAGAGTTGGGAGAGCGACCATGATTATCTGCACCTATTCCAATGTGATTCAGCACATCGTTCCGGGCTAGACGGCGTCCAAGTTTTTGGTTTCACAAGCAAGCAACATGGCCTTCATCATCGGGCCTAACACATTTTTCTCTTCACGCGTAATGAGCAACGCCGGATCCAGCGCGGAATATGGCAGAGCACCTTTCCAATCCTGTACATACTGCCCTTTGGTCGAAGTTTAGATGATACCAGGACTAGATAGCTAGTCCATGACAAAAGTTGACTTCATCTTTCACTCATGAACATCCTTTTCCGGTGACTAGTGCCAACCTTATCAAACGCCCTTCAGAAGCCGCCTGCCGAGAACGAGGTAATGTATGCAGTCGCCGCTCGGATGATGTCCCCGCGAGTAAGTGCGGTCGTGGCACGGACGGGGATCTTGGGTCATGAATAGACATTCGATCGTCATATGTCGAGCCAAGACGTCGGTATCTTCCACATTGCTGATGGTGTGCCGCCGCGGCGCTTCATTGCTCAGGGACAAGCATAAGGCGCATAGGGCGACCGCGTGACGGGTCAAAGTCAAAGGCAACAGCGGGAGGGCTATCCGCCCACGGCAACATAAGCGGACCGTTCAACGTGAGGATCTTCCCTCTCGAGGCTGGAGGGCTTTACTATTTAGATACTCATTATAAAACCCATTATTTATCCTGATTAGTCATGCCCCAAGCGACATGATGCCATATAACGATGCGATTCGAGGCTGGAGGGCCCCGGTTGGTCGATCCGGAGCGTTGACAGGGACAGTGCCTGTTTGTGCACTTGTCAGCGCGGCGATGAAACAGAGAGAGAGGGGACGACGCGATGTGTTCGGAGGACAGAAAGTTTGGGTTCGTGGGTTTCTGTCCTCAATTGGTGACGTCGACGGCGGGGAAGGGCCCCTAGGTTAGACGTCTCTGTGGGTACGACAGAGACCCTTGGGCCCTTGGGTTCGATGCGGAGTGTGGGGGATGCTTTTCTGGGAGATATGTCGACGTCTGTATGCGGCTCTGGCGGTTGTGTCTGCCCCTTTGCGTCCCCGTATGCGGCAGAATGCATGTGTGGGACGAGGAGAGATGGCGCCGGTTTGGATACGCAGTACCTAGTGTATGTAGCCTGCGGGAACTTGTTTCGACTGGGCTGCTAGTTCAAAGATCATCTTGCCAGGGTGTTGACTGGGGAAAAGTGTCGTCTGTCACTTGTCGCAGCTCGCTATCTGACTGGGGGGGATGGGTAGCTGCTCGGACCGATGAAATGTTTCATGTGATGTTAGTGTTTGGACGGTTTACCAGCGTCGCGGGACTCGGCAGCGGAGATGTGGGGCCGCAGGTTGCGGCGCCGGTCCCACGCCCCGGCTTTTGCTTGCGAATCCCGGGAGGATATCCGAAGAGTATATTTCTGCTTCCGTGACTACCACGTACGATATCAATTTCGATGGCTGATAGAGAGATTGCGATATACTCTCAGAGGAACCCGTCTGTTTTCCGACAACGGCGGACGGTCTACTGAGTCTGGACCCCCGTCAACCGGCGAGACCGCAGGTTGCTCCGTGTGCCCGCCACACCCCGACACCTCCTCCGTTCGGACGCGCCCGCGAATTAACCTCAGAGTTTGAACGCCGGCGAACTGACGCGCACCGGTAGAACTTCTACGCAGGGTGCCGGGTTTGCTTTAGTTGGTCGGTCGGTTACTCGGCAGCGGAATCGCTCTCTTAGTAGTCGTCGGCAACTTAGATTGATCCCGACCCTTTCTTTTTGTTTCTGGTCTCCATTTCCTTCTCTCTCAGTGGACGTCGGAAAAACTCTTGCAGTTTTCATTTCATAAAGCCGGCCGAAGCCGGCTTCATTCAGATCGTCTGGTACGATTCGAACAGCTCGCAATCCTCGTCCTTCAGTGCTCTGTGATGTTTTGAGAGTATCCGGGTGGGTGGGTGACTGGAACTCTTAGCCCCTGGCTGTGCTATAGTATGTGTGCTTCCAACATCAACCCTCATAATCATACAGGTGACATGAGTCGTCCGTCACATAAAGACGCGATGCCAGGTTTGATGAAGAGAGGAAACCCCGCCTATGGTTGCCCTTCTCAGCCGCAGGAGGGCTTGCCCGGTATATATAGGTGACAGAGCTAAGGTGGAAGACTCTGTTGGAATGCTTTCAGGTACCTACCGTGGTCAAAGAACGAAGACATACAGAACTGGAGTCGCGGTTATCACGGTCTGCGTGATGACCTATGATGTGCTTTTCTCCGAAAACGTCTCATACAAAGCAGATGGTTCCTCTCCAAGATGCCGCAACCTCGCGCTCCATCGTAACCTCGAAATCCAACTGACCAAAGCATTTATAGCACTTTTCAGGATGCTGCAATGTTCACTGAGGACCCGACGGTAGGATCCTCCATCATTTCCGCCCCTTTCCAGGTGAATGGAATGAAGCACCATGTCCCGTACCCGTCTCGGTCTTGAAACGAGGATGATCGTATGCAGAACCAAGAAGCGACGAATACTCAAACATGATAACCAATCGAAGATATTAACGACGGATATCACCGCCGAAATATTTATTGTATGTTCAGTACCGAGAGCTTACAACGCCGAACTCGGAACATATCTGGCGGCTGGTTCTGTGGAAACCCGATCTTGCCGTCGTGTCCCGCAAACGCACGACAAGCCATCTTGAAGTTTTAATGCAATTCTAGTCAACTTATGGTTTTATAGGAGACAGAACTCTCACCGAGGACCATCCGTCTTGACCGGCAGCTGCGTTGCTCGAAGAGAAGAGCTGATCAGGCAATGGGATGCATCAGTTACGTCCAACGAGGTGAGGTTGCCGATTAACCACAGTACGCTCTCAACACATCGGGTGCGACACCGTGGAAAGACGGTCGAGATTGCGACATATATGAAGTTAATCATCGAAATTTACATTTGCACAAACTAAGGGGTATTGCCAAGTTGGGTGAGACGATCCACTACCTATTCACTAAAGTGGCCGGCCTTCACAGAGGTATGTCCAACGAAAAGCTGACCCGGCTCTTCTGCAGATGAGAGCATCCGTCGCCGTTCATTACTACTCGGCGGTTATTACTGCCACTATGCAGAGTGAGTTGAGTTTTAGCGTCTCAAAGCTAGCCACCTGCACTGCTGGATGAGTGGCACATCCGATACACCTTAGGTCAGTTCCACGACACAACCGAACATCCATCATCAAACGGCAAATGTCAGACAGCCTCAATAACAATCTGTCTGAGCCCGTAACAACTTCGTGGTGGTGCCTCGGCGTTTATATCAGGCCGAGTTGAGAGGTACTGCCTGTGAGGCACACACCGTTGAAAAACGGAAGTTCAGTGTGATAGCTACATGCATTGAACGTGAATACACGTCTCGACAAATGGCAGCCTCATATTGCTATGCCACGCCTCAAGCCATGTCATCGACCTGCATGACGGACATGGGGTAGTACACGACGATCTCGTTATAAAAACACCACTGATTACGTCAAAGATCCTCGCGCAGAGCACGTATTAACAGCCGTGCGAAGCCGATCGTAAGAATCGTAAGATAGGGCAACGTTCTTTAAAGAGTATTATGAGCGCCTAATGATCGTCCTGCGGCCGTCTGTAAGGATGTCGATTTCACGGAGTCGACCGCCCGCTGCCCACAACCCAGCCAGCCAGCTGTGTCCATGGTCGCCCTTGTTGATCTGTGATCATTCGTACCAGTATATAAAAAGAGAAACACAGGCTTGTTAAAAGACGAGCACGATCAGAGTCTCGGTGATGTTTAGCGGCCTTGACTTCATCACTTTCCGTGCGTGGCCTATCCCGAGAGAGCCGGTTTCGATCCGCGCACACTCGAATTTCGGCTTGACGAACTTCGGTGCGGGGAACGCACAAGTGGTCCGCATATTATAGTCTTTATAACAAAGCGATTATCAACGGCTTAGTCTCAAACTGGGCTCTTTGGAGGTCGATGGCCCAGTCTATCATCGCGTCCTTCGTGCTACAGTCGTGTATAGACCACTCGTTGACGGAATGCAGAGTGACGGCCTATAAATTCCAACTTCAACGGCCTTGGTACTGGGACTTTTGTTTCGCACAACGTGACTTCCACGGCTTTGCGTTCGTCGTCTGGCGTCATTGAGACAGTCAGACTCGTTATAGGTAACTGGAGCCTGCGTCAATGATACCAAGTCCGCTGCCATCCAATCGTTGCAATAGTGTGAACGTGTTTGGATTTTTAGTATTGCCGGCTTTGCTTATTGTTGCAGGATATGGCGATGAGTAAGATGAGGGAAGCCGAGTACGTTTCGACATCATGTCCGCAAAGCGACTAGCAAAGCTCATCTTATTGCCCTCGACACAGCCTTTCACATTGAAGAGTCAAGAATGCCTGTCCAAGCAGCACAAACATGGTCGGGCACACTACAAAGCTGGGCAAAAGCCGGCCCTTTAAACCGCGACGCCGCCACCCATCGCCACAGCCGGTCCACACCAAATTTGGAAAGTAGATCACTACTCGTGTTCGTAGACGTGAAATCGCATTAAGTAAGTTGAACATATATAACATGAGGCGGACATCATCTGTCCGCCCCTATACTCGTGCTTCTCGTGTTCCTGGACCCGTGGCTGCATTGTATCATTAAGCCTCGTTTCGGTTACCCCCCATCGTTCGTTTTTTGTGTGTGCTCCCATCATCAAGTCGTTAAAGTTCTTTCGTAATGTACAATGCGTTGCGACGTTCAAGACAAAAAGGAATCGCTGTTTCGTCTTCCGTGCCCCTGTACTGGTCGTGGCTTTTCGTCTCCAGCTTACGCGGGCGCCGCCGCTGGCCGGACGTGTCTGTCGTTTAGAAATATGCCACTAGAAGCTCATCTGCGTCGAGGCTCGGTCTCCCGTCCAGTCTTCGAGATCGGGACGATTACTGGGCGTGCGACACAATGGCGGCGTAGGTGTCGTCTGGTATTCTCTGTATGATCCAGAGAGTGCGTTCGATAATCTTATCCGCCTGAAGCGATGGGAATGAGCGCAGTAGCTTATTGGGGCTTGTCCAAAGTTAGTCTTCCAGCTGTCAAGGATCGATCAAGTTTCATACCTTGGCGAGCTCATCAATTGGTCCCGCATACCCATCAGCTGGGCCACGATGCATAGAATGTTCAAGTGAGGACCGTAGGCGAACAAAAAGTCCCACAGTCGCAAGACTTCGGGCAACGGCGGCGTGCAGGCGCATAAAGTCAGAACCGAGGGGAAGGCATAGATCTCAGCCGTCAAGCCCTTGGAATGAAGATATCCGCTCAACTTGGAGTCAACAGTCGCCAAGACCTTGTCCACCAAAGCCAAGCCCTTGTGCACGCCGTCCATAGCGCCTCGAATGTACCCTGGACACTCCCGCGTGAGAAGCGTGTAGAAAGCAGTGAAAGCCTCGGCCTCACTGCGCGCAGCGTACAAAAATGGCGCGGCCAACACGTTCATGCCCTGGACATATGTTCCTGGCTCGGCCGCGTGGCTGGACTCGGAACCCTCGGTTGTCAGCGTCAAGGCACGAGCCCGGTTTCTAGCAGACGGCGAGGCGGGGTTGGTAGAATGCGCGGTGGTCGTCGAGGTCGAGCTGTCGTGTGATATAGAGCTGCGTCCGGTGCTGGGTCGACTAAGGGACCTGTCGCGGTCGCGGCTGCGCTGTATCTCGCGGGAATCGTGCAGGCGCCAAGCAACGGCGTTGAGAAGACGGATAAGACTCGCCTCGCTGACGCGTCTGCGGAAGAGAGGATCGGTGGTGAGGGTGCGGAAAGTGTCGTTACGGATTTTGGAGTATGCTGGGGACGCGCCGCGGTGGATGAGGGCGAGATAATCGTCGGTAGGGAGGACGGGGGTGTCGAGGAGGATGAGCCAAACATAGATGCGCAACGTTGACTGTTCAATGACACGTTAGCTTGAGGAAGATGTCGAATGGGAAAGCAAGGGGAAGTTTACCATGCCGTCACTGTCACTCTTGATACCCTCGCTCAGGACTTTGCGGCGTGCCATTCCCAATGCCTCGACGGTGTCACCATCTGTCGGCCCGTCCTTGATAAGTTGGTTCAGCGACATATTCACATATCGCGGGTTGATACCCATCATGCTGCGCTTGGTGGCAGCTAGGGCGTTCAAGTGGTGTTGGCTCGTCGCATCGCTGTTGGATCGTCCACGTTGCGGTGATCTGTTCAGGTTCATGGCAGAGGACGAACTCGCATCGCGTCGCGTAGGGGAGATACTGCGTTGGGTCAATCGCTGCTGCGCGATCAGGGAAGGTTGCGAGAGGGGCTGCAGCTGGAGAGCAGCCTTGGAGCCAAGATTGTGCGCGGACTGCAGTTTGCGCAAGGCGCGATGCGTTCGTGGGGACGGGGGAGGAAGGAGCTCGGTGGTCGCGTGCGTCTGCACAAAGGCGTGTGTCGCCGGGGGCCCGGTAAACGGGTCTCTTGTCGGACTCGGCGGCATCTTTGCGAATGATATATAAGAGGGCAAGGGGGGATTTGGTACATTCACTCTATGAATCGAGAATTACAACGAATTATACGAGAATATTCAGACAAAAGGGGTCCAGGCAAGAACAAACTGCAACGCCCAGCAGAAAAAAAAGGGGGCAACTACAGCGTAGCGAGGTGACGAACACCTCGTGGGCTACTATTTTTGGCCCAGGGCGGGGTGAGGAGGTTGGTGATTGCAGATTTTGGTGTTGGCGATGACCAGCAGTGCAACGACACGATGGCGGAGGGCTTGGTGTTGCTGGTGCTGGTTGTTTGCTGTCTGACTAAGGCGGCTCAGTTGCCCGGTGAGATGAGGGGACCGGAGCCCAGGGGCCTTCGCGACGGACCAGCCGCCGTGTTTTTTCGCGTCCCGGGTGCCTCACAGGCCTTCAGCTGCCGCCTTCTACGGCTCCTGAGTGGCCAATGCACTGAGCTTCAACCGAAGAGGGCAATTCGAGGAAAGGAGCCAACCTCAAGGATTGAAGTCTCAGTGCACGAGACCCCTTTTCGACGGCTCAGTGATCTCACTTATCGTCGTTCTGCTTGCTTCTTTAACCTGGGGGCATACGGCCAAAAGTCCAGGTGGCTGGTAATGCACAAGAAAGGGGTTCGACTGGCTTGGGTATCCCGAGCTGTGAAGATGGATTCCATTTTGTTGAGCTGGACGCCCAGAGAAATGAAAATGGAGGCGCCACGGACGCGACAAACTCCCTCGCACTAGCCACAGTTAGTAAGTGAGTGTGTGGCTGTAGGCTCGGCTTGGAAGAATATTGACGCCGCCGATCTTATGTCAGCCGCACGTGTCGCAACGTTTTCGTCATGCACGATACAGCGTCTTGGCATCCGGTACATGCTGGGGACCATGACGTGTGGTCATCCGCAACCACACCCGCCCGACGGAGCCAGTGGGCAATTCGAATCTCAACTCGAAATGCAGAATGCCAGAGTCACTCCCGCTTTCCGGCTTGACAGCTCCCCATCCATTCCGACTCCCCCATCACTGTCGAACCTGGGGCCGTCGGTCCCCTGCCTCTCCAGACTCACACTCATCTGTCACGATCCCCTCCAGACGAGTCCAGCCCGAATTTGGCCGGTCTGATTCGTACGTCTAAAGAACTATTGAGGCCTGGTTCTGCGTGAGGCGTTCCAACTGGCTCGGTGACTCTGGAGTTTAATTCCGCTGACCTCAGGGAAGGGCCTGGCAGGAATTCATGGCCACAAAGCTTCGCACCACACTTGGATCAAGTCCATCTCAAAAACGAACCAATCAGCTTGAGCATCTCTGCACCCTTCCACTCCACTTGCCATCACCTCAAACAAGGGTGCTATTGCACCATCGCCGAGTTGCAGAAGCTGAACCTCATTGGCCAGATCGCCACTCAGCACACCCAAAGCGGTAGTTCGCTGGGGAACTGACCCCCTCTGTTGGAACACCTGTTGCGCAACAGAAAGCACCAAGCACCGGAGCTGCAGCACCTCGTCCGACCATCAGCTCTGATTTTTCAACATCTCCATATTATCACTTCTGTCATCAAGGCAGACCTCTGCCCAGGCTCCATGACTGACGACACTCCGAGCATTGGCATTCTCCAAAACATCCACTCGGGGATAAGGACCCCGAATTTTCTCCCATGTTGAGAGACGCATTTGTCATATTTTCCGTGTTTTTGTGACACAACTACGTCCACCCAAGCCCAGGTACTCTGTATTTCACGCTGTTTGCTTGGGGGGACCACGCGACTCGTCCTCCGAGACCGCCTTCTTCTCACATGGCCCGTTTTCCCCCTCGCGGTTCTGTTTCCGTCTAAAGGCGCTTAATGAAAAAAAGGGAATGCGGACTTCTCCCGTTCGCTTGCCAGTTCGACATCAAATAAGCAATCCGAAGACGCCCATGCCTCCTCTTGTGTGGGTATAAGATAATTGGACTCGCAGCATATCCCGTCCCCATCCTGGGCTCCGCTAAGCTTGGTCTGGCAAAGACTCGATGGCGACATCGCCCCGGTTTGGACATCGCGGGAGGAGTGTATATACAACCACCACCATAACAAAGCACTCTCTTCGCTACCTCCAATCTTGGGACATTGTCGCCTGTTAAAGCTGCGCCATTACTCCCCGGCTGTCACACTCGGATGTGATTCACTCACACCCCCATCTCGTCAGGGTTTTCTCATTCTTCGCCGTCGCCTTCTCCTCGGCCACTCTCTCGCTGCTGCATTGCTCTTCTTGGCTGCCGCCGTCATCCCGGAACCACATCTCTTGGCCCACGAGATCCATCGTCTCGTCCAGCGGGAAGAACTCAGAGCCTCCCTTGGCACTCTCCACTACCGAAGTCTCTGAACTCAATTAATAACCCTGCCTGCCGGCGTTTCACACACTGGTTGAAGAGCTTCGAAGAGCTTTGAAGAGCTTCCGTTAAAGTTGATCAACCAACCGCCTCGCACGCGCAACTTCTCTGTCCTTCAACATTGACAGCTCGTCGTCCTTGTTGCAATAACGGACTCCCCGATCCTACCCAGCTGCGTGGTTGCGAGCACACCAGTTGGCCCTTATCAGACGCCGTCAAATCACGACAAACTCCCTGAGTCGGGGGCGTCGACGACCTCGTCATTGAATCGGGTCTCGACCAATTAATATCACCTTGGTCGATTGCGCAACTTTACAAGGGCTTTTTGGCAGGTGTCAATTTCGCTCTTCTTGCCTCAAAGCGCCATCCCCGGCGAGGTTCAGGGCCTGAAAGAGCTTTAGTTCCTTCTTGCGACATTCAGCTTCCGCATATCACACCCTCGGTCCTCATTCCTTTCACCCACCGCTAAGTCGGTTTCTTCCGGGGCAACTTTCGTGGGTCCAGATCGTGTGGCACAGGAACCCCAGCCAAGCCTATATAGCCTTGGGTCTATCTACATCTGAAGAATACTCAGACTCACTCTGGCCACCTGCTCCCAACGTACCAGCCGACCACCTAGTCCCTCATCGCAGCCTCTGCCATCATGGCCAACAAGATCGGCCATGGCCTGGCCAAGGTCCTGGGCATCAAGCTTGACCGCCCAGAGAACGAAGAGATGTTGCGCGGCGAGTCCGTCTTTTCGGTTCAGTCCTCAGATACGTTTGTCGAGGCGGAGCCGACAACAGCAGAGTGGTTCCTGGAACTGGTCCCTACCGGCCAAGAATTCCTCGAATACATCCGCTCTCTGTTCCCCTTCCTGAACTGGATTGGTCACTACAACTTGCAGTGGTTCATGGGTGACCTCGTTGCCGGTGTCACTGTCGGCGCTGTGGTAGTCCCCCAGGGCATGGCCTACGCCATGCTCGCGAAGCTTGATCCCGAATTTGGTCTCTACTCATCCTTCATGGGTGTTATCCTCTACTGGTTCTTTGCCACTTCCAAGGATATTACTATTGGCGTATGTTCACCTGTCTACCGATCTCACGGACTTTGCTAACGATTTCCAGCCTGTGGCTGTTATGTCAACTGTCGTCGGTAACCTCATCACCGATGTCCAGTCAGAGTTTCCTCAGTACGAAGGCCACCAAATCGCATCAGCATTGGCAATCATCGCCGGTGCCATCATTCTGTTCATCGGTCTGATCCGTATGGGATGGATCGTCAACCTGATTTCTCTCACGTCGCTCTCCGCCTTCATGACCGGTTCAGCCATCAGCATCGCCGTCGGTCAGCTCACGACTTTAATGGGCATCAAGGGTGTCAACACACGCGAAGCCACCTACCTGGTCTTCATCAACACTCTGAAGAACCTTCCCAAGACCAAGATGGATGCCGTCATGGGCTTGACTGCGCTGACGTGGTTGTACCTCCTCCGAACCGTCTTTACCACAGCGGCAAAGAAGTATCCTCAGAAGTCGAAGCTGTTCTTCTTCCTGTCAACACTGCGAACAGTCTTTGTTATTCTGCTGTACACCATGATCAGCTGGTTGGTCAACATGCATAGGCGCGACAACCCCATGTTCAAGATTTTGGGATCAGTTCCAAGAGGTTAGTTCCTATGCTTCAGTGACTACCCGTCGCATAGTCTGACGAATACCACAGGTTTCCAGGATGTCGGTACCCCGAAGATCGACACTGACCTCATCAGCGCCTTCCTGCCCTTTCTCCCCGCCAGTGTCATCGTCCTGGTTATCGAGCACGTCGCGATTTCGAAGTCTTTCGGCCGTGTCAACAACTACACTATCAACCCCTCGCAGGAGTTTGTGGCGATTGGTGTTACCAACGTGATCGCCCCCTTCCTCGGCGGCTACCCTTCTACCGGATCTTTCAGTCGTACAGCCATCAAGTCCAAGGCTGGTGTCAGGACCCCTTTTGCCGGTGTCATCACTGGTCTCATCGTCTTGCTCGCCATCTACGCTTTGACGTCTGTCTTCTTCTATATTCCCAGCGCATCTCTGGCCGCTGTCATCATTCACGCTGTTGGAGACTTGATCACGCCACCCAACACTGTCTACCAGTTCTGGCGTGTTTCTCCGTTCGAGGTTCTCATCTTCTTCATCGGTGTCTTCGTTACCGTCTTCTCCTCCATCGAGAACGGCATTTACGCTACCGTCTGTATTTCCGCCGTCCTTCTCTTCTGGCGCATTCTTAGAGGTCAAGGTCGCTTCCTCGGCAAGGTCAAGATCCACTCCGTTATCGGTGACCACGTCATTGGCGAGGACCACAGACAGGTCGTTGGCGAGTACGGCACCTTCGACGCTGGTGACAACGCCGCTCGCAACGTCTTCCTCCCCATCGACCACGGTGACGGCACAAACCCCGAGGTCGAGCTCGACCAGCCTTACCCCGGCATCTTCATCTACCGCTTCTCCGAGGGCTTCAACTACCCCAACGCCAGCCATTCCCTCGAGTACTTCACTGAGTACATCTTCGACCGCACGCGTCGCACCAACCTCGAGGCCTACGGCAGCCTCGGCGACCGCCCCTGGAACGACCCCGGCCCGTCCCGCAAGGCCAAGAAGGCGGCCGCCCAGATGGCCGCCTCCGAGCACAAACCCACCCTCAAGGCCATCATCCTCGACTTCAGCTGCGTCAACAACGTCGATCTCACCTCCATCCAACAACTCATCGATGTCCGCAACCAACTCGACCGCTACGCTGCCCCGAACAAGGTCAACTGGCACATCGCCTGCATCAACAACCGCTGGACCAAGCGCGCCCTCGTCGCCGCCGGCTTCGGATACCCCGCCGACCGCGGCGACGGCCTGCAGCACAGGTGGAAGTCCATCTTCAGCGTGGCCGAGATCGGTGGCGCCGAGTCCGCCGCCGCCGTCGCGGAGAAGGAGGCCAACGAGAAGGAGATGTCGTCGCACGCAAAGGCCGCGAGACAGGCCGACGAGGAGACGGGTAAGGCCGGTGGTGTCTACGACGACATCGACCCCGTGTCATCGTCGGGCATGCACCACGAGCGCGGCGGCGGCAAGGAGCTGAGCCCCAGGAGGAGAGGTGTCGTCGTGCACGGTCTGAACAGGCCGCTTTTCCACGTCGACCTGACGAGCGCGTTGCAGAGTGCGATTGCGAACAGTGAGAGGGAGGAGGTCGAGCCCGGGCCCAAGAGCCCGGATACCTCTAGCGAGTAGATGGGCGTTCTGGATACTGGATTAGCGATTGATACCCATGTTGGGAAACATTTGTTAGATTGGTGTGGATGAATCATGAAAAGAGTGGCGTGTCGCGATACCTGACGGCACATCCATAGACCTTGTTCTTGTCATTTACGTTTTTCTGTATATAGAGCTGTGTGCTCGATATATTCGGCATAATCACATGATGTTATTGCTGAATGAGTTGATTCATACTTGGGTGAATTGGCTCCTACAGATATCAGTGGATTTCCTATTCACTGCGCTCATTTGCGCTTGCGACAGGGACAGTCAATCACCTCGGCCGCTGTCTGTACATGTGTATGAATGGTGCCAGCATAGGCCATATAAATAGAGACGACATGTTCAACAGCTGCAAATATCCAGCAACAGTAAGCTCTGCTGGCATCGTTCTCTTTGCGCCGAATCGGTGCTTCTTCATATCCGATGGCATTCATCACGCCTGGCATGTCCCATGACTTCACATGAAGATGGAGGGTTGCCATAATTATTATCATTACCGACATTTCTATCCTTCTCTCATAGTTCCCCAGTATTCGATGGCGAATACTCAAGAAATGAGGGGATCAAGTGCGCTTCAAGCACATCTACAATCATTCAGCCCCTCGCTTACAATAAACAAAGTTACCTAATTCCAATAAACCTCCTTAAGAAGCATTAGATCCTCATGGAGTATCGTGTAGACCAGTATGTCCAATTTCACAATTCGCTCGCGAGCAAAGGCAGATTCGATCCCGCCTTACCCGAAATCACTATTTATACTGTCTGTTTCCATTTCGTAGAAGAAGTAATCACGAAGTGCTGCATTGAGAGAACGGTGCGCACGAACGTGAGCGCAGCGCATGGTCGGTAGCGGCAGAATATTCATGCTTAAAAGACAGAAGTGTCGGGGCATTGTTTTCTCTCGCAAACAAGCTTGCGTCCTGGTTGGGTACTCGTTTTTGTTCAGCGGATGAGCTTCGCGGCCAGGAATGTCCGAAACAATACGTTGATGTCGGACTATCACCACACACATATGTTGATCTCGTGGGAGTGATCGGTGGGGCCGAAAGATGGCTATAACCTTCTACCTAGCGTCTGACCTCGTCTCTGTCCGGCTCCTAGATCATATTCACGGTTATTCCCAATCACGGGTCGAAGTTATCTTGCCTGTGTCAAGGGTCTCTTATACCACCGATGGCATCGCATGTCATGATCAACTGGATCTTAAAATGCAATACAACCGTCAGAAATCTGCGTTTCGAGTCCCATCAAGATCTCATTCTGGACGTCTAGTAGATTCCGAAAAGGCCCTGCGTCCTGAAAAGATGATGACCATACGCGCCACCGTGTGTTTTGGGTATCTGAGTGAGTTGTTAACAGCCTCAATGATCAGATCAGGAGTGCTTGCATCGTCGGCAGACTACCACTCATCCTAGAAGAAGACCGGATAGTGATGGTTCCGTTGTTTGCGTGGGATATACGCCGGTGGCCTGGTCTTGAATGTGTAGGTGAGAGGTAGTAGTGTGCTTGCTAGAGCTTGCATTTATAGAGCGACGCCGGGTCTTTTGTCAGCATGTCGCTTCAAACATTTGTTGGCCTTACGCTTTGGTCTGATGATGGTTGATGGTTGATTGTTGATTGTGGACGATGAATGGTCCAACCGGTATCTCTCCTGACGTTCGACATTAGCCCAAATAGTTCCCATGTGTTTCCGCGTGGTGTTAACAGCAGAGTTGCCGTTGTTCTTCTCTTCTGGTGCCCTGTTATTCGGTCGGATAACGAACAATATTCTTGGCTCAATTAGATTCAAGCTGATCAAGCAAACGTTCGGCTGTTCATACATGGTCAAGGTTGCGCTTAAGAACTACGAAGATGCACTCCAAATGGCACTTTCACAACCAGCTCAAGGTTCGAAAGGCCTTCTCCATAGAAGTTGATCCCGAGTGCGGCCGAGTGGATTGCTTAGATTATGGAAATCGTTGAGAAAGTGACAAAGTTCACATTAGATAGAGTCGAACTCTGATAGAACCAAATTAGGTTCTATGTAATAGACTTACCTTATGTGTCATATCAATCTAACTTGTCTGTCATCTTTGCTGTCAAGCCACGAAACTCTCTCTAACAGGAACGACCCAACTCGACTCCATTGATCTCCATGGTTGATCAACATCAGCCCTTCTCTCTCTGTGACATTCAAACACCACACCACCTTGGTAGCTTCTTCGGCCACATCGAACATACCGATTGCCACCACTTTCTCATCCAAGCTACGGCTATCGTCATCCAACGTTGAATCTTCGCCGTTCATACATTCAGCGTCAGCAAGAAGAACACCGAACCTTACTGCCTTGCCTATGATGCTTTGGCCCCACCAACTAGAAGAATCTTTGCCGCGAAAGTAATCGCCCGCCGATGTGTCAAGAACCAAAGCCTTGGCAATTTTCCCCATCACTCTGAGCTCGCGGTGCGGTATATGCAAAGTTTCCAAATCACAATCTTCATCCGTTGTCCATCTGTTGTTTTCGGCCCCTGGCCTCAGCTTGACGGATTCGTTGAAGCGAGAAGCTTCCCGTTTGGTCGTAAACCGATGATATATCGGGCCTTCGATAGATGCCCATGACCATGATGGCGCCCGTACCACCGTTGATAGGGAGAGAATTGCTGACCTGGGCCGTTTGCCAGGGACCGAGGGGCCGCTAATTATGTGCCGCTTCGGTTTCCAAAGAAGACCCCTGGCGATGTCGCTTTCCCAGAGCCCCGCAAGGTAGCGGGAATCTATATTTTTTCGAGCAAGACTGGCGATAGATGCTATGGCAGCGAAGATGTCGTGAGGATTGGACAAGTTCCCCTGCGTGTAACCATATAATATCGCATACCACTGCGCCAATGTTTCTTGCCTTCTAACTTTCGGATCTGGGGCGTCGGACAGGAAAGCGCGCCTTAGACTAGTTTCCCCTGGGTTCCAAATGCTCCTGGAGCCATCCTCCCATGAGCTCCCAGTGCGGCAATTATATGCAATCTGATTCTCAGCGAAAATGATCTTGCGCTGAGAAAGGACTTCTTCCTGATAGCACCACCCGCGGGTACTGGTAGGTCCTGTTGTTTGTCGACGGTCTGGAGTAAAGTATACAACATCGGTACTAGAAGACGAGAGCGGCAGCGGACAATGCTGTTGCTCTTGTTTCACGTTTGGTGTGCTGAAGCCCAGACGAGAGTCTGCAGAGCGTGCGGCAACAAGAGTGAGGCCCGCGTTGCCATAAACCTGTTCCATATGTCTCGACTCAAAAGCCCAGTCTTCTGTGTCACCCTGAATGATACAAAGGGCATCGATCCAGAGGTACTGAAAGCCAAGTGCGCGGGCTAACTGAATAGCTTCTTGATGAGCCTTGGCTAGTAACGCCAGTGGAAGTTCAACGAGGAATGCCTTGAAAGTATCGTGTGTCAACTTAGGAGTATCCTTTGACGGCCCCCAGCAGTAGGAAAGCGCCATGTACGGCTCGCGCATATCTCCAGTAACATGGAGTCTGGGAGGCCTGCTCTCTCCCACATCGATGACTCGCGTGGGCATCTTCAAGAATTCTGGGCCCTCGCAACGTTTATGATTCGCACAACACTCTTGAAGGCGGGAGCGAATGAACGACACCTGAAGGCTAGTGTCGGGATCCGCGGCGATGAACCGTCCAGGATACCTCAGCGCAGCGGCAGACTCGGCCAATCTTCTAGCTTTTAGATAACGTTTCCCATTTTCCGACAGAAAGGAATATTTAATTCTGAGGACTCACGCATAAACACGTAGACTAACCTGCATAGGAGTACTACCAGCGTTTGTCTCTGACTGGTCGGGTACGGATGGTCCGGCCCGCCCGCACATTATCCAAACGCGAGATTCATAACCGCCCCGTATGGTCTGACCCCAAAGCCAGATGCTTGGATACCATGGTGCGTTCTTGGTATATGAGCTCGGTCTTTCGCCGTTGAGCAGCTCAGTAATAGTCTCAAGTGGGGTGCGACTTGTCAGAACGCCAGCCCAGCAGACACCACAAAAGGCACAGCCTGATTCTGCACTTTCCTTGAGGGATTTGAGGTTTGGGTGGAATTTTACATCGTGATCGCTTATCGACTCGACGGTCAGCTTGGCGCAAAAGTTGCAGAACGTCATCGGGAGGGAAGAATGCTGAGAAACGCGGCCTCGTTGATGCGGGTTCCAAAGTTCTTCTTCGTTCGTCTTCCAGGTTTACTGTGTCAGAAATAGAGAGCAGGCAGACAGACGAGGATGCATGCTTATGTAACGACGCGCATAAGGATATGACTAATACGGACGTACGCTCCAATGACCATTTCTTTCAGGATGGAATATGGAGAGCTGATCTGGCCATCGAGGAAGTAGATAATGTTCCCTTCAAGTTCATCATTAATTCGATATGGCTGTGTCCCGCCGCGGCTTCGCCAAGCGGCATTGGTGCCAGGACTCGCCCATGGGTGTTAGACGAATCGATAGCTGCTGACAAAATCAGCTAGATCCGAGCATCATTCAATCAATCATGGCGGTGCCTTTCTAATTGGCACGTTAATACGCAGGTCTGTTATACGATTGCCCATTCTCGGACGCAGTCTCTGACAACTGGTTGCCTGCAGCAAGGGCGTTTCTCCCATGCTGCTCAAATCCTTTGACTGGGCTTAACTCCCAAGTTCATACTAATTGACAGCTCGGCAACCTTCCGTGATAAGTAAAATGCTCTTTTGTCAAGCTCACTCCTTGGCAACTCATGGCAAACGGGAACGAGATCCTACGAGTCCACTTTCCGCAGTAAGCTTAAATGTTCTTTTGTCATACTAACCCCTTGGCAACTCTCAGCACACGGAAACGAGATCCTGCGATCCCACCTTGGTGAGCGCTAGCCACTGTCAAACTCTAAGTCATGCGGTGCTTAATGACAGTCATTCTAGACGACGAGAGCCTCTATTGGATTCTTGGCACCTGGATATTGCTGGAGAAAGAGACATCTACAGGCACAAACCAAACAGAGGGAAGCGAACATCGAACTGTTCAGCAGGGATGGTGTGAAGATCACTGCGAACATAATCTCCAGTTGACAGGAACTTTACGGACGTAACTTAGCCATTGCATCCAATAGTGCTCCTGTGGGGAGCGGATGATCCAACATGCCACTCTCTAGTGACGCATCACTTCAGGATACCAAGATCCGGCAACCTTGAGGTGGTCTTATTTGATTGGAACTTCTACGGGACTAGATTCTTATAGGACAAATACCCGGCAGCTACGAGCGATCGGGTTGATGTGGTCCCTTGCTGCGGAGAACTCGGAAGGAACCTTAACGGGACCGCCCATGTCAAGGGTTGCTCAGCTGTCTGGCATGTACAGGGCTCGGCATGCCTCGAGAACCTCAGAGAGATTTGAAAGTTATCGATCAACATGATACCACGACAGCGAAAGTTCTTCCGCCTCGGTGACCTCTTGGAGAGTCAGAAGAGGAAGGTGCTTCACACTACAGAGGCGATCGAATGATGGATGGGCCAAGCATCATGATGATGATACGAAGACGAAAGTCCTTCCGCCTCGCTGAAGCCAAGAAGTCCGATTGGGAAAGTGCTTCAAACTGCATTGGCAATACGATGAAGTCTGAGCCAAGCGTGATGCCACAAAGGCGAAAGTGCTTTCTCGTTGAACTCGAGGACCGTCCGAAGAGGAAGGTGCTTCATACTCCGTGAGCGATTCTTGCAGAGGCTCATAAGTATAAGAAGGGAGAAGACTCCCATTGAATCTCATCATCACTCTACAGTTCTTCACAACCATCCAATTCACCCATACAGTCGTACACCTTACCAACACTCTTTCCAAGATGAAGTCGACTCTCCTGACTGCCATTGTGGCATCTTCCGCGGTTTGTCCACGGCCATCCACCATACTTTGCCATCTACTAAACTCCAACTCCAGGCCCTTGCATCTGCTTTCCCGAAGGGCGTCTCGTTCGTCAAGGCCTCGTCTCTCTCTCAGAGATCCATCGACGAAGCCGTTCCCTTGACCTTCATCGGTCAGGCATTCGTCGACGGGCCCAACGTCACGCTCACCGGCACCGCCGAGTCCATCTACAACGACCTTCTCGCCATCAACCCCTCGTACAACGAGTGGGACTTCCCCGAGTACCAGGAGCGCATGACCGCACTCGGGTTTACCAAGGAATCGCTCCTCGAGCTCACCCACTCGGGCGACGCCAGCAAGTTGAGGAAGCGCGGCCACGTGAGTAAACCACCCCATTCATGACGACTTCATAGACTTACACTTCATCAAAGACCACCTGCAACCCCTCTGGCGACGAGGTCGGCAACTGGGGACTCCAGTGCAACGAGGGCCTGGGCTATCTCGGCAGACTCAACGGCTACTGCCAGGCTCCCGCCGGCCGCGGTGGATGCGCTCGCACCAGCTGCTCTCACGGCTGCGGAATCTTCCTCTGCAACGACGTAAGTACACCGTTTCACTCATGTGCGTCCTGACAGGGCTTGAATGCTAACACGGACAGAACCCCAACCCGATCTCGGTCTGGTGCGGCAACCAAGTCGGGGACGTCTACGACATCGCGGCCCAGTGCGAACGCGAGAGGACCTCTTACGTCTTTTCCCTTCTGGGACAGATCTTCCGCGACGGGCCGCCGGCCTGGAACACTGTTGTCAGGAACCAGAACTGCTAAGTTCTGGGCTTCCAAGGCAGCTTACTACCATTTCCTGGTATGATGACGGTTTAGAGTGTGACCGTTGAGGAGAACAGATCTATTTTTTATTCTTAGGCGGACATATTAGTGAGGAACAGGTGTTGTAGGAGATATAGGATAGAGTCGATTATGTCAATCAATCCTTTAAAACAGTTCTCTGCCTTTGCTTCTCTCTGTACATGATGATTGGCTAGCGGCCGTCACTTCCTCAGCTCGGTACCACTTCACTCACTTGTACAAGCTGCTGATGTCGGCCAGACCCGCGGCCACAAGATTTTCCTGAATCGATCCATTCAACAAGACGTTGAAAGGCCCGGCCTCAAGCGGACAGTAAATGTCACGACCGCACATCGTGCCCTGGAAGTAGGACTTGACAACCGCTAGGGCGCATTGGTTGAGAGTCGCCGAGGCCGTGTGCTATAAGACGTCAGCATCCCTGATCTCTACCGATTCGATCTGGGACAGGATCTCAAGGAGAACACTTACACCCAGCCCTTCAATCGTAAGCCTCCGAGCTCCTTTAAACTTGGGAGCGTTGTTGACGGTACTGTAATCACACACGTCAGCAAACCACACCCCAGTCCTTCACACCAACACCAGGGACTTACTTCTCAATCGGCGTCGTCGGATCAAACGTATTACTCACAAACAACAAATCCGCCCTCGTCTCCCCCCCATACGGCCCCTCAAACACCTCCCTCCCCCGGATCGACCACCCAGAACACCCCAGAATCTGCTGAACCCACGTCTCCCCGACCACGCTCTGCCCCTCCACCTGCTCGACAAACGGCCTCAACCCCTCCAGCGTCGTCCCGAACAACCTGTTCCCCTGGTCCGAGCAGAGCACCCCGAGGCTCTGCTCCGGATTCACCCGCCCCTCCACCCCGGGGTCCCCGATCGCCGCGTTCAGCCCCGCCGTCCACGCCGCCAACTCCCCGCCCGCCAGCGCCGCCTCCAGCCCCACCAGCGCCTCCGCCATCGCCGGGAACGACACCACCGGCCCCGTCGCCGCCGTGAGCATCCCGACCTTGAACGTCAACAACGCCGACGCGATCTCGCTCGCGTTCGCCCACCCCTCCGCCTCCGCCCCGCGCGCGTCCAGCCGCGCAAACGACGCCCTCCACCGCTCGAAGATGTCCATCGCCGTCTCCCCCGTGTAATACGCGCACGCCTCCGGCCCCGCCGCGTGACAGTACACGAAGAACGCCCCGAGCACGCCGTCGAGGTGCGTGACGCCCGGGAACGTCCCGTTGGCCTGGTATCCCTCGGGGCTCACGACCCCGTCCAGCGCCACGCGCCCGACGCGCCCCGGGAACATGGACGCGAACGTCTGGCCCAGGAACGTGCCGTAGCTGATGCCGTAGTAATTCAGCACGCTCGCGTTGCCCCCACCCTCGACGACGCGGCCGCCGTCGGCGGAGGAGGCGAAGGCGTCGACGAAGCTGAGCATGTCGCGCGCCGTGACGGCCGTGGTCATGTACCGTCCCGCGCCCGTCTCGCCGCCCGCGCGCGCCTCGCACCGTCTCCCAAGGTCCGCGCTGAAGTCGATGTAGCGCTGGTAGAAGTCGTCGACGAGGCGGTGGGGTTCCTCGTCACGGGTCTGGAGGGTGGTGGTGTTGGTTGAGCAGTTGAGGCGGGGCTCGCCGAGGCCGACGCCGCGGGGGTCGAAGCCGACGATGTCGTAGTTGGAGCCGATCCAGGCGCGGAGGAGGGCCCCGCCCTCGCGGACGAGGTCGAGGCCGGAGACGCCCGGGCCGCCGGGGTTGACGAGGACGGCGCCGCGGTAGGGTCCGTCCGGGGAGTCCGGGGTCGCGGGGAGCTTGAGGAGGGGGACCGAGGCCCGGGCGAGTTCGGGGTTTTTGTAGTCTAGGGGGACCTGATGTCGTCAGTGAAAGTGCGGGGTAAGAGGGGTGGTGGTGATCTGACATCGAGTCTGGCGCAGAGAAACTGGTCTTCGCAGGGACACCAGATGAGGTCCTTGGACGGGGAAATGGTCTCAAAGGTACAATTCTGGGCTCTCGTCGTCTCCGCACCGAGTAGGATGGCCGCTGTGGCGATGGTTCTGGCCTTCATCTTCTTTCCTCCCTTGTTCGGGGAATAGCGAACGAATAGCGTGAAGTAGTAGAATGAATGTGTGATGAACTCGGAAACAGCCTGATCAACCGACTGGCCTTCCTTAACAACCCAAGGGTCTCCCCTCCCCCTCCTTATATCACCTTCCCCCTCGGCCAAGGCCACGATGACATCTTTCAGTCAGTTGGCGACATGTGCTCTCGGAACACCTCGACAGATCGTAAACCCAACCATACAGAACCCCTAACAGCCTCGCCCTTGATCGCAATCTCCGATGCGTCCATTCCCATCAACATTCTCCCCGCAAAACCCCAGAAGACAGACGTCGAGAGAAACAGATGGAGGCTGTGCTGATGCGAACCGCGCGATGATTCACCAAGACCAAGCCTATAATTAGCGTCGAATACGTTTCCTCAACCCCGGAATGCTGGCCGCCCATGTCTCAAAGCTCGTATGGGATGTCCGTCGTATCCCATCGCCATCAGCCCATGTCTCGATCATTTCCCCCATTTCCCCCCCTCCATGACGGAGGGCGGAGGACTGGAAAGAGCAGCTGAGCCACCACGCGGTGAACCCTCTCGGTTGCATTCACAGCTGTGCTGGAAAGACTCAGGTGAAAAATAGACCTCAATTGAGCGCCAGGAATCCAATCCGCGAAAAAAATGCCCTCTAACAGACAAGTACACCCGAAGACATATACACACACTCACTTACAAATCACACCGACCATCTCATTATCCCTCCACATCCCATCTTACATCGGCCTGCCGTCATAGACGACACCATAAGGCACGGTCTCGATATCCCCGTGACAAGCCCTCTGGTAGTCCGCCAACTTGGGCATCTCCTCCTGCACCTTCAAGAACGTGCCCAGCTCGCACCACCCGTCCTTCCTCTCGACGTCGCACTCGGGGAAACTCCAGCCCAGCGGCAGCGTCCTCTGGTTCAGCACGAAGTGGATGTACTTGGTCTCGCCGCCCTCGCTCTCGTAGCCCGACCGGTCGGCCTTGAAGGGCTTGGGCGTCTTGATGATCTCGATGTCGAGGCGGGCGCCGAAGGGGGTGATGTGCGAGACGGTGAAGTTGTGGGGGCCCGGGTACTCGGTCGGCTGGAGGAGGCGGGCGAACTGCTTGAAGCCGAAGGCGGTGAGGATGGAGGCGATGTTTGTGTCGTGGGAGAAGTCGAAGTAGAGGCTCTGGTTGAGGGGGAAGGTCTCGGTGTTGTTGTCGAGGGTGACGTTGATCTGGGAGCCTGAGTAGCCGAGGGTGTGGTTCTGGAGGCGGGCGACGACTTCCTGTTGCCATCCGATGCCGACGGCGCGCTGCGATATGATCAGTTCATGTTTCATCTCAGAGGGATTTCATGACGGAACTTACTCCTGTGGGGTTCTGGAAAGCGTTGTTGCCAGCGAACGCAAGATCGACGGAGTAGGAGAATCCAACCCACTCTTCGTAGGTGAAGAGGTCACAGAAACGGCTGAAGCCGTAGGCCACCGTCTCGTAAGGGCACATGGTCTGGGCCGCGTAGGTGTCCTCGATGGTCCAGTCGAAGCCCTCCACCATGCCTTTGAGGCGAGCCGTGGCGTTGGCCAGGTAGTTGGAGGCCCAGATCTTGGCCGCCTCGTCGCCGCCGTTCTGCTTGCGGGCGTTGGGGCAGTTAAGGTAGCCAGCGAGCGAGTTGTTGGCCATGTTCTGCTCGATGATGACTTCGATGGTGGCGTTCTTCGTCCTATGTGCAACTGTTAGTCGGCCGGCGGGAAGTTTGTCAGGGCGTGTATGAAAACATACCATTCGAGGCCGAAGAAGCCGGCCAGCCAGTACTCGGCTGACTTGAGCATTCTGTCTTGCGTCTGTAAAGCGTGTCAGTCATCCCGAAACAACATTATTCGCCCAGGAGAAATAATGAGCTCACCGTGGTTCGCACAATGATCTTGCTGTTAGGGTTATACAGCGAAGAGTACATGTACGAGTGCAAGATGCCAGAGTCAAACAACTCCTGACGACCCTTGGGGACAAGGATCTCATGACCGAGCTGGTACTTCCAGCTGTTCAGGAAACTCAGCGCGCCCTTTGCCTTGAGCGTCTTCTCGGCCTCAGCAACCTTCTTCCCAAAGTCGGCCACGTTGGAGCCCATGGTGGGATACCTCGATCCGTGACGCGAGAGCATCTAAACGGCACGTCAGTCAAGATCCCAAGCGTCGAAGTCTGAGCCCCCAGTCTTACCTGAACCTGAACGATGTCCGCCCCTTCGGGCAGAGCATACTCTTCGACACCGAAACCAGGGCTAGGCTGATACGGCGTGAGATAGCTGCACTTCATCAGCACTGAACACCAACCCTCCCTCCGTCCGGACACCACATCGAAACTCACCCCATCATGTTGAAAATGCCATCATTAGCGCTCTGCATCCCCTGAATCGGGATATCCGTCTGCAGCGGCGCATTAGGCACGAAACTTCCCGTAGGCAGGACCCGCGTCTGCGCCATGAACGCGGGCTTCCCCGTCGCCGTCGGCCCGGCCCATAACTCCGGGCTCGTCCTGAAGTACTGCGGCACGTTGGGGTCCGGCCGACACGGACACTCATCGTCGCCTCCCTTGCCCCCAATACCCTTGAAGACGCCACTGGGGCCATGCCTCACCCCGTTGCCATCCAACCCGAACCCCAACACCACGAAGGCGATGATGAAGCCGAGGATGGTGACGATGATGGCGAGGCCGATGGCGACCGTCGCGCGGCGGTAGCTCCGCTCGCTGGGCGAGACGTGGAGGTGGTCGTCGTCGTCCTCGAGGCTGATGGGGAAGGTCGCGTCCGCCGGGGTGCCGGGCGGGAGGGCCGGCAGCGGCTTCTCGCTCGGGAGGGGCTTCCGTCCCCGCCGTCCCGAGGATCCGGAGCGGCTTCGGCGGGGACCCTTCTGCTCCTCTCCGTACGGAGAATCCTCATCCCCCGGGACCCGGAGATATCCGGCCTGGCGGGCACCCATCTTCTGCTCCTCCTCTCACACAGAGGCCAAGACGGATGGACGGCTTGCAACGATAAGGGACGTGGAAACTTCTGCGCTGTCACTTGACCTTGTCAGACGGGCGTGATGCTACGTACGCGCTCTACCTCGGACGCCGGCCTATCGGGCTCGCTGTCGATTGACTCGGGGCCCGCGAAGGGTCTCCGTCGCTTACGCACGACAAACGGCCAAGAGGGGGGGAGCCGTATGTGCAGAACACAACGGTTTGACCAGCCAGATCAGGCCGGTGACAACGAGCGACTGCGAGTACGGCAGGAGTGGTGGTGGTGGACGTTCGCTAGGTGCAGGCCGAGGCGCAGATGGAGCGAGCGAGCGGTTCAGACGGGGTACGTTTCACGTCCGGGAGTGCCGCGGTAGTCGCATCGATCTGCTTTGAATTGGGGGGGAATGGAAGTGGAGGGCCGTATGCAGGCTCCGAACGTGGTACGGAGTAGCAGTTCGACAAACGGGTAGGAAGCGACAGGTCCGTGGCGTGGAAAAGTGATGACTCGATGACTGCAGGTTGCGGCAGCGAACTCTGCAGAAACAGGGGCGGCGGGCGCGGCGCAGGATGGATTCTTCGATGCTTTTGCACCCCCAGTAGTCGGGGTTGGTGTTCCGTCAAACCCAATTGGCCACCTGGAGGAGGTGGATTGGAGATACGTTAGAAGAAGGTCACTGAGGTGAGGGCCTCAAGGAGGGTCCCCCGGCCCGGGAGGAACGGACGGAAAGGAACGAGGAAAAAATAAAATGATACAAAAGCAAAAAACACACAATGCCAATCGCTCGGATGCTTGCGAGTGATACGCGCGGCAGGTAAGCCTGGACACAGTGACGACTGGAGGTAGGATTTCGTGATAGAGGCGTCGTCGGGATGGACAGATGGTCAGGGAGGCTCTTGGTTAATTAAGGGGGGCACAGCGCCTGTCGTTGAATGCGGCCTCGTAATTCGACAATTTGGCGTGGGATTTGCGGATACCTGTCCCATTCCCGTCCGTTCTTGGTACGTACCTAGCTCCAACGGGAAGATGGATCCGGTGCCGAAGAAACAGATCCGATCCTCCCTCCACTGGTCTGGCCAATAGGGTCCATCGGACAGCTGGCTCCGGGTGGGAGCACAGGCCACCCGTCCTCGAAGCCTCGACTGGAGTCAGTGCACGTGATAAACGCCGAAACAGCTGGCAGACGCCGGCAAAAACAACCTTACGCGCTTACCTAATGGAACCTCCATCACTGGATTTGAGCGGGAGCAGCGGCGCCAACTCCGCCGTATGATCCGAGCGCCTGCGTTCAGACGGCTGATGGAAGTTCTGCTTTCAACAAAACCTCATCACGCCGTTCCTTCTTTCCTCGAATATAATCTTCCACTTCATCCAACCAGGAGCCAAGAGCGACACTCTCCCTCCAGCTACTATTACCACAATCAGCCACCCTTACTCAGCTGGTCGTCAGCTCCGATTCCAGACCTCGAGCGGAGAGCAAGCGATAGTTTCCCGTTGGAACTAACAGCAGCGATCCCACCCCTCCAAAAAAACACCACATCAACCCCATGTCCCGACATGCCTTGACACGGCGCGCGATGCCACGCAAACTGATATCGCAATCCGAATTGGTCCTTCAAAGGCACCGCGCAACGCCTCCATCAGAACCTTGGCTGCATACCGCAGACGCCGTTGATTAGTTATGCCCTCTTGAAACCCGCCCATCTCCCCTGTCCTGTCGCTTTTGGCGTTACCCACCCATCATCTTTGCTTTTTCCCCATCCTGTGCAAGACGCAGCTCGATGCGGTTGAAATAAGAAAAGAGAGGGCAGACAAAAAAAATTCTCAAGTGCGCCCACGCGGATGTGTCTCCAGTTTGACCGTCTCACTTACAATAACCCCCCCGCTCACTTTATCCCTCGATCGATCGCCTGCGCTAGGAACCGATGACAACTCCCCGGCCATGACCAGAATGCATTTGGCAGCAAGGAAAAAGCAAAGAGAGGTCGAAAGGCGGATGAGGAGATGAGCAGGGCCTCGCTGCAAGTTGCAACTGAGGGCCGACGAAGACTCACCCGCGCTGCCGACGTCGGACCAGCGTCGCTTCCCAGTCCCGTCCCCGATGAGGTCTTCGTCCTCGCCATGTGCGAAGACGAAAAAGCAATTGTCTCCTCTGAACCCTGATACTGACCCGTACGCAGTATGCGCGCCGACGGCGGTTGCGACCACAACCCCAGCACTACCCACGACGGGAAGGTGTTCGTCAAAGGAAATCATCGTCATCACCAGAACCCCAGACCCTTCAACAATGAAGACAACCCAAAAGCAAAATAGCCCCCGCCTAGGGGTCTCGACACCCAGCCCTCGCCGGTTCCGAAGATTGCAAAAGTTCCCGCAGGACTCCCCTTCAATGTCCACTTCTTCCCATGCATGCTTCTTCGTGCCTCCCTTGTATGTGAGTGCGTGTGTCTGTCCAGAAGCGACGTGTCTCCGTCCGTCCCAGCAGACTGCCATTCGATCCCGTCACTATCCCTGGAGGTCGGGCAATTGTCAACCGTGGCCAACGATCCGGCAATCGCATGCATCCCCTTCGGCAGCGACTCCAACCGCCTGGCCAGCCGTCTTGCAGATGTCATGGACCGCTTGTCGACCCGTCAAGCCTGCAGCCACACACGCTCCTCGATGGTCGACGACCGACTATGCAGAGTCGAGATCGCTCGGGGCCCTGCACATGTTTTGACCAGACGTCGAAACGGCTGTCGCTGCCCACTACCGGTCAGGACTCGTGAGAATTGCCGAAGCCACGCCCTGGCCCCGACGCCTGCGGCCTTCCATGCCCAAGTGTCGGTCAGCCGTCGACCGGTCAAGATATTGCAGACCGGAATCCACATGCTGTATGATGGTCGTTTGCCCCCCTTCTCTTTGGCATCTCGGGCGTCGAGGCGTGGATGCTTGTTCGCCTTCAGTGTTTGCTTTTCCGACTTCGCAGCCCGTCCTTCTACATATCGCGACAGGGTCCCGTATTGACATGGAGGCGTCACACGTGCGCATCGAGGAAGAGGAAGAAGAAACTCCAATAACTCAAATCCGCAAAGAGGCCAAGCGGCCGTTCGTTCATGCGCTGCTGTCGTGTCTCGTTACACCTAAACCGCGAGTTAGCATGCAGAAATCCCGTCCGATTGAGCGCCTGGGTATGGGAATCTGAGAAAGGCACTGTCCTGGAGTTGCACAAGAGGGAAAACCCAAGCCGTGCTCCTCGTCCAATGTTGCCCCTCTGTAGGTTCCCGTTTCTCGGTACGAAAGCCGTCAGGGGGAGCCTCAGAAGCGGTCAGGGCCAGCTGAGAAAGTGGCTTGACGTCCATCCTCGAGGCATTGGCAATCCCTCACCGATGTCTTGGATTGCCCAATCATTGAACCACTTCTCTGACCGGTGCTGCGTTGCTAGCATAGTTCCAGCACCACGGTCGTGTGATCAGTAGCCGCTCCGTCTGCAGCCACGCGATTGACGTCCAAAACCACACCGGTTTGTCTCGCTCCTATTTTAGCAAAACTTCTCATGTGCCACGTTTGGACCACTCGGTCAATGATCAGCGCTCATGAGCCTTCTTGGTTGGGAAAAACCGGTGAATGGGTAATTAAATTCTATTACAACGAACTCCTGGTCTTACATCCATCCGTGTATACATGCTTTTTTCTTGCCGGGTTCTACTCGAACTCCCAATGACTCCGTGCTCATCCGACCGTGACAGACAGGGTAAGAGAATAAACTTTTCGAGTGTGACCAGGGTAATAGGATACGGTGAGGGAAAAAGCAAATAACGCAAGATGCAGTAGTCGCTCCACGCCTGAGCGAGCCCATGTGCCCAGGGATAAACAATGCAAGTCCAAGAAATGCAACCGTGACGCCCCCTCTCCAGTTTTCGACGATGCTTGTTCGTGTTCCCCGGCGCAAAAGTGATGTGAAAACAAGCGCAATTAGTTGGGGTACTTGCGAAGAGGAAAAAAGGCGTCAGGCATAGGTTCCAGATGCCAGACACGGTCGGCCGGCTTCTCGAAAGCATCGTGCCACTCTCGCTGGAGCTCATCGGGGATGGACCATCCCAGCTTGTCGTTGCGTACGCGCATGCGAACGAGATGGCGCTTCTCGCTTGGGCCCTGGCCGTTGACAAAGGCCTCGCGACGGTGAAGGATGGCGAGGTTGTTGATGAAGTGGATGTCACCAGGTCGGGTCTGGATCTCCATCTGCGTCGCCTTGGCGATGGTCTCCACGGCGTCGAGCGCTTCGATCTGACGAGCAGTCAGGGTGGGGAAGTGTGTTGGTCGAGGATGCGCAGCGTTGCCCATCAGGGGAGTGCGGCCGAAGTTGATGATGATCTTGCCTTCATGATGGAAGAGGACGGGGCGACATTGGAACTTGGGGCTGTGGGCAAGTCAGTAAGGAATCTCAACTTGGTACACCATCGAAGTGCATGAGGGGTAGTGAAACATATCGACTTACAGAGCAAAGGGCCAGTCCGAGCGGGATAATGTGCGAATGATATCTGGTCGTGTAGCGGCGAGGACGTTGTAGACGGTGTGGGCGGAGGCAATGATGCACTTGCCACCGGCAGCGGCGGTGGCTCTGGTCAACCAACTGATGATATCCCCAGACTCCTCGTTGTGAAACGTCTGGAAGATGAATGGGTCAGGGATCTGTTGTTGAAGTGAGAAAGAATGTTCTTACAATGGAAGAAGTGGAATGGCGGTGGTGATCCGCCTTGGCCTGAGTGGTGTTGTCTGCAACAATGTGGACTGTGGACAGAATTAGCAAAGTGCCGAGCACAGACGGTTGGTTACCCAACGTCACATACCAAGCATGTTTCCCTTCTTGTCCTGGCGGCCACGCTGGTTGGCGATGTACCCCTGGATGCCAAGATAGAGTACCGTAAGATCCTCGACGGAGTGGTTTTGCGGGTCAATGCCGCGAACTACGCCAAAACCCCTGCCATGATGAATGTCGTCGGCGACGCGAGCAAGGACGGATCCCAGGGTCGGGAGTGGAAAATTGTCTGGACTGACGAGGTCGCCGTCGAGGCCCAAGGCTGTTGTGCGAAAATTGTCAGCGCTCAGGCCGTTTTCCTAGATTTGAGGCGGACATACCTTTGAAGTGCTTCAGAGCAACCATGAGCTCATCGAGGTCGGCGCTGGTGAGGTTGTACGTGTACTGCGACTCTTTGGTGAATTGCGGGCCGGTCCAGGCTGATTCGAGGTCCAGTGTCTCGGGAAAGTTGGTGGGGAGGCCAGGAACGTCCGCGACTGGAGCGTTACAATCGAAGTGATGGATGTGGTGGGCAGCAGATGCTGTGGTAGCACCCATGACCGGACCAACAGCTGTGTACGCCATCTTGCTGATGTGAGAACTGAAAATCGACGTGTTAGAAACCGACCGAGGCGCAGGATGAGTAAGCCATGGCAAGGACAGACGAACCTGTAGGTTTCTCTATTTGATATACTGTTTTGCCGTGTGTTGTTCGCGGGGGTACAGGGCAAAGAAGAATTGCTCTTGAAGAAAGGAAACCCGGATCAAGGAAAGGCTTGAAGTGACACTCGATGGAAGCTATTCGACGACCAACACGTCTTGTGTGTGCGAGGACGAGAGAGTGTGTGCGAAGAGGAAGTTCCCGTGTGGGAGCGGCTGTACGTGCGAGGCAGAGACAGTCTTGTATAAAACCCTGAAGAAAAGAGAAGAGAAAGACGAGGGCCGGAACAGCAACGGTGGCGGGAGAAGAAACTGTTGAGGAAGAGATGGTGAGGTGGTTTCATGATCTGCCAGCACCTAATATACCTTCTCGTGGACCCCCTTTTAGGTAGGAAGGAGACAGCGGCCGCGTTTCCCAGTCGGTGAAGGGAAGGAAAGGAAAGGAAAGGAGCTTGCTTGTCGAGCGGTAAGGCAGGTAGACGATGTGTGTGTTGACGAGGAGGGACAGAAAGACGGACGACAGCGAGATAGCAAGGCAGGAAGCCGATTGTTGTATGGGACCCTGGGAAGGCGGTTACCCGATGCGCGCTTGCCCGCGTGCTTCTGTAGGGGTTTGGTTTGATGGTGACGAAGTAGATGTAAGGAAGGAAGCAGGAAGCAGGACCTCACAAGACGTGAGGTGAGGCACGGAGTACGGGTACCGTGGTTGTGACAACTCCAGGTCCCGTCGAGATGCCGTCCGTGTAGAAGATGGGCTACCTCACATGTGAGCGCGCGGGCGCGGTCGGGAAGCAGCAAGTCGCGGGAGAGCGGCAAGAACAAGGGCTGTTTGCGGTGAGCCAGGCCGTTGGGAGACTGGGGAGAGGAAATGAGACGATGTGATGTGATGCGATGCGAGGTTGCCCGTCAAGACATTTTAAGTCAAGTTGGGAGAAGAAACGGCAGTGAGGTCAGAGGACCAAAGAACGGAAGGGAGATGGAGTCAAAGCTACCTCATGTAAGGTAGGCATGTAGAATTAGAGAAAAAAAAAAGAATAAAAAAAGAAGAATATGGTAAGGAAGGGTTGGAAGGCAAAACTACTACCCAGGTAAGGTAGGTAGTAGGTTGGCTGGCTTGGGGTTGGTTGGTAGGTAAGGTAGAGAGAGAGGTAGGGACGGGACTCGGGAGTGCAGGCGCAATGCAAGTGCAGGTAAGGTATGTGCAAGTGCAGAGTCAAACCAGAGTGCGAATGGAGATTGTAGATGCAAAACCACCCAAGAAAGCAACGAAGCGAGGCAAGAAGAAGAGATCCACGGATGCAGCAAGGAAAATGGAAGTGGAAATGGAAGTGGAAGTGGTACGGTACGGTACACACACACACACTCACACACACATACACACATACACGCCTTCCCCTACCTTGCATTGCTCTGTTCTCTATTCAGTACCTCAACCCTGCCTCGCCTTACACATCTCCTGCAAGCACTTGGCATGGGTCCGTCTTCCCAAACTCAGGGAACAAAATATGGGTATTCACACCTCACCTTCCCAGCCCTGACTATCTTACTTGAGCATTCAAAATCAAGACGTGGGCGCAGAGCATGGATGATCACGAAGCTACCGAATATACAGCAAGCAACGTGCCGAACCGGTGAGCTGTGTTGTATCATTCCGCTAGCCATCTTCCCTGAGGCGTGGTAGCCGACCGGACGGCCCAGTGCAACAACACGAGATGAAATTGCATAGCGACCTCGCAGGCACCCGGCGAAGAAGAAGAAGAAACGAGAAGAGAGGAAAGGAAAGGATGATTTGGGGCTGACCGGGTTAGGCTGGGCCGTGATTACGATGAACGACCTGAATCCAGCATGGGATAGGAATAGAACAAAAAAAATTAAAAGGAAAAAAAAAAGACTTCGATGCGCACGCGCGCACTCTCATCGTCCAACAGCTGTCGCAATTGAAGCTCACCCCAGCTCCATCAACGTCTCAATTCTTTTGCTCCTCGTCCGAGCAGGCATGCCCTTGAATCGTAGGATGGGTGTGTACAACAGAGAGAGTGTGGGAATATTGGATCGATCAAGCAAAAAAAAAAAAAACACGTTGGTTCATGTGAGACTGCGGCGGGGTTCGCAAGAGAAGACTGGAGGGACATTGCATGAGAGGAGCCGGTGGACGAGAGACAGCAGCGTTGGAGGGGCAGATATCCGTAAACGAACCTTCATTGACAGGTCCAGACGACCAATCGCCCGAAACAGAACGGTAACTCGTGGCGAGTCGTGAGGGATGGAGATGAATTGAGCAAATAGACGCAACAAACCGACAGAAAGGATAGAAAATGATACGTGCAAACCGGACAGTCCAGGGTTAATTGACGACGACCGGACGAGCCAGTGGTCCAAGTATGCATGTAGGTATGTGGTGCTTGTACTGTACCGATATGCGCCATCATGTACGAAGTACCTACCGCAGTACGTACGTACAAACGAACGGCTTGCTCGTTTCGCGCTGAGAACGGCAGCCAACCCCGGGGATCGACCCAAACGCACACCAAGAGACAGAAACGACAGAAAGATAGACTTACTCCGACGGGGCGCCTCGTGGTAGCACGGGCGTCTCCTTTGCATTCCATGATGAAATCTTGACGGTGATCGAAGACAAGATGAAAGACCCCTTCCATCAAAGTGGGTAGATAGAGCGACGCTTCCATGCAGATGGAAGCCAGGTAGCGGTGGATACGAGGAGGGATTGCGACGGGGCTCGACTGCATCGCGCGAGAGGGATGTCGACCGTCGTCGACATTGGACGAACATGGATCACCGGCTGCATCACCAACTCTCTTCCTCAGCGGCAGCAGTCGAGCGAGCGAGCGGCAGCGGCAGCGGCAGCGGTAGCAAATAGCGACAGCCGTAGTAGTAGCTACCTACTGCGCATCGCATGGCGAGGTGGAGACAGGGCGTGTATCGAGAAACGATTTCTGATGGCTTTCTCGGTAGGAGAGCCACGTTTTGTGGCGAGCGCCTCTGTGCCAGCGCGATCGTCCCAGACTTGTGAGAGGACGGGGAAGAAAGAAAGAAGCCGGGAAGGAGGGGGAAAAAAGATTGCAAGACGCGACGTGGCTGGAATTGACCAGCCCGGACACGCTTCATGACCATCATGTGTAACCGACACTACAGATAGAAGCTCAAGCATCGGGACGACGACGGGTCGACGGGTGCTCGGGAGCACCAGGCACCGTCGAGCGGTGTGTTTGGCATCGTCTGGCTCGGTAGGCCGGTCAGCCAAGGTGTTTTGTGCGCTCCGGAAGGAAGATTATCGCAAATGACGGCCGATCCGATCTGTGCGTGCCGTGAGTGTGCTGTGCTGTGCTGGAGCGGTTGTTGTGTTGCGCTGCTGTTGATTCCGTCGTGGCCCTAAGCCAAGTTTGGGATGGCGGTAGGCGAGGAGATCAGCGTCCAGTGTGCCCCAAAGGACGGCTACCCGAAGCTGAGGTTCCCTTTACTTCGGCGCATCTCACCAAATCGGCCCTGCTGTTGGTAGCGACGGACGGCGCTTGTCCGACTTTGTTTCGATCTCGAAGGAGTGGACGGGAAGCTGTCCATCAGATAGGGCGGAGGCGAATCGCAGAGGAGGGGTCCTGTCGTGGATCGCATGTTTTTTTTCCAGGTCTGGGTCTGGGATGGGAATGAAGGAAGTGGGGAAAAAAGATTGAGGTATGCAGATGAAAAATGTAGCCGAATGCTCTCTGGTTGCATGCCGAATCGCCTGGGTGGCTGGCTGGTATTGGCAACAAGATCGCAGAAGACAAGCGCCGAGTTGGTGGTCTAAGGTATCCTTGTCGAAACGTGGAGTCGATAGCATGGGTAACGTAACTGATGTCCCAGCGGAAAAAGCAATGAAGAATCGCAGGACGACGACGTGTGGATATGCAGAGACGATGATGCGAGCGAGCACTGGGCACTGGGCACGTACACGTACCAAAAACGAACGTGCATCTTGATTCTTTGGTGTCTGCACATAACTGGAGACACACACACAGGAACCGAGGATAGAATGAGGAAAAAGCAAAGAAAAGAACATGGAGATGGGTGGACCGGGTGCACAATGGAGAAGGACCGACGAGTCAGAGCAGAAAAAAACACAGATAGACGTGTACGGATAGATTGGGAGGAAGGGAGGCTCGTCATCCACTGAACATCGCTCCTGGATGTCGTTGGACTGGATTATCGAGAAGAGTGTAAGGTAGGTAGGTAGGTAGGTTGTCACTTTCCTCCTCCTCAACTCTTCTTCTTTCTGTGCTTGCTTCGTCCTCGCAAATGGTAATTAGGTACCCATGCAAGAGGGGAAGGGCAGGGAAAGGAAAAAAAAAAAAAAAAAAAAAGTACGCAGGTAGCCGAACAATAGGCGAACGGGATGCGGAAGCCGCGATCCCTGACACCGGTTGGGACCTGCACCGTGCACGCCGTCCGGAGGCCCTTCGATTGACGAGTAAGAAGCCGCCCGGTCATCTCCAATAGAAGGGATAGGAAAGTGGGGCCCCGGTACGTATTCCCAGCTTCCGAGTCTCCACTCTCGACTTCACCTCATCCCCCAGCCCACTTCACCTGCCTTTTCGACATCTTTCTCACTCTCGTCGCTCCCCCCCCCATCAACTCCGGAGGATGGCCTGTTATGCAACCCAAGGCACACCCAGCCCGATTCGGGGTTGCGCACCTCACCGGCTCGAATCCGCACCCGCATCGCGCCGTACACGTATTGCCAAGCGTCCCTGTTTCCAATTCCAGCGGCCCATGTATCTGTAGCCACGTTAGGTGGACGGAGGGGACGCCGGGCTCTCCGCATGAGCAGGACGACAGGCAATTTCGGAGGAATGCGAAGAACATGTCGAGTCCAGCGGTATTTCTTGTTCATCTCGTTCTTTTTCTTTTTCTGCCCCTTGGTCTCATCTTCCTGCTCAATCTCGCCACAAATATGGCTCGTGATGGAAAATCGCAATTCTCAAACCAACAGAAAGTCTAGACCGGCATATGCTTCTCCCTCGTCGTGTCCATCATAGAATTTCAACCACACCGCATTCTCCATCTCGATTTCCCGTCTCCCCTGCCCCCCATTCCCATCTCTGTCGACAAGCACCCCTCCCCCCATCAACCATTCCGATCACCCTCATCCTGTCTCGCCCGCCCCTCCCCTTGATCCCCCCAGATTGCCACCCGCTCGACACATTCCGATGCTCGTGTGTATGTATGGATGTGTGTCTGCGGGCGCGCCTGTGTCTCTCTATGGCCATCAGTCCGAGCTGTCTTGTCTGGGATTTAACTTTTTTTGACAGCACTGGCCCGGCCCGCGAACCAGAGATGCAGATGAAAACTGATGAAAAGCGGGGATTTCCACGGCCGGTGAGGCGCTCCTGCGAATAGAAACCTACTCCACACCATCCACGGACCAGACGACTGCAGGACACCTGCAGGACCGGACCCTGTCAAACGGTGCACACGTTGTCGATCGATAACTCATCCCGAGACATGACGATGCTGCCCGCAAAAAAGCTTCAAGAAGAATTGAGACTGGGTAGGCCGACAATGAACAGAAAGAATGGAAGAATGACTTGTACTGGTGGTGGAGCCGAGTGGGTTATCGTACGAAACTCAATCTCAGTTGACGTCTATCTCATTCACATTCTCCGCTTCAGCTTCGGCCCCAACAGTTCCCACCACCGTCTGCATCGACTGCCAACCTGGGTGTACGTTCCGCACTTGCTTCTGAAGAAACACAATCCTAAACGGGTAATGGTATTAGTCTCTTCACGAGCTGCAAGATAACGCAATACATACAACAACCTTCACACAGGCTTGAAAGACCGCATACACTTTTTGATAAAACATTTTTTTCCCTCTTCTCATCATCATCATCATCTCTGTCATCAGCTTTCGCATTCACAGAAAGGAAACAAATCAGGTATCCCGACGATTAGGACTTGCCATAATGCCTTCTCCCTCGCCGCCCGGTGAAGCAAACAGACATGGACAGGACCCCCGGTCGAGAGTCTCGGTCGAAGGAAAACGGTAGAAACCGGCAAGGACACTGGGGGAAAACTCCGCTTCCATGCCAGACGTTGAAACCCAACGACTGCTGTTTTGGCCAGCCCGCATTGCGCCTCTGCACGTCACTGCAGTGCATCCCTCCCTGGTCCCAGAAATGATGCAAAAAAGAAAGGACGAAAACTGGAATACTCCATCCTCACGCCACGGAACGATTTCTCCACCTCGACTCAACTAGCACACCCAGTCTGCGGGCTGCCATTCTCTCTGGAAGAGCTGACTGACGAAGAAGTAAGGCTGATCGTACGCCTGGGCATTCAACCCGTCCCATTCGCGTTCTGGTTTTTGCTCTGTCAGTCAACAGTCCACTCAGTCTGTGCGTCGTGGGAGCACAACAGCATCATTTGGCAGATGCCTGGTCGATTGGGATGGCAAACACCCTTCTGCTCATGAGGGAAAAGAGGTGAATACTTACTGTGCTCCATGACCTGGGCACGCGTCCACTGGACAAAGCGCACCGCCTGCTCGTCAAGTTGCGCCAGTTGTCGCAAGTCCTGTTCTCGACACTCTTCGGTAAACGGTACAGTTCCCTTGTTGCAGTAGTGAAAGTATGACAGGAGAATCACGCCTCCTGCTCGCCCATTATTCGTCAGCATGTCTTACCCAACAAAAATATCAGGAGTAGTGGACACGGCAAATAAAACATCGCCCCATCCCGTTTGCTCACGTACCTCGATGGTATTCCCTAACTTCGGCTTCGCGCGCAAATCTCGTCTGTCAAGAAGGTTACCAGTCAGAAAATATGTTCAGTCGCGACCAGCAACATCCCGATATCACTGGGAGATTTGTCATCAATAGATCCTACTCACCTTCATACCGTGCTTTTTGGCGTACGAGGCATCGTGGTTCGTGAGAAGAGCAATGTTGTGAAGCAGGATGAACGTCACCAGGTATGTCGTCAACCATGTCTTGGGCTTGTTTGCATGAACCATCTTCGAAAGCTTCTCCAGCATCTCCCTTCGAAGCCGTGTCTGGATCTGCTGAATGAGGACCAAGTCCAGCTGAGCACCCATGACCGGCGGCAGAGGAATCCTTCCATGTTGAGGGCTCGTCTTGTCCAGAATACCGCGGTCCATCCCGAGCGTCTCGTTCCCCACGATCTCCACCGACTTCGTCGTCAATCGAACCGCTACCCAGAGTTCCAAAGTCTGAGTCAAAAGCTCTCGCTCCTCGGTGGAGACCCGCGGGTCTTGCGACAGCTGCCAGGCCATACGGTAGGTTTCGAAAAGGAGGCGGTCCCTGGCGCCCATTACGCCCTGAATGACGGAGCTGAAACACTCGACGACGCCTCTCTTGATGTACTCTTGGTATGCTGATTGAGCCTCGTCCAGATCCGTGATGGCGTATGGGGGGATCGGGACAGACTTCTTGACACCCTCTGGTGTATACCAGGATCTTTCCAGCCTGTCGCCGTTCTGCGGTATGAATCGGCGCACATGAAGCAGTACCGACATGCCATGCGTGTAGCCCTCTGTCACTTGAATCGTCTTGACCTCGGACGATGCCCAGTTCGCGATGTTGTCAAGGGGCCCATTCTCCGCCCAACGCAGCGTCCACTCGTACCCGTGCACCTGGCCTGGCTTGAAACATTTGACGTCTGTTATCTTGACGCGCATACAAGGCATTCGATTGATGTGCTTGTGGTTGCTGTTCGCTTTGGGCTTGCACGTCATACACCCACCCGACGGATCTTCAGGATCTGGAACGCACTGATGACATTGTTAGTGACACCAAACACGGCAGTTGAATGGCAAATGACGGTCATAATGGTCTTTTACTTACGCGTATTCTTTGCAGTTTGCATCGCATACATGATCCCGTCTTCCTCGTGTTCGCGGTCTCTTGCCGTTGCTTGATGTCCTTGAAAGGGCCACGCTTGGAGGCTGGAGGTCGCTGATGAGAGTAGACGATGTCGAGTCTGGCACCTGCGGCCGAATGGCCCACATCCTCGCCCTTTACCTCCATCTCCTGCGTCATGTACTGGCAACCGGAAGGTAAGGAAGCCAGGTCCCTCTGGTGCTGCATTGTTGGAGGGAGGGGGGGCCCGATCAAGCTGCCATCGAAGGGAGCTGACATCAAGTCAACTGCAGGCGCAGAATGGCTGGCGGAATGGCTGTTGACGTTGGACAGGTTTTGGGAATCATCAGGACCAGAAGTGTTAGGGGCATTAGTATAGTACGAAACCTCCGGGATATCAGGAGCATAAACCAAGTTGTCGGGCACAACGGGTGGTGCTGCCATTCCATGGCTGGGGCTTTCTTGCACAGGCTGAAAGTTGGCCACATAGTTGCTCATCATCTCAGGGCCTTCATTGGGGTAGTTGGTTCCGTTTGATGCGACGGTCGTAGGTATGTAAGCCTCTTGCTGAGAAACATCGGCCGAAGGTTGTTTCTCAACCTCGTAACCGCTGGTAGCTCCGTACTCAAAGGTGTTTGGCGCCGGTATGAGTTGATACCCTGACAATCTATGAACAAAAGATCAACAATAGGTGTTAGGTACGATAGTACATACCATCTGGGATATGAAATGCATTTGGGGTGAAGCAATTCTGACAGCACCCAAAGATGTTTGCCAGTCCTTCCGCTAGTCCACTGGCAAGACCGGGACCTTGGAAAGCCGACGACGACGGGCCCGCGTCCAACCCAGCGAGATGCTGATGGCCATAGTGCCCGGCCGCTTGGGACTTTTCCGAAGATTCTTGTAGTGAGTTGCCGGGAAAGTGAGAAGACATTGAACCGTCGGGCAGTGGCCTATGCCTTTTGCTGGGATGATCAAAATATGATTCGTAGTAAGCTTGGATGGCCAATTGGTGAAGTTCGATGCCACGAAGATAGTACAGTGAGGCGACTTGATCGAGACGTTGTTGATCATGGGGCTCAAGAAAGCAGAAGTTTTCTGAGATTTGTAGTACGGGCGGTGAGCTCAGTTGTGTTGACACTATGGAAGAGTCGTGCTCGCCGTTGTTATGAGGCCGGCGCCTCTTGAGAGTATTTTGATTCTAAGATAAAATCAATTCACCGCACATTTGGGTGAAGGGTAGACGAGGAAGGGGGCGTGATCAGCAAAGAGGGAAAAGCCAGGTCTAACAGAAAGATATGAGGGGACGATGTGTGTGTAATGATGCGGGTGCTAGAACAGCGGCTGGGCTGGAAGGACATTGGGGAAGATCGGTGATATATCCCATGCACGCTGCCGCAAGCCGGAAAGCAGGGACATCTCTTACCATGATTGAATGCAACGAGAGAGGGTGTGTTGGACAGAGCCTAGTAGCGAGACGAAGTACCACAACCGGTGGCGTGTATAATGTATAGCAGAGACAAGCAGCGCCGGCGGCAGCAATAGCAGCAACAGCAGCAGCAGAAGCAGGCAGGAGTGAGCAGGCACAGCGAAGCACAAGGGCAGCGTTGAAAATTGCGCCTCACCGGGGAGGGGGTGGGGGAGCTACGGTCTCACGAGAGCCATTGCCACATAATGGCACCCCTTGTGCGTGAGTGGAGTACTGGAGAGAGGGCAAGGTAGGTAGGAAAAGGAGGAGATGGTTGATGACTCGGCGAGAAACACCAAGCGGAGGAATGAACAAGTCAGTGTAGGGGAAAAGAGGAGTGAAAGCGATCAGTAGGGAGTCGGGCTAGAATGGGGAACTGTGAAGAGCGACAGAGACAGACAGAGACAGAGAGAGACGGGCCCTGTTTGACAGCAGATACTCGGCCGAAACGGGGGGAAACAACGAAAGGAAAAGGCGGCAGGGCGAGTCTGCGCTGCGTATCGTCTGCGAGTGAGGATGCTTGAGTGCTGGCAGCGGTATGTCGCTCTTGCTTCTAAGTGCGTCTGCTTGTGTTTCTCTTTCCCGCGTCCGTTGAGGTCCTTGTCGGCCTTTCGCCGTGGTCGCGACGTGCTTTTTTGGTCGTGGCCTGAGCCGAGATGTGTCTCGCTATCTCGCCTGCTCGAACAGATCTTGGAGCCGTTGGGGTTATCGTCGCTCGCTTTGTGCAATGTCTCCTGCGGTGGACCACGGTTGCGCGCGCGTGCTGGTTGAGATCACAGAGCGTGCCGATAGAGACTCTGTTACTGGCGATTGCAATAGCCTGTGCTGGTCGGTCGGTCTGGTCTGTCGAAGGAGTCAAGGCTGAAGTGAGAAGACTCGGTGAGAGAAGTTGAGGAAGTGGGCTGCACCCGTGCTGAATTGTATTTCACCGGTCTGAGGGGTACTCATGAAAAGGACAGGGGTCCTTGAGACCACGCCACGCGAGAGGAGGAGCCGAGCATCTTCCCGCCCCTGCCGAATGGATGGATTTCAGGCTGCCCGTCTGAGGGAACCAGACAGCAGGGGTGGGGAGGAGGGCGCCATGGTACCGAATGTTGTGAATGCTGCTGATCTTTTTTTCTGCCTCAGCGTCTTTTGCTTGTGTTACCAACAGCTGCTTGTTTGCTCTGTTCGCCCGTGTGCCTGCTCTTCGGCGAGTTCAAGGCAGCGCCAATAAGGCCCAAACTTTCTTCCCGCTGTTGGATCTGCTGATACCATGATCATTTCCTGACATGAGCACCATCATGTCATCACTGAATAGTGAGCGTATCGTGGCCTTGGGATTGGTATCGGCTCGCTTCGGAATGCGGTTGGTTGCTCAAGGCTAGGCATCGTCTAACATGTGGACTTTCGGGTGCGAGTGCTTACGTGAAGTTGTCATTAATGACCCCATGCGGGCGACGACGTGATCTGACTAGACGAGGGGTCACATAATCCATCGCCCGGCTAGCAAACTGTGTTGTGTTACCAGCAGGCCGAGGCAGCCAGCATATCGCGTGCGGCAAACCAAGCGCCCCCCCAATTTGGCTCACTGATCACTTGTTGGTTTCCAATCTGACCTCCACGCTTTTTGACGTTCCATCGGAGAGCGCCACAGTCCCGAGAGTCTGACACTTCACCTCCTTGTCTAGGCCGGCAAGTCGCTTGAGCAGCTCAAGGCAAAGAAAGAGGTGTGCGTGTGCGCCCGTTGCTTAGTGGGTATACCGTACGAACATGTAAGTTGAGACGAGCCTCGTCGTTCGTTTTCTTGGGTGGGAGTGCCTCTGTTGCAATCAAGGAGCTGTCACCGCTTCGTAAGAAGGTGTAGTAGACGCGGGCTTTTTGATACCGATGGAAGCGTCCTTGGAAAGCACGTTGTGATGGCCCCCTGCAACCTCCACCGTAGCCGAGATGGACACGACACTGGTCCCAGAAAAACGGTCGGCCAGAATCTTGGGGAGAGACGCTTCATCTCCGTGTTTTCGGATCGTGGTTGCTCGGTTGGCCGGAACTCGACTGCTCATTGGTTCGAGCCCAGTCTATCGGTCGATCGGTCAGGCTGTTAGTCGACAATGTCTGTGGCTCGCACATGAAATAGGAGCAATTAGCACCCGTCACACATCGCCCTAGACGATGATGTAGCCGTTCAGGTCCAGTAACCGGGTGTGCGTCCACAAGGACGACCAACGCAGTAGTCGTTGCCTGATCCCACATGGCCCGGCTGCGCCGCTGCTCTAGTCCATCAGGCGAACCACCAGGTGAAGAGCCCTGCCGATTGTCGAAAAAAAAAAGTGAAGCTTGCAGGATGCGTACTTTCGCATCTCGACAGCCCCATGTCTGGCCAAATGGCCTTGACCGCCGTTGACGTCCCCTCTCGTGTCTCACCTGTGGCTAGTCGGTCGCTAGACGATGAGTGATTCGATCAAAACGATTAGACAATCCAGGAATTGACCACAACGACCTGCAGGTCGCCCGTCGATTCCAGAATAGTACCAGCCTGCGTGTTCAATTTTCTCAGCAACGAGAAGTTGTCCCCTTCTGGAAATCGCATGTGTCGACCCGTTGGGCAGTCGACAAGGTGCATGGTGCGGACCACGCAAGTTGGTGCCGGCAGAGAGCAAACATCCCCCCTCCCGTCTGGAAAAAAAAAATCTGTCGGTCAACGGTTTTGGGCTTTTCCACTGGCAAGGGCGCCTGTCGAGTGCAGGCCCTGCATGCGTGGCCGCCGCCAATAACGATTGCCTTAGTTGATGCAGCTGATGAGGTCAGGGAAACAACCACTGATGGCCTCGTATCAAATCAACATCCGACGTTTCTCTGCATGAAGCCGTACCAGTTGTGCGAGGCGAAGTGAAGTGAGGTAATGTGCTCCGGCCGCGCGAGGAACTTGTAATCAATCCCTGAACCAAGCCTTGTGGCCTGCCGGGTACGAATAGACAGAGTTTGTCTTGTCTTGCCGGCGACAGCAACAGCGACAGCGACAGCGGCCACAGTCAAAGCTGCCAGCAGTAAGCAACAAGCAAGCATCGGGAGGGGCAATGGCGTAGTGGGACGCAGGATACCGTAGCTGGTTTAAGCTCAAATGGGTAACCGGTGAGCTGGGAGCGTATTGTGTGGATGGGTACCCAACGAGCCGAGAAACTCGATCCGCAATGGAACGAACAGGCCTGGAAAAGCCTGTCGACCATCAGATGACAGGGCGTGTGTGCTGCTGTTGTTGCGTGGCCCACTCGCACAGAGAAACACGTCAATTGACCGTTGCCAACTGGCTTCTTCTCGTACTCTGGCTGCTCTTCCTCGCCGGCTTGAACACGTCTAGAACGAACATCGTGTCCGACGACTTTTAATTTCGATTGCGGGATTTGGTTTGGCGTTTAGCAGCGGGGGGTTCCGAAACAGGGTGCCCACAGCCGCTCTGCGATTAGTCGGCGTCTTTTGAATTGACGAATGACCGTCGTCGGGATCGAAGTCCGGTCTTCAAGAGCTAAGGTATTATCAATGATCAACTCTCTCGGCGCGAATGCCAAGACCATCAAACAGCCCTCAACAGTGGATAGTTGGAAACGAACGTCCTTGATTCACTGCCAAGAACGCAAAGTAAGCCATGGCATCAGTATGATTGCCATGTCAACCTGGATTCCGGAAATATCAGATGGCAGCGGAAAGTCTCTGGGTTGATTTGTGTCCGTATGAACAGGCGACAACCCTGAAGGTACAGATCTAGAGCCTTTGTCAACCCCTTTGTGGGTTTCCGGTCAAGTCGAAATAACCTACATTGTTCCATAGGTAATGTCAGTGCAGCCGCACTTGCATGGACCGCCTTTTGGCGGAAGAGGTTCCGTTGCCCTAGCCTCCGCCGGAGCAAGGATTTCCTTGCACGCCGGGGATGCTAAAACGGCCGAGCGGGCGGACGGGGGACTCGGGTGCCAGCATCGGCCCATGGCATGCAGTGGATATATCCACCCGGTGAGAAGGAATATCAGACAGCCGGCGAGTTCTGTCGTGCGGAGAGTAACTTGCTCGACAACGAGCGTGGAGACTGTAGGTCGCGCGCGTATTGCATTTGAGGTGGCTGGGAACTGAATCATTTGTCCGATTGGAAGGGCAGAGACAGAAAGATCAGGTCTCGTTGCTGCGGCGCGGTGCCGTGTCCAATTCGAGGCCCGGTGAGAACCTAGCAGTTGCCTTCCGAGATGCATGTCGGCGTCCACGGCGTCTGGGCTCGGTCTAGACGTGATGAGTTCTCGGAGGGATTGTTGAGGAGGACGGCACGGACGCCATATTCCACGTGTCGAGGAGCAGAGAACGGGGCTTGGACGTTGACTTTTGACGCTGTCTCCCTCACCGGGGCGGCGTGGCCCGTGAGGCCATCTCCGTGAGTACTCGGTACCAACCCCCAAAGATGGCGGTGCCGGCAGTGGCCAGAGCCTCTCAACCCCCCACAGGATCTGCAGGTCGATGAAGGAGAGCCAGCGAGTGGTGTGATGAGCTTGCGGCTTGCAGCGAGGAAACAGCGATTCAGCAGAACGATTGACGGGCCAAATAGAATTGTTGAGGGCGACTCACAGTCAACCGGGACTGTATGTCCTGCGAGGCGAGGGGGATGGCCATGACCTTCAAGAGGGTACTGGCATCGGATTCGAGCATGAGAGGTGACGTTTTTCATTGCTGGAATTGCCTCGAATGATCTCACGGATCGCCAAATGTCGGGGTGCCTATCGACCAGGTGAGGTCAGGTAGGTACGTCAAGAGAGCTGGAGGTTGCATGAGGGCGTTGGGCCTGAGGTGGAGGTCAGGATGGCCAGAACGACGGGACAGAAGATGCACCTGAGATCGGATAGAAGCTCCTGGAAGGTGGAAGGTAAGGGAGGAACCCCGGAAGGGTGAGTGCTACCGAAGGAGAACGGGACGGCAGGAGCGCTCCAGACTCTGTCTCTCTCTCTCTCTCTCTCTCTCTCTCTCTCGGTACGGGGAAGGAGGGCAAGGAAGGAGCTGGAGAAGAAAGGACCTTCAACCATCCATCATCACGTGGGATGCATCCCAAATCTCGCATCCGAATGCACCATTGAACCTTCCCAGCCCGTTCAGCTTCGACATGAGATGGGCGTTCCTGGCACTTTGCCTGGTAGAGGCAAGTTCGAAGCCGGCAATGCGCCTACCTTACCTACAACCTAACGCGAGGAAGGTACCTACCTACCCTTCCGGTAGGTCCTCTGCCCGCCTCGCCTTCCCGCACTTTCTCTACCTAAGGTAGGTAGGTACCTTGGGTAGTTTTGGCTCGCACTTTCCCGACTCCCATTGCCTACTAACCTCCACTTGGTTAGGTAGGTACATTCCGGTTGACTCGTTCATCTGTTCTTTCTCTTCCCGATGCCGGCAGGAGCACCCCACTTCATGCTACATCAGGTACATACTTAGTAGTATCACCTTCGATATCGTACATATGCGCCTTGCATTGGGTGGTTGGTACCTACCTTCCCTTGGGAGGAACAGGAACGGCAGGATAGGTTTCTCGAGGCAGGTGGGTGCGGATACCAAAGACACCTCCACTACCTCCTGTCCCTTCAGGCAGGTAAGGAAAGGACCGTCCCGTGTCTGCCCGCCTAACATGACGATTTCCAGGTTCATATCGTCCGGTTTTCTCTGCCGTACGGTACGGAGTACCCGCGATTTCTGCTTAATGAAGCAGGCGCATAACGGCTATGCATCAGCACGGCGGTTCAAAAGTACCGTGCCTTCCATTCCTTGATGTAGGTAGGTACCTGAGTTCCAGTGCCAACCTGGTTTGGTCTCAAAGCACAGGGCAGCCGTAGGTACTGGACTGACGATCTTTTCACCCAGGGCGAAGATGAAGACCTGGCAGTGTTTTCCTTCCTTCTCCAGACGGACACTCCCGTGTCTTCCATGCAGTAAGTGCTTGGTCGGGATATGTTTGAGACCATCTGGAGGTCGATTCCACCGAGTCAAACCCCGATGTCCATGTCCACGTCCACGTGCCTTCCTTCTTTCACAGCCTGGGCCGGGCTAATGCCATCCGAGACCGTTTCCATCCTTCGTTCTGGTTGCGAATGGGCGTCAATCACGGATACATGCAGCAATAAAGAGAGGTATTCCATTTGGACCCGTCCATCTTTCTTTTTTTTTTCCCCCCCCGACCGTTGACAACTGATATGAGAGTCACTAGATCAGTCTATCAGCCACAGGCGGTCCGATTACGCGGCCGTCAATATACGCTGCCTGGTGGCTGGCCACCTCGCATCCCGACTGGAGTCTGTCATTTCTCACATTACTCATTGCTTTCGGTCTTTGACCAACAGAATGCCTCGTGAATGACCAGCGGCTGCAGCGGTTCATATCTGCAGTGTGTGTGATGCATCCTTAACCGGGGCTTCATCTCAACCACATTACCCAAGTTAGAAGGCACTTGCGGCAATCAAGTCGCATAATATATTTGTATGTGAATATGTCCGCACTTGCGGCGGCCATACCAGCCTCTTGTTACTTGATTAAGGCAAGGTACTCAGGAAACGCATCTCGCGGCGAAGGCGAACGGACTGCGACGGCCGTTGGACTGCAGAAGTGAGGCGGTTATGAAGAGGAAAAAGAAACGGTCCTGGAAGTAGCATCGTCCAAACATGGAAAAGCTGCCTTGGCACCAGTTGCAAATTAATTCGTCCTAGCCTTGACCAGATTAACTATTCCCCGCCTTCAAAGGTATCATATTTCACCTTACCCAAGTCCGTTCAAATTCTTCCAATGCGTGGATAGGTAGGTAAAGTAGGTTGAGTAAGGTAAGACACATTGGCATCGCCAAGCTCAAGGACGATAGTCTGAAAGTGGCTTGCCGCGTTGGAAGCTGACTTCGTCTGACCTCATTCAAACGCCCACGGCGGCGGCTCTTACCTTAGCAAGTCGATGCCAATTAAGGTCCGGAGTCAGCTTACATGCGAGGCGGATAGGCAACCGGTCATGTGTGGACAGCTGCAGCAGACCCCTCCATCTTGGGAGGACCCATCCAGACCAACTCTTTCCTGACTACCTACCTACCTGCCTACCTCCACGTCCCAACCTACCTACCTCCCTTCACATCAACATAAGGTGGATATGTTCGTCATTTTGCGCACCTCGGGTCGAAGCTCCCTCCGGGTCGCATCGAGGTTCCATCAACCTAGCATCGGGGGCCAGGGCAACCAACTCCGATCTCACCATTCGGTCGAACCAACACGGCTTTCCCTGCGCTCGCAGTCAGCCCTCTCGACCCCAGCCAATCAGGTCAGCTCATTGCGTCTATATGCAGCTACGTGCAGGAAAAGCACACAACACACAAATCGGAACCCGGCATCATCATACAAAATCCCCACGTCCACGATCACGCCCAGGAGAAGCTGTAACCTCCCTCCCTGGTCTGCTCGCCAACTGCACCACTTTCCACCCAGCACCTGCGTGCCGCTTGGTGCAACATTACCCCGCCGCCGCTTGATGTTTCTGCTGCCGTTGCTACGGATAGACCTCCCACACGTTTGCGCCGGGCCAGTCTAGGAGAAGGCGCGGCAGATCCCCCCGCTGCCTCCTTTTCCTTCGCCAGCGTGCCAACTGCAACATCGCACGATACGACCGCATCCAGATTTCCTTCGGCGATTAACCACTTGATCACCCCGTCCTCCCCCCACGCGTTACCTGTTGCTCGCGCTGACGTTGACTGCCACAACTTCAGTCAGTGACGTGGAATTCTTCACCACCGGGTCTTATACGCTATTGGACGACTCACAATCATCTATCTCAGACATTTGATAACGTTGCAAGATGGAGTTGGCGTCGGACATAATCAACGACATCATTCACCCTACGGCTGCCTTCTCTGGAGCTTCACAACATGAAAACAACCATCACGACATTTCCGATACAAGGCAACGCCCATTGGCAGACTGGGAGACTTCGCAGCTCAATCCCAAAAACCGAATCGACAGTCTCGATCCTCTGCCCGACCCCCTATGGCGCATTGATGGTTGCACGGGGCTCGGAACCCAGTTCTACGTGCTGCCGTTGTTCCTGGGTTCCATACCCCCGATGCGAATCGATGCCTTCATACCAGAGCAGTCGACACAGACGCAAGAAGTTCGAGATCTACTAGACCTAGACGTCGCTTTCCACACCAGAGATCGTACACGAATCCAACAACTCAGCATTACCAAACACATTCTTCGTACCCTACAGCATTGGACCAGACAGCTACCCGATCGCAACTCGCTCTTCACGTCAGTGCCGTTCGGGTCTCGAATCGTCTTTAAAGATCTGTCTCTTGACATAAGGGCCATCGAGGTCGAAGTTGCCCCGACTTACTATCTTGAACGACAACTGCTCTCATCCTCTGCTCTGTCTGCCATGTGGGGCCCCGACGTCAGAATGCCCGAGTGTATCGACTTTTCTGAAGTCCACGTGGTCGAACAGGTTCACGACAGCGTCTGCCTGGTTCGCATACGGGGTGACTTGTGGATTCTCAAGGCGTTGACCAGTTACACCAAATATCTGTACCACGAGATGAAACTTCTGTTGTCAGCGAAGCCGCACCCGAGCATCATGTCACGGCCAGCTCACCTCGTCACAAAACAGTGCACCTTCGGCAGCAAGGTAGCGGTGCTTGGCTTCACTCTTGAGTTCCACGAATATGGCACCATGAGGGATATCGTCCCATTCTTGCAGGCCAGCAACACATTGACACCGCTCGAACAGTTCAAATGGGCCACGCAGATCGCCTCCGGCGTGCTACATTTTCGGCAAACTTCCGGCACCTTCTATCCTGATCTTCGTCTCGATAATGTTGTCTTGTCAAAAGATCGAGATGCCGTCATGGTCGATTTTGAGCAACGTGGTGTATGGTGCGAGTTCGCATCCCCTGAAGTCAACGCCATCGAATACATCCGCATACTCGCCACCGACGAAAACATGCCCGACGAACACAAAGACCGATACATCGAGATCCTGCGAGGATTATGCCCGGACTTCGAGTCGCTCCAAGACAGGGAGGAGTACACGAACCCCGCAAACGGCTACAACATCTGTTGGTGGAGTCTGAGCCCCGAGGAGCAAGAGGCCTCGGAGGTCTACATGCTCGGGAGAGTGCTGTGGTGTCTCTTCGAAGGTGCGGGCTCGCCACAGCAAGCCTCCATTTGGCAATCCTACCGTCGAGAGGCACACATCGAGTTCCCAGCCTACCTAAGAACGCCACCCAAACTGAGGGCTCTGATTGATCACTGTACCCGGGGTCGACGAGCCACTCTGAATAGCAGAATCGTCCGGAAGGGGAGCAAGATGGCGTTCGTGGACGCCGAGGAGGGCGAGGAAAAACAAGACATCAAGAAGGCCGCCGCGGCGTGGTGGAAGAAGGAGATCGCATGGGCAGAAGACTTCCTGGCCACGAGAGACAGGCTGCGAGGGGAGGGACGGTGGAAAGAAAACCACTTCGACAGGCCCTCGTTGCGCGACGTGCTGGACCAGCTAGAACAGCTTCAGAAAGAGATCTGACAATCCGCTAGAAGATGATGTACACTTGACGATGTAACTAAAACGGGAGGAAGCGAGATGAGTTCGAGACGCGTCATGGTATGTGTTATTTAGCTAAGCAAGAAACTCCCCGCAACGATAGATATACATAAACTCGGAGATATGAAGACAAGAAGGAGGTGTGCAGTTCGGCCCCGTTTTCTATGTACAACGGAAGAAGAAACCGCAGTCTAGACAAAGGAATCGTACAGTACATATGGAAACCCTTCCAAGGATATAGAAGAAAAGGGTTGCCGCAAAAAAGAAAAATAGGAAACCAAAAAGAGCCAAACGTCGCAGACAGCCGGCCGAGAGAAGTAAAGTATTGGTAGGAAGCCGGCCCCCTTTTGCCAAAGTCAAATCAAGGGAATCAATCACCTCATCCTCTTGCTGCCTCGATCGGGGCCCTCGCTCTGGCGCTTCGACCCGGCAGCAGACGTCGCCGAGCTCACGCTGGCGCCCCTCCTCCGCCTGCGCATCCGCGACAGGAGCGAGCGGAACTTTGCGACGTAGCTCGCCGGCGCGCCGCCGACGCCCAGCTGCTCTTGTATGTCCTCCAACGTGAACAGGAACGGGGCCGCCGCGTCGGGGGGCAGGAGCTCCAGCACGCTCAGCACGAAGCCCTCGTCGCGATCTCCCACGAGGCGGAGGTAGAGGTTGCGATCCTGGCGCGGGATGGAGGCCGCGGCGGTGGCTGCGGTGCCGGGCGGCACGAAGTCCCTGTTGCGCTCGACGACGCCCGAGAGGATGTGGACCAGCGTGCGGGCGGCGCTGACGCGCTCCCGGCTCTCGAGGGGCCGCTCGCGCTTGAAGATCGCGGCGCGGATAAGGCCCACCACGCCGGTTATGTGGCGGGCGGCCCAGGCGACGTCGCGCGGGCCCTCGGTTGAGGTGGTCGGGGCAGGGGCGCCGGCGGCGAAGGCGTCGAGTTCGCGCAGGACGAGGTCGACGCGCTGGGAGAGCTTGCGGAAGGTGTCGTTGACGGGGTCGGTTGGGCGCATTTTGGAGAGGAAGTAGTGGAAGAACTCGTCGTTGGCGAGGAGCATGCGGAAGATTGTCGCCTCGAGGTCGTTGCGTTTGATGGGCCTCTTCTTGCTCTTGGAAGGGGATGAGGAGACCAGGTCCGGACGGAAGTCCTCCGGAGCGGTGTAGTTGATGGCGGAGAGCATCTCGCGGATTTCTTGAACACGATGGGGGACTGCTTTGCCCCGGGTATCTTCGTTGTCGCTTTCGTCGGACTCTGAGGAGTCGTCAGAGTCGCTGGTCGTTTCCGACCCCTCTCCCGCTCCGGTAGTAGGGTCATAGGCTTTGCAATGGAAGCCATCAGCCAGGACGTCCAGATGGAAGGTCGAGATGTCCGTGTAGGGGTTGCCAATCTCTTCCGGATAGCCACCCGGTGTCATGGTCAGCGGGGACGATGGGTCGTGGTCGTACAACGTCTGCTTGGCAAGCTGGTCTAGGAACCAAAGCAAGTGCTGGCAAGGAGGCGCGTTCCCTCGCATGCATGAGCAGTTTGGCGTCGGCCAGCGGCTGTCCGGAGATCCAATGCGAATAGAGCGGTGGACGAGCTCTGTCATCTGAAAGGCGTAGACGTTGTCTTGGAAGAGCAGGCCCGATTTCAGGTAGAGCCGCGGCGGGTGGTTGAAGGTATCTCGGACCCGCTCGCGAGCTTGGGGCGAGAGGTGTTCGAGGTTGTATGTGAGTCTCGAGGGGGATGTGACGATGCTAGGCTCGTCTTCCTCCTCCTCCTCGTCATCGTCGTCGTCTTCACTCATGGCGCTGCTGCCCGAAGCGCTTTCGGACTCGGAGCTAGAGTCATTGATTTCGGAAGAGGTTTGGAGCGACTGCCGTTGAGCCTGCGATCTGGTTGTGGGAGGCATACTGGTGAGAGAGAGCTCTCTGAACTTGGAAACGGGAACGGGACTGGGAGAAGACATCAGGCTGAGAAGGTGTGGCAGAGTCCTATATGCTTCCTGGAGACTGCTCTTGCTTGGGTCTCCATGATGACACGTCCATCGACTTCTTATAGACAGGCGCAATGAGGCATATGCCGGAGTAGGGGCGGGCAAGGGGCTGAGTGAGGCCAACGATGAAGAGACCCAAAGAGAGAAGACGTTGGCGATGCCAGATCTTGTTGGAACAGGGTAGAAAGAGACCCAGAGAGACCTCAAGGCCAATTGCTCACGCGAGTGGTGGGCGCCAAGTTCCGTGGAGATGATATGGGAGGGGGTGGGATACGCCGTAAAAGGCGCGATGGCGAAAGTGAGGGCAGCTACTGGCTGGCACCCCCCTGCGTCGAGGAGCTGATCTGATCAGATCACCTTCTAGAAAGAAACAATTCCATTTTCTCGCCGTATCTTCGCTGGCCTTACCGCAACACCCCTGGCCCCCTAAAGGACTGTCATCCCGGGATAGGTGATGGTCGGTGGCCCGGAAAATGGCGCCGACATGTAGTTGGGCAGCGGGTGACTAGAGTTTGGGGTTGTGAAACCAGATCAGGTGGTTTGTAGAAGCTTGGAAGCGAAGCCAGCGCTCGAGACTTCGGACGCGCGCTGACGGCGGGCATGGGAGCCCCGGTGTCTCGGCAGCTTCGACGCATGAACAATGAGATAATGATTCTGCTTGACTTTAGCCGTTGGAGGTACCTAAGGTAGGGCAGCACTTGGGCCAGTGGAGATGGGCAGAGAAACAAGTGAAGAACGCTAGGAGGGATTGGACGTTGTAACGGCTTCGAAGAGACCAACGACTTCGTATAATTCCGGCTCTGTGGTTCGTCAGAGTGCGACGACGACCCGAACTTGGGTTGTCGAAAGAGAGGAAGTCGAAGTTGAGAGTTGGCGTGATCCTTGTCCGAATAAAGTGAAGTGGTTAAAAGTGGAGACACCGCACGGCCGACACCGAGGTACCGAGGGGGATATCCATGGATGGTCCCCCCGTACCATGGTAGAAATCGCTCCTGCACCTCGACCAAAGCTCAGGAATTAGCTTATCTAATCGGCGCTTTTCCAGAGGCTTGACCGTTGAATCGAGTTTTGCCTTTCAGCCACTGCTTCCCTCTCTGAGACAGCACTCTCATTGGTCAACTATCGCCGTCGGCCGCTGGTGTAGGGCGGGATTGGCCTCCCTCTGGGCCGCCCAAACGGGCCGCTGGGGACCCACCGAACTACACTGAAAGCGGTCCGCACAGCCCCCGATGGCCGCCGAACGGGCCGGCTGTCCTGGTCCGAACCTCCACCTTACTTCCTCTCACTTGCGGTCTTCGGGGGCCTTTTTTAGACTCTCAGCCGTTCACAGCCTTTCCTGGCCGCATTCCACGCGGCCCTAGACTGGACCTCCGTCCGGCAAGCCATCACATTGACCTCACAAGGCTTTCCATCTTGCAGTGCTCCTCCGCGATAGCGCCATGTCGATGAGTCTTCCAGAAAAGCCTTACTGCTGGCTCAGAGGGTAATACAGACGGCCAGTCCGACCAGGTGGGCATATGCCGACCACAATTATGACTCCAGAACTATTGACAGTTGGCATTCCACCGCCCCCTCACACCGTCATTGGTCCCAGTCTACCGGATTCTAATCAAATTATAGATCAGGCAGCGATGAAGCCCTCGCTGTTGGTTCGATGTTGCGGTGCGGCTGACATTGAGATATGAGCCTATGCACCATCTTCTGCAGAGGACGCAGCCAAGCTCTTGTGATCTGAGACGTAGAAGACAGGAGACTGCAGAGGTGGAAGGGGTTGTCCTGGATCATTCATTGGCTGTGTGGCCGCGTTCATGATGACAGGGCTATTCATGGATATGTTGAAGTTCTATGGTTCGAGGTAAGTTCATGCTGGCAAACGGGCGGCGCCTATGGCGTCTCGACTGACTTGCCGTCATAGATACCGGGGTTTCCCATGACATCTCTCTGCTCCCCCTGGCGATGACACATGCCTGAACGAGTAAGACCGCTGGACCTCTATAGAGAAGTAATCTCATGTGGCTCAAGGGCAGCTTTCTACAGACCAATGGGGTCGAATAACTCCAAAGAGTCATCGAACCCGTGCCCGTTTATGCCGAGCTTCCTGGCATTGGAGGCCCCTCATTCTTCAAAGCAGTCTAGGGCGCGGTATGACACTGACGAATAGAGACAGTCCTTTCAACCAACTCTCACCAAACCACTATCATGATAGCAACTAGCCAAACGATAAACGCTCCATGGCTTCCGATTCCTCCTCAAGTCACTCGTTTAGGCCGCAATGACGAGCTATCGGCTCCACCAAGGTTGTAATCTTCTGGAAAACAGTCGCCCTGGCAGGATATCATCCTCGACATCGTCACCCACCAATACATGCGACCATACCCACTGGAGAACTCGGGATCCCGTCCGCTCTCCCATCGATAAACCAGTGAGGGCTGGAGTAGTAGTCGGGTCGGTGACGACCGGCGAATGCCCAGTGTTGCATGTATTTTTTGACAAAAAGGTTTTGTCGGTTTGACTGATGATTTCATCCGTACGACTCTGCATAGGTATAGTGGCTGGTGGTTGTGTGCCTGACGATGTGGCCAATCGATTGGCATGCTTCTTCAAAAGTGTATAAACCACACTCTCTCAAGAACAGCCTATCAGAACTTTGTATTGCTTTCAATCACGGATGTGACTCTGGGTGAGGCCAGCTGCTTGGAAGATGAATGAATACTCCTGAGTGTTCTGGTGATCTGGACTCATACAATACAGCAAGTGCATGGGCCAACAGGAGAAGTCTATGACACCTTTCGAATCGATCCAGCAACCCCGTGGCTCCAGGTATCCCCGCAAGCTCTCGACTTGCATATCTCAGGGGTATAGTCGTCCCATTTTGACTGTCGGATTTCGGCGTTATAGGGTGTTCTCCTGTGTCATCACGGAAGAGCCTAGATTCTAAGATGTACATCAGAGAAAACGATTGAGCGTGCTAGCATCAAGAAGGGGGATCACGAGCTGGACAAGATCAGCAAATATGCGTTATCTGACCGAAAGGACCTATCGGTTTCCGATCAATGGTCCAGGCTTTACCTATCACCATGTATGTGACACAACATGGTAGTGGGTCTGTTCAACACAGATCTCGAGCCACAACATCCCAATGAGATTCCCCGCGGGTTTCAACGTCAGCTAAGATTCACTCTTCCCCGTTCGCACCTCATCGAGCCCTTTGCCATACCCATAGCCTTAACCACGTATGTTCCCCCTCCTAACTCTAACACTTGGTGGTGTGATTGCTCGATATGCTCCCGAAATCCAGCGAAACCAACCCATCACCGTCGACCTTCAACGGAAAGTAGTGATTGCTCAGCGAAGCCGGATTGCTCGACAGACTGCTCTCAATGCCTCGCCATGAAGTAAACTCCAGAAGACCGTCGCTCTTCTTCTCGCCGCGAACGGCAGGTCTGCAGAATGTCATACCACACGCATCTTGGGAGTCTTCGGACTTTTCAAGACACTCCTCAGTGGCCGGCTCGTCGTTCGAGGAGGCATGACTACCCTCACCGTCAGATGGCTCATTTCCAGGGGAAGACAGCGGCGTCTCGAGGCTGAAAAACTCAATGTAATAGTCGTGAATCTCATCAGGTGCGCTCAGTGGATGTGGCGGCGGGTTCGACGACCAAAATGCCTTCATCCACCGGTTGAATCCGTGGAAAAGCGGATGGCAGAGATTTTGGTAGTATTGCTTGTCTCTTGTAACAAGCCGAGACCTGGCCCGGTGGTAATGTATCGTCCAGCATTGCGCGGCGTAGTCTAAGAACGGTGCCGTCTTGATGCTCGTCTCGCCTGACTGTGATGAGCTCGATGGCTTTGCAAGACAGTATAGGTATGCGGCGCAGAGCTCCAACATTGTGACATGTGTGTCTATGAGAGTGAAGCTGTGCTGGAAAGTCTCAGTCTGTTTCGAGATTGGAGGGTTGGACAAACTGGAGCTGAGCCTGGCGGTGACTGCTTGAGCAGTGACGATTCGCGAAGAGCTGTCGTTAGCGAGGAGAAACTCCCTGGCCGTCTCGTGTACAAAGTACACCTTGTCCCGTATGATGCGGATGAAGTTGCCACAGAGATGTTTGAGATGGTTCTCGAAGGGGTAGACGAGCTCGTACTCGACGTCGTCAAATGTAAGATCACCCGGACGCCTAGCCTTTGTCCTCGATTGCTGGACACGCCCGTCCTTTGAACCGGATGCGACTGCGAGGACAATGCTAGTTTCCTCAACAGTAAGTGGTCGCGCAGCAGAAAGCAAAATCTCGAGCAGCTTCCTCGCCTTGGTAAGATCAGGTCTCGAGGCTAGGAGCTCAGCATAGATGCCAAAGATGTCCCGCGTCTTGAGGATTTCATCGAGCTCTCGTCGAGAGGCACCGCTCTCCACCTTTTCTTCCAATAGGTCAAGGACAAGAGATACCCAGAGGAATGTCCTATCGGCACGCTTGACAAGTTCGGACTGGAGGTTGTGGAGCAGGCCTGCGGGCAGGCCGTGGTCGATGAGATCTTCGATCTTGGCTCTGATCACCCGGGCGACGTCCGCACTAATTGCGTCTGTTTCGTCTTCGGCCCGCAGGCGGATCATGTTGTACGTCCTAGGCTGCGACGCGGACCCGTTCCTGCTCGAAGGCTTGCTTGACTTGTCCAGTGCAACCTTGATCTGGTTTTCTGGTCGGCTCGTGATGATGACCCTCAATCGAGACCGGCAGGTGCCCACTTGAGAATGTTCTTCGGTGGCGAAGTACTTTGAGATGGAGCGCAACAAAAGCCCCCGAGGCTTCGGCTCGCACTCGTCGATGCCATCGAGGATGCAGATCGTGGGCCTTGCATCTTCCCGTTGAGTCGACTGGACGAACGCTTTCCAGAGACCTTCCACGCTCTGGATGTTCGCAACCTGGAGCTCGGCCGCATCGGTAGACATGAGATCCTTCTGCTGACTATAGAGTTGGTGCAGAATAGCCTGAGTTCCCCTGACCACGTCCGATTGGTCGACATTATCCGACTTGAAGAAGAAGTAGCACACGTTCAGCCCCTTGGCAGGCGCGATTGCCGTGAAGTGATCGACGAGGAAGGAAGCCAGCACTGACTTTCCGCATCCAGGGTCGGCTGATATCCAAAGAAGGGACGGCCCTCTGGATTCGATCCAGCTCTTGCACTTGGGATGGTTGAAAATCCAAGTACAAGTTCCCGGCACCGGTGATGGGTTTCGACTCTTGTGTGCCTCGTAGTTGGAGGTGTTCAGCGCCTTCATGAGCCTGTCCTTGTCCAGAGAGAAGGCTTTGCGCATGTTGCGAGCCATGGTATCTAGTCTGGATTTCACGGGCTCGAATCTCGCTTCATTGATGTCTCCAAATCTACACATGCCCCTGTGGTCGCTCTCTATGGGAATATTGGTGTCTTTGTGGCGGTCCAGGATGGCCGAGTCCTTCTCGACAACCTTCCCCAGTGTGTCAGTGTATACGACGTCGAGAAACATGACTTTCCACTGAAAAGAACAAAACGTACCACGGCGTTCAAGTAGTCCATTTTCAGAGTCTCATAACAGGAGACAATCTTGAGGTTCGAGGAGTAGGCTAGAAATGAGTCCGATATGCATTCCATCATTCTGGAGTTTGGCTCCAAATCCTTCGATAGCCGTGTATTGGTACTGGTTCCCATCGATGCCACCTTGAGCAGTCGTGCTGCCATCGTGCTCCAGTTGGCCAGAGAAGAGCCCTTGTGTGGTGTACCGAAGAAGAATACGCCCCTCATGTTCTTCGCGAGAGATAGGTACTCGTCATTTTCGTGTGCTCTCACCAACGCCTGCCTGAAGCTTAGCATACTCGTATCAAACTCGCAAAATGAGAAGCAAGGCACCTTCTTAAAAACCAGACCGCCAAGCGAGTGACATATGAAGATGAGCGGACGCTCCTGCTCTTCGATGGACTTTCTCTTCGCATGCAGATTCTCCAGGAGCTGATCACTAAAGACACCGACGTCTGACGTTGACTTGCTGAACTGTAGAGTCGAATTGTACCAGAACGACATTACCCGTGAGACGGGCACGATACGATGTATGTGCTCCTCCACCCAGTTTATGCCGGTTTCCTCATCGGTCCATGTGTTCAAGTAGTGCCCATTTAGGCCGTGAATGGCGACGATGTCTATACCCTGCAAAGCTGTTGGGTCTCTGTCCACGAGGGTGTGGAGGCCATAGTCCGGCTTCGATGTCAACGCCGCCGCTGCCGCCGACTTGCTAGGGCGTCTTCTGTATGGCTTGGGGAGGATGAAGTTCATAGTCGTCGTTCCTCAGCCGAAGATGGTTTTGAGGTATGGATACTGACAGCGTGAGATCTGATGATCGTTACACACCCTCTCTCTATTTGCGGGGTTATTAACTGCATCACGTGTGATGTCTACTTCCGTACTTTATGCAGGTGATGGTGCAGTGGTGAAGCCTGTCAGCTCAACGATTGGCTCATGTTCCCTCGTTTATAGGTGATTGGTGCAAAAACGACACGAGGCAAAGCATTAAAGATATGAAAGAAAGAATATCGTCGGGGGCTTTGGCGCCTAAGGTTGCGAGGTCATCAACCACCGAACGTTGCCGCATCATCACTTGGAGTCAAGGTAACCTGTAGGAGGGATTAATTTATTGATGCGATTCTTTTAACTTCTCCCCGGCTCATGTTAGAGCAAGACAGGTCATTTACGTCTTTCGCCATGACTGCTTTGGCGTTGGCCTCGTCGCTCTTACGATCCTTCAAGCAGACAATACCATTCAGCTCAGAACATAAATATGTTTCGTGAAGCTTATTCCGGGATGCCGATATTATCGCAACCCAGTTGAACTGAAGATCCCAACATCAACGTTTTCAACTACTGGACTCCATTACCTCGCCTCACGAAGTCAAACCAAAGCGTGCCCTACATCGACCTCGGGGGATGATGTTACGCGTCCACTTGAAAAACCTCTTCCTCATTGGTACTATGTTAGGTAAGAGGGTCTAGGACTACCTAGGCAAGAATAATGAGGTTAACAACTACATCTACATATGAATAGAGAAGCTAGGTAGGTCTAAGCTAAAGAAAAGAACGACCTTGGGTAATTAACCTTCTTCTGGATTGAAGAGAGAGTCAGTAAGGATGAGACCTTCAACTGCGAGTTTCTTATTACTATGGCACCTAGCCGCAAAGATCTCATCAGTATCGGACTCCCTAGCACCCTCTATCTCAAACTCGAGAGTGATATCGGTTCCGACGTTAATTGTAACAGGCAAGACGTTCGAAACTAAAATGCATGGGAGAGATGACTCTCTCCGACTTTGAGGGTTGAATCCGAGCCAGCAGCAGCGAGACTATCTACCTCATGAAATGCTCATAAGTGTGTGACAACAGGAAAGAAGTGGTTGGGTCGATGGCAAAGCTACCGTGAAGAGACTGCGGGATATCCTTCTCTAGGTCGGTGCCGCCGCCGTGTTGAAGTAGAAGGTGCCCCTAGACCGCGTGTTCTTTCTGGAAGTCAACTTTCACTCTTTTCCTGCAAGTCTGTTGCTGTTTCCGGTGTGTCCTCTTTTATTAATGAGGCTGGCGAAAGGAAAATGAGATAGCATTGCTGCCCTTCCAGAATTATGATAATTACTGGGCTTTAGCGGTCGTTGAGACGACTACTCACCCTTTCCAGATATATTTGACTGAGTTGGCCGCCGTTACATGGCGAAAGCTGAGAATGATACGCCGGCGTCATTTACAAACATATCACCTCGAATTTGGCTCAGAAGACCAACCTGACGTCTTCACTCAGACAACAGTGGTGTCATCATGAAGCTTTTCAGAATCAAATCATTGCAAGAGGTTGAACTACAAGGCTCTGCATGATGACTGTGCGATCAGATCCTCTCATCTCACTTCAACTGCTCATAAAACCTGAGATCCATGAGCAAGAAACCCCAAAATTTGATATCAACGCGGATGGTGAACATGACAAAGTTCACAACTGCGCAGAAGACAGGCCCCCTTCACAACAACTGAGGGGTCGACCACGACGAAATACACATCATCAACTTTCGACCGAGCACTCCTCCGAGCCCCCTTTCAAACTCATCCTCAGGAAATGACGTTCAACCCGCGTCCCGGGCGCGCTCTGAGCCCATCGCCGGCTATCCCGAAGGCCGCAGAACTCCAAAACGGAAAGGATTCGAAGGATTCGGTGTTCGGTGCGAGAACACATCCGTGCAGCGTCATCGCCGACCGCGGCGATTGCAGGCAAGTAAGTATCTCTCCATCAAATCAATAATTGGAATTTTCTCAAGCGAACCCGGAAAGGCTCACACGGCTCAGTCGATTTTGCCATTGTCCATCGAGCCGAGGTCCAAATCCTCACCCAAGCCAAGACGATCGATGTTGGGGTAAGGCCAAGGGGGGCTGGCCTTACCCCAATTCCAATCATTCATCTCATCCACCATAACACAGCCGTACAAACAACGAAATCATTCCAAAACAGCCCATATAATCAATCGAATAAAATCGATAAACACGTCAAGTTCATCTAATCTCCTCCGTTTCCCAAATCACGGGAGATCGATCCAGACCCGGCACGGGAGGAAGCGCCCCCCGATTCGATGCCCCGCGCGCCCAGCCAAGACTCTCTCTCACTGGGCCCCCTCACTCCTCCTTGGGGTAAGGTGAGCTAAAGGGGGAAACAGTTACGCGATATTTACATGATGAAAACCCTCCCCGACGTCAATTAAAGGCAGAGGAACAAACAAGAACAAGCGATGACCACGTTTTCTCTTCCCGCTACATCGGTTAACGTGCCCATGTTCCACAAATTCGCGAATCGGGGGGACGGTTGAGGCTCTAATTTTCTACCGGCCTTGCTTTGACGACATCCCTTCTTTCCCCCTTCACGATGGGTGTAGGCGTGAGCTCTAAAGCAACGACACAGCACGCCCGGATTCAGTCGGCGGGCAAATCCCGACTCAGTGCTCGCTATCTTATCTCTATTGACCAAGGTAGGTATGTACCTTTAACTGCGCCGCTACTTTGACAGCGCGCGCCCAGCTACGCCCAGAGGTGACATGCGCCACACACATACTCTCTACACCACAAGCAGCTCGTTGCGCCCGCAAAGCCCTCCCAAAACCCACCTCTTGCGCCCGCAAGATCCAAACTCCCGGGTCCCTTCGTGCTTCTTCTGCTGCACGGGAAGGATTCTGTTTGGACCGGGCGGGCGCCTTCGCCAGTGAAAGATAAACAAGGGGGAGACGAACCGTTCCGAAATCCGGGGAAAGGAAGGGAAAAAAAAACAAGGAGAATTAAATTCGAGCCAAACAAGTCCCGAAGAATCAGAGATCTCGCGGGCGCTCGATCGCCTTAGCTGCGTCCAGAGCCGCATGCTTGATCTGGGGGAGATGTCGACGTCGGTTTTTCTCACGATGCGGCGCTATTTCGACTTCACTTCTTACCAAGTCGGTGGTTTTCCCACTCTTTTGCTCCGTACTGAGTTTTGCCAAGACGAGGAAATATTGCTCCCCCCGATGGGCACGGCAGCTAACAAATATTCCCACTTGGCGCTGTCGCTCCTCCTCCTCCTCTCTACCGAGCCCGCTCTCTCTCTCGCTCCTCACTCTCCCTCTTCTTCCCTTCTTCCACCGGCACCCAAACGCCGACAGTCTCTCCCCTTGCTCCAGTGCGACCCCCCACACCGTCTATCAATCCCTCAATATTCGCCCCCTCCGTTCGCGCGCCCTTCTGTCATTGACGCCCAAAGGCGAAAAACCCCGTCGGCGGCGTACCAAAGTGGGCACATAGAATTGTTCGAATTTCAACCCGGCAACCACTCACGGCCGGATTCCTTATCTCTGCGACTTCGGTGGTGCGGGTGGGAGTGGAGATGGTGGCTTACAGGGTTCACCAGCAGCGGTTCGATTTCGTGTGCCCTGTCTCCAGGGGTCCTCGTCGTCGATGACCGGGGGGGTTGGCGGATCCTTTGATAGCCCAAAGGCAAAAACCCGGAACTGAGGTCGAACTAGTTGTAGGTGAGAGCGTCAGCACCATGGTAACCGGTTCATGATTGCTTGTGGTTGACCATGCTGCAACGTACTACGGCATGGTACGGTATCGTGTATGTTCGGAGGGAGCGTGCTCTCTTGACCAATACCGGCAAAATTGAGAAGTTGGCCGGCGCAATGCCGCTGAGAAAAGGCTCAGATTCGCCCAGATACGACCAAGAATCAGGTTGCGCCAAGTATAATTAACAATCAGCCAGTGCCCAACACAGACACGTCGGTCGGCTTCCTCCCCTCAAATGGTCCGAAGTTCCTCGCTCAATCATCCCATGACAAGCAGGGGAGCATGTCTGGTCAACAAGCAGATGGGGATACATACGAGTCCGCCGAACGGCTTGAATCACCCACCCGCGGTCTCCGAAGCCAGCTGGTCCGAAGGGGGTAACACTGGCCAAATTATTAGCCAAGGTCTATGTGAAATTTCCGGGTGGAAAACCAAACGCAGGCGATAGGGAAAGCATGTCCCCAGACCCAGCTCGTCCGGGGAACTGCAGTGCAACCACCTTGGGGAGGAAAAAAAAACTCTCTCCACCTTGGGGAGGAAAAAAAAACTCTCTCCACCTTGGGGAGGAAAAAAAAACTCTCGTCTCTTGAATCGCGCAGCAGAAAAGTCTAAAGTGCAGCAAAGTCAATCACTTGCTCTCTGGCACTGTCCAACAGATGGAGAGGGGAAACGGCACAGCCCACCCCCGTGCCGAACAGTAGAGAACAGCTTTGCTGGCCTGATGTTCGAATCGGGTCTGCGAACGAATCAACAGTACGGACGGCAGAAATAAGGCCTGTGCCAAGCTGATGGCGGTGTTTCGATCCTCCCACGTCCTTCCACTGACTTGTGACACCGTCAGAGTCCGCCAAGACTTTTGTGCGCTGTTTTTGTTTTTTGTGTCCTCTGGCGCCGTGAAGGATGAGACATTGAGCGACGTTGGGCTGAGCGGTGGGCGCACAGAGTAAGCATGTGTTTTTGTCTCCTCTTGTCGGTCACTTTGACGATGATCCAGTAGATAGATAGATGTGATATGAATAAATTCGCTTTTAGCGGACCACTGTATCATGGGTATTACTACAAACGAATATAGGCTCGCTTCGCATTGTGCGGGATATCCTTCCATCAAATCAAAACCCATAGATCAATCCAACCTGTAGAAACGCCTCGCCTGTCCACGCTAAATGGCGCCGTAAATCAACGGTATCTAGAACTCAAAATAGCACAGCTCGCTGGACCGCTTC